GGGGGGGGGGGCTGGATTAAAAACTGTGTTTATATCAGTTTGTGGTAATCTTCAACACATATGACAAAACATTCGTTTCCTTGCACGAGCGCTATGATGCAAAATGCCGTCAATGACTTCCGTGTTGAGAAAATTGTCGCTTGCTTAAGCTCACTCAAATCATATTAGGGCCATTTATACGTGACAAAATAAGTCGCGACTTACATAAGACGCGACTTAAATAAGTGGAGTTATCGCATAAATGGTTCTCTACGGCTTTGGTCTTATTTATTTGCTATAGCTATGTTGTTGTATTGGTTGTTTTTATTTTAATATGCAAGGCATTAAATTTTACGTTGTTTCAAGTTTCTGGCATGTGTAGTTAGACTTTTTGTCCAAAATTTCTTATTTAAGACGCGACTTAAATAAGAACAGCTAAAAGACCTGTTCTTATGTAAGACGCGTCTTATACAAGACGCGTCTTACATAAGAATTTTGTACCTTTTATACCACAAACTCGCGTCTTACTTAAGTCGCGTCTTATGTAAGTCGCGTCTTATTTTGTTCCGTATAAATGGCCCTATTTTTACAATCAAAATAAACTCCATACAGCACACAAAACATACTGACTATTTCACATCGTCGAACATGATTTCAAAACCTGCCAACCCTTTTCTAAAGAAAATCTAAGGAATAGGAGATTGACAAAAATTCCTTACATTATCTGGAGAATTTTGGAAAAATCTAGAGATTGAGAAAGAAATTCTTTAAATTACCTAGAATTTGGGAAAAATCTAGACATCGTCAAAAAAATTCTTTATTATTTTCTTTCTGGAAATTTTTTAATACATTTTTAGAGTTAACCAGGGGCTCCGAGAAAACGAACATATAGCTAGGCACTCCTGCAGGAATATAATGGAGTAGCTCAGTTGGTTACAGCACTGCATCGAAATCGCAGGGTCGCAGTTTCGATTCGGGCCGCATGTAGTTTCGATTCGGCCTCGTGTAGCTGCGAAAAATACAACGACCCTCTGGCTCTGGCAGGAATCCAACCAGCGGCTCTGCGTTTCTAACCAACTGGGTTACCGAGAATCCAGTTGACAAAAGCTCTAACTGCATGTTCATCTAAGGTGATGGTAAGGTATTACTCTATACATCTACAACACTCTTCACTATTAGTTGATACTACGCAAAAATTGTGATATTTTACTCAGTCGTGTGACATGGCCTCCTACATAGATGTGCCACCTGTATGGTAACTACGGCCTAAGTTCTGCTGCTGTAACCTTGACTCCTGTATTAAAATTCCTTCAAGGAACAAACACCAGCGCTACAACTTCCGTATCAAAGCAAAGCCTCTTTTGTAGCGGGTGGCAATTAAATCGCCAAAACGATTCTTTAATTTGAACTGCGCATCTTAGTTGCGTGATTAATATTTAAGAATTAAAAGTCATTAATAAGCAATCCATACTTTAAACGCTGGTTCGACCAATCATAAAACGTATGTATCCAAAAGCTAACATCTTAACTTTCGGTCTCTTTGGTGACAAGCATTTCTAATTAGTACAATATATGTTTTGTTTGCGCATCATTTAAACTTTATCAGGATTCATGTCAAGATGACAAACGCGTCGTAACGCGATGGGACAAAATCATTGTATTCTGTGCTAGTGTTATTTTGGGACTATTAACAACAAGATATTGGTTTTTGCGTATCAGTGATGTTTTGGTCTACTCCTAAACGGAAACAGAGTCCAATATCCTAATAAGTTTGAACGAGCGACTTCCTAAAACACAATTGAAATGACGTCGACTCTAAACTGAGTAAGCCAAAGGCCGGAGATTTAGCTGTCTGATTTTATGAGTATTTCAAATACCACCTATTGACTACAAGGTTAACCGATGTAGTTGGATATTCGATTCATTCGTCACGTGTAGAATTGGGCATGAATATTGAACTGTAAAGTTGGGTTCAAAATGTTGCAATTTTGTTTGATTACATTAATCGTGGAGTGGTGTATATTTGCTCAGATGACCGCAGTGAGTACAGCAGAGAGTCATGTGTGTAGTCCACCGAAACGAGTATCAAATTTTTCTGCCGACGTTATTATTGGAGGATTAGTACCAGTTCACGCGGGAGGAGAATTAAAACTAAACGAACCTGGAGTGATGTGGGTTCAGGCAATGATGTACGCAATTGAGGAAATTAACGAGAACAAGAGTTTGTTACCGAACATTAGACTCGGATTTGATATTCGTGATTCGTGTAACATAGCTGACTTAGCGTTGGGGGCCGCTTTGGATTTCATGCTGACGCCAACCGCCAATGGATCTTACATGAAGACGTTTGATAACAAAAGCGAGTCGAGTTGTTTCTGTAATAAGAACGCAAATCACAGTAGTCCTCCAGTAATAGCAGTGGTCGGTGGTGCTTCATCAAGAATTTCCACGACAGTGTCTACTGTGTTCTCTACAGATAATATTCCGCAGATAAGTTACTCGTCGACAAGTCCAACTCTCAGTAACAAAGATGTTTACCGCACGTTCTTCAGAACTATCCCGTCTGACCTGTACCAAGCTAGGGCAATCGCGGATATATTGGAGTATTTCAACTGGACCTATGTTTCTATTGTTGTCTCAGATGATGAGTATGGTAGGAACGGTTTGATCGCGTTAGGAAAAATTCTTAAATCAAAAAGATTTTGTATCGCAGAAGAAGCTTTGTTCTCCATGAACTCGAATGAAGAAACAAGACGAGACGCTGATCGTATCATCCAGCGGCTACAAGAAGACACTCGACAACGGGTTGTTGTGCTTTGGTGTGAAAGACCTGCAGCCATTGAATTCTTCAAAGTAGCCACTGGCAAGTTATCGAATATAACCTGGATTGGCACAGAATCATGGGGAGACAACGAGAAAGTTAAAAACGAGGTTGATTTCGACCTGATAGGAGGAATGCTAGGTGTTCTGCCTTTTCTGGGGAGGCACGCGAAGTTCGATGAGCATCTGAAAAGTCTTACACCTAAATCTAGACAAAAGAACCCATGGTTGATCGAATACTGGTCACAGAATAAGTTTCCGACAAGGTGTATCAAATCACCAGGGAACTGTACAGATGAAGAACTACCAAATGCGTCCTCCCTGCCTCCTAATAAATACGCCAATGTTATGGATGCTGTATATGCGATTGCACACGGGCTTCAAAGTCTACAAAACTTGTATCCAAATTTGGACATTTCTACACTGGATAAACAAATGCTTGGGGAATTAATGAAGCAAATTCGAAACGTAACTTTTCACGCACTGTCTGCGAAAGGAAAGTTTGAATTCACTGAAAACGGTGACCCTGGCTTCGGGGCTTACTTGATCAAGAATTTACAAGGTACTCGTGACAATAAGGAGTTCGTTAGTGTGGGGCAATGGAGTGGAGAGGATTCCAAGTTAGAGTTCGAGAAAAATGTAAAGATACAGTGGAATTATGGCGGCACTGCGGCCCCTCTCTCAAGATGTTCTGAAATATGCGAGGCAGGCTTTGGTTTCGTCAGATCAAGCAGGCAATGTTGCTGGACATGTCCCAAGTGTCAGGCTGGCTATTACAAGCCGAGTGTTGGTAAGTCATACGTCATAGCTTGTAAAGATACGTCTGAAGACAAATCGAAAATGATTTGAAATATACAGTTTCTTAAATAGATTGTTTATAGTGTATACTAATAATATTGGTTTTATATTTGTTGGGTTCTCGTAATCGTTTACATAAAGAGTAAAATATATTGGTACTTGCAAGTTGCAAAATATGCTTCAAAATATATTGATGCATTCAGGAAATCAGATCATAAAAAACGGTCTGCCACTGTCTGGTGCAATTTGCATAATGAGAGCTGTCTAAAACATATTTCTGTCGATAAAAACTCGTTTTAAGTTTGGGGATTTCTATTCATTAATCAAAAACGTCTTGAAACTAATTCACAGAATTTTATTAATAAGTAAATTATTTAGACTGAATCAAAATTTTCACATCTTAAAATATCTTTTTAATGGGTGATTGAAATTATTACATACATTTACCTAGAATTTTCCGGTTAGATTCACTTTACTATAAAGAGCTTTAGCACCAACACATATTTCGCTTTCGCTATCCTTATTTACAACGTACAGTATCATGTAATTCAGTAGCGCACGCTATCTTTATTGTAGTATATTTGTATGTTTATTGTCAGTAGTATTGTGTGTAAATGAATTCAATCAGTTCACTTTAGTTATTTATATTCCAATGAGCCTTATACAAACAAGAAATTAAAAAATGGAATTCATTCAAATCAAAATTAGTTAATATATAGACCTGCATGTCTCGAAGAGCGTCTAGCGTCTAAAGTTTCTTTGTTCTCGTTTATAATTTAGCTTGTGCAAGGTCAAGGTTTTAAATAGGTTTGCTATTGTCTAATAAAAGTTGCGATGTGTAGAGAATGAAGTATTTGGCGATATAGAATGCAATTTGTTTCAGCAAGTTTACTTTGTTTAGTGTGAATGAACTCTTTTATTCGAGGCAATACAGTTTGCGTTCTATGGGCTGGATTATTGTTAAGTTTGGGATTAGGATCACGTTGATTTAATAAAGGAAGCTGTATCAAGGCATTGGAGTGCAAATAAAATCGGAATTCTTTTATTTACATAAATGTATTTACATCTATTCCAATACGGCTTGTAACTCGTGGGCTGGATTATAAGGATTAGTGGTAGTTTAAGGGAGTATTTCGATGATTTAAGACTCCAATGAATATAACTCTATTCTTTTATTTCAGGCAATGTCGCTTGTGAATCCTGTGAAGAAGGATACATCTCAAACAACGAGAGAACGGCATGTGTGAAAGTTGATGAAGACTTCCTCAAGTGGAAATCCCCTTTTTCCATCGTCACGCTCGTGTTTTCTTTTCTGGGCCTTGTTTTCGTTCTATTCATCATCGCCGTCTTCGGGAAATATTCGGGAACAGCCGTAGTGAAGGCGTCCAATCGCGAGGTGTCCCTAGTCCACCTGACGTGCCATGCTCTTCTATTCTTGCTGCCACTCCTGTACATAGGTCGGCCAACCGTGGCGACGTGTATAATACGCTTAAACTTATTCCCAGTGCTTTTCACATTCATCACGGCCATCATGTTTCTCAAGACAGATCGAATCGTGCGGATTTTTAACTCCAAATCGAGGCTCACGAAACGAAGTCGATTACTTAGCAACAAAGTTCAATTCTTGCTGACGTTCGTTCTGACCCTATTTCCAGTGATAGGCACGGTAATTTGGCTTGTACTCAGACCATTGAGTGTCACTATAGAAACGGTTGAGGAGGAGTACATAGTTTACTGTGAAAACGAGGAAGCCTGTCAAGTCGTACAGTTAGCTTACATATTACTCCTTGCATTGCTCTGCACATACGAAGCTTTTCATGCGAGGAAATTACCGGAGAGTTTCAACGAAGCCAAGTTCATCTGTTTTTCAATGTTCGCATTCGTCATGATGTGGGTTGGATACATCCCAGTTTGTCTTGACATCATTGGTTCCACTAAACAGTTCATGACATGTTTGTTTATCATTCTCATCAACTACTTGACAGTGATGCTCATCTATCTACCAAAACTAAACATAATTCTCTTGCATCCTGAGCACAACCGACATGAATCATTCAGAAAAGCTACACTGAATTCCTGCTTAAAACAGGTTCACCGACTCTCACCGACCAGCAGTCCAAGTGCAATCCATGACCCAAAGACATCTTTCGAAGAGGTGGAGGAAGACGATGGCAATGATAATAACATTTCAGAATCGAAGAAAAAAATACGCAGCATTTCGACAGTCACTGATGCTTCATTTGGAAGTAACGAACAGTTAGTCGCGCAACACCTAGGCTTACCACAGGCAAGACGTACGAGTAATCACGTGCCACAATTTGACAATGTGATTATCAAAAATTCCATGACGAGTGTATAGTATATATTAGTGACATATGCAATGGACGCCATCTTGTTTGATCTTCAAAACACTTACTCTAACTTCCGCTCGTATCGGGAACGGAAAAACTAGCATGCGTAATACGTTTGAAAAGGAACATCCATAATACAGTAGGGCATCGTTAAACCAAACCAGGAAATAAAAGGTGAACAGAACGATTTCACTGTAGCATACACTCTACCAAGATGGCAAACAACAACACGAATTACGTCATGCGCAAACAGGTTTTAATGTTTTCAGCACTGAAGACATTTGTTGATGTAATGTGTAAGGCAAGCGTTGTGTAAAACAGCATAGTATGTACAAAATAGTTTTTAGAGACTTTAACATTCAACCGTTTTTAGATGTACTCATTCATGCATTTACTTTATTTGCTATTGTCAGTATTGTATCGTTTAGATTACAGCTTAAATATCGAGTTTGTTTCAATTATTGTTCCGTTGGGGCATACTGTAAGCACTCAAAATGTCTTTGGCCATCCACATCAGTTTTGTGATTAATGTTAGGGGCGTGTGCCTGAGCCATCTTTCCGAAATATAAATAAATGCCACTTCCATTAAACATGATATTTGAAAATTTTATTTATAATTTATATACACGATAATTATAATTTTACCTCGTGCAAAATATGCTAATAATGCGAGCTTGGCGCAAATGTAGGTCTGTCCACGACCGTTCAACCGATTGCGGAATTTCCGTAAAGCACTGTCTGCGCTTTGCCCAATATCATGACACGAACTTTGATGTTTGTTTTCCCAAAAGATATTTAAAAATTGTTACCTTGATGAAGACAAGTTTCTCAATACTCCACGTAATCCATCTCTTACCCCCAATACTCCACGTAATCCATCTCTTACCCCCAATACTCCACGTAATCCATCTCTTACCCTCAATACTCCACGTGAATGTGTTATTGTGTCAGCAATCCTCTAGATTTCAATCTCGCAGTTTTCTCATGTCGTTTTTCTAACCCCGTCCACTTCATATTTTCTAACTGTGCCTGAATGAACGAGAATGATTATATCAAATCTACGCTTTCGGAAATCACATCTGAGTCACTGATCTGCATATAAAAATGGATTCAGTATCTATTTGCGATTAGCGGTACTTTAAAGTTTGACGATGTATTAAAAAGAAAAAGATTTCTCGACCTCGTACATTTTGTCCTTTAGTATAATAACAGTCTTCTATTACCAATGTTTAATTGTTTCATTTGCGCACGAGAAAATGAGTCTTCAGATCAATGATATGACTACTTAGGCAAAAAAAAAATATGTGGGTTTCCGGTTTCTTCTTATAAAAACTTAGGTAGGGTAGGTCGGTTTTAACTTTTTTTTAAAATTTTCCTAACAACCGGACGCCATTTTGTTTAGTCAGTGCTTCCACATCCAAAGATAAATTTCCCTAATATTGCCTCAAATTTCAATTTTCCACAAACTTTTTCCTCTAAGTGGAAACACTTACAACCATGATCCAATAAAAAAGTTTAGGGTCGGGATTTCGACGTCCAAAAGCTAGGTAGGGTCGGGAACCCACATATTTTTTTTGACCTTACAATAAAGTAAACACCTTAATACTGGATTTTTTATTATTTCTTAATATAACAATGTGAATAATTACTCACCTTTTCTTGTCTTAGTACTCCTTGTTGTTGTAAAGTACGACGTTTGTTTGTGGTAGAAGACTGTCGAGTTATCGATTCACGTTCTGGAGAAATTCATATTAAAGAAATAAAATCAGAACTCTTCAAGATAATTTTATTTTTCGCAGTCCGGTGTAGAGCAACTCAGATCAAACAACACACAATTTTTAGATTTTGTTGTTAAGCCCCTGCACGGTCAAACGAGAATGAGAGTTGATGAGAGTTGGCAGTCACAAAATAAAGGTTTAATGAGTGTTCCAACTATATTTTAACTTAAATAAAATACATGATAGTGTTGGGAAAGCATTAAGAACAGCTATTATAAAATAACATGTATATAACGCGTGCTCTGATTGGTCGAAACCTGTGTTTGGATCAGGCCATCCAAACACGGAAATTTAAAGTGAAAGTTTTTTAAAGTGAAATTTTAACACGGAAACTTGTTATTTTATAAAACAATTACTTTATGGTTTCCGTGTTTGGATGACCTGATCCAAACACTTGCAAATGTTGCTCGAGTTAAGAAAAGCGGTAAGTTTCGCGCGCTTTTCTTAACTCTCGCAACATTCCCGCGTGTTTGGATCAGGCCATCCAAACACGGAAACCATAAAGTAATTGTATAACCAAGGTCACGTGACTGCCAACTCTCATGCACTCTCATCTTCGTTTCATCCAGGATTTAGTTAAATTGCGTTATTCTTTCTTTCTAGGAAAATCTAGAACGTTTACGAAGTGTATCGGTCGTTGTGAGCCTTTACTTTTTCGACCAATGCCACATTAGAAAATTATCGGAAAATAGCAACTGATACAATACTGAACAAAACTGAACAACGACCCTATACTGTACCTGCTCGTCTTTGTTCTAATTTTTGTCTGAGTTCGTCAACTTTCGGATCATTTACTTCTGGTTTTGCTGCATTGCGCTTTTCGTGCTGTCTATAAGGATAAAACGACGTAGAATATATAAAACATATAAGCACAGTATAGATTAAAACCCCAAAGCTTGGTTGTAATAGTGGATTTTGACCCATTGAGTCGCATTGCCCCCTGATGCGCCCTACTTTATTACTTTACTCTGTCTAACGCCAGGCGATTTTACTCGTCAAGGGGAGAGCACTGGCGCTTAATGGGTTAATAGGGCTTCTGAGATGAAGGGGAGAGGTAGGCAGGGCAGAAAATGTACTCCTGGACCCGGGAAATAATTGTGATTCAACAACGGACAAAATATGCGAGTGGTTCCGAAGAGGAGCATATATATAGCACCATTGCTATGAAACATGCACAGTGGAGACGAGTTTTACGGATATTTACCTCATCATAGCTTGATTCTCTTGTTCTTCTCTACACTTGGATATCTTTGCTAAAGTCTTCATTAACATTTCGTCTTTCTCCTATACAATTGAAAAATAAAACTGTCAGACGAACAAAATTTGTGCTTTGCCATTTTTTTCTATGACGTGCAAGTATAACAACATACTGTACACTGGTCGAAAAGCTAGAATATTAGCTGTTTGTGGAGTAATGCATTCTTCTATTCATCATAAACATCAACTTACGACTTTAGATCTAAGGATATCATCTCGTTTCTTCTCAAGTTCTTCTTCTTCGGCAGTTTTCAATAAACTCAATCTTTCTCTTAACTACAACAGAGACAAATGCGGAAATGACTGAAAATGAGACAGTGACTGAAAATGAGTGAGTGAATCTTCAGTGAGAAGAATCATATGCAGTGACTGAAATTTCTCACCACTTCGATCATGGCAAGTTGGTTATAAAAATTGCTTGCCCGAGACCTTGATAATTTCGGATATCACAAAATCCGATTGAAAAAAATGTTTTATTATACATTATTTTATAATACATTGGATACCAGGTGATCTCGTGTTCGTATTTTAGCCAATCAGCGCTCAGAAAGGGTTTTCCGAATAGAAATCCATTTTGATGTATTCAGTCAATTATATCTTTCGTTATTCTTTATGAAACTACTTGAAATTTTGTAATTATGTTTGGTTATGAGAACTACAGCTCTGACAAAAATATGGAATTGAAATAAAGTATATTACAGGAGATATTCAGTTGTTTTAATCATACAATGGATTTCTATTTGACAACTAGTGCCAGTACTTTTCCGCGTATCAAGATCATATGGATAGTTATTTCGATAAAAATTTCAAGCAAATGTGTTTTTTTGCACAAAAAGCTTTCAAAAAACATAGATGTTACAAGATTTGCTCTATAATAATAATAATAATAATAATAAACTTTATTTAAAGAAGGTGCAATTATACAAAAACCAGTTTAGCAACGCTAATCTTACACTGGGCCTTCTGTTCAACTGTTATCGTCTACTTATTACAAATTTACTATTAAAACTACACATTAAATTGGACATCAGTACAACAAAAACATATAAAAGTCGTACAAACAAATAACTTATATATAAGTATCTAAGAAGTATTTATAGGCTCTTATTTTAAAGGAGCTTAATGACGTTGATTGTCTGGTCGCACGTGGTAAACTGTTATATAATGTTGCACCACTGAATTTCAACGTTCTCTATCACAGTTAATATCTATATATTTGTGAATCATAATAGGATACCAGATGATCCTGCAAGTTCCGCGACCGGTTGTATAAAAAAGTGATTAAAGTTAAGCGTTAACTCTAATTAGTGGAAACGTCATCCAATAAGAAGCGCGTATTTGATTAAGAAAGTGATGAAGAGTTTTATACAACCGGCCCCTGGAGATTAAACAGGAAGACTGTATGACAATACCTCTGTGATGGACATTTCATTAAGAAGTCCAGCACCAGATGTTTCCGTGAGATCAACATACTATATAATGCAAAATATTAAAACGTTCAATCATTGAATCATGATGATAAGTTCTTTGACGTCGATCTTCTTTGACGTCGATCTTCTTTGTGTACACTCACCTTAAACCTGATAACAGGAACACTTTCAATCGCTCTAATCTTCGCAATTAACGCCACTTTCTGACGCATCTCTTCTTCCGCCTACAAAAATACGAAACATATTTTTGTAAAGACAAACACATTAGATGAGACAAAAAAGTTCTAGCATTCCGCGTATTAATTAAGGACTACGACTTTTAGATTTAAATCACTTAAGCAAACACCCAGTGGGTTTTCACTCGTTTCCAACCATCAAACTGACGTTATGTCATTTGATCAATTTCTAACGTTCATTCTTTTTGGATTTATTTTATTATTTTGTTTAGGGTTAGAGTTGGGGTCAGAGTAGGGGTAGGGTTTGTTTTAACACCTTTTCCATCTTCCGAAAATGACGTCACGCCAGTTTGGTAGATGGAACCAAGTGCTGACCCAACCAATGAGTGTCAAAATAATATGAAACTAGACTCGCTACCAATCCCCATTGACTCGATATAGCTCAAGCGGTGGTCTAGAAATCCCAAGATGGGAGTTCCAGGAACCGCGGAGCCTGTTTAAAAGTGGGGGAGAGAGAGGATAGCACGGGAGGTATGCCAGGCAGGCAGGCTGGATTTTATCCGGTAATTTTAATTTTTTTTTATCCACCGAAAAAGTGTGCGGGGGGGGGGGGGCATGGTCTCGCTGGAGACAAAGTTTTCGTTGTACCCTGTAGTTTTTCATGTATCTCTAAGGATGCTTCGAAATAGAATTGAAACATCGCGCGTTTTCAATCTCTCGCTCATATATCCTCGCCTTTTATTGTGTCCCACATAATATTTCTCCTTTTTTAGTTCCTATAATAGTAGTTTCCGTAGTTTCCTTACGTATATGTTCACCATAGGAGTCGGAGTAAAGAACAACCAATTTTGAATACTGCTCCTCTAATGTGCAATTACCTACTTTACATGACCAAGAAATGTTCTCTTAACTTACTTCTTCCAAAGCTCGTTTCATTATTTCCTGACTTTCTTTATTTACTTCTTGAACTGGAAAAACACGAAACACAGAATTCATTTATAAAACTGTGCTAATGAACAATGGACACGAGAAAAAGTCCAGAATTCGTTTATAATACTGGATCAAATTCATACCAAGTTTCTGTTTATATGCCTGAAGACGTTTTCTTGCCTCCTTCGTATTCTCATGACCTTGCATCGTTGCTTCAATCAAACGTCTGTTGGAAAAACTCAGGCAATTATAACTTTACCAAACGAGTATGGGCGTATTTTATCTATACTTTATAGCTTTATAATGCTCTATATGCGAGTTCCAACTCCAAGCTGGTCAATGCTTACCTCATATCTTGTTCTTGTTTAAATTTGTTTTCTAAATATTCCTTGATCATTTCTCTTGTCTAAAAATAATCATGACATCACTCGTGGCTGCTTATGTTTCATGTTATTCTCAATCAAATTCAAACTGACCTCCTCCTTAATTTCAGCCACTTTGCTTTGGTTTTCCTTGATTAAATTTTGCCTTGCCATGATTGCGTCCTCATAACTTAACAACCCTTCCTGTGAAAACGAACAAGATGTACTATTGAAGCATCCACATATAATCCCAGCTATCACTTGTGAACTGTATTGAACCAATTACGGAGATTTGTACGAGTGTTACATGAAAAGCTAGTCATTGGTTGGCTCTAGGATATATTGCAGAAGATTGGTTTGGTTGGCTACATAAATTTTAATGGGGTTCGGGGAGAGGCTCCCGAAAAAAGGTTAAAATATAAAATCTCTAAACTGGTATTTCCTGCCAGAAACCTCAAAGTCTCAAAATCTAAACCATCAACCAACAACTTTTTAAACCACTAAATGATAATTATGAGTGGGGCTTGGGCTTTAAGTCTAGAGAGGCTTCTTTTTTACTTTACAAACCCAGGGAGGGTAAGAGGCTATAGCCCTCCACTATCATGTATTTTTTATTAAACTTCCAGCTTACCAGTCTTCTTCGTTCAATATCTGCCAGCTGTTCATCCATATCTTTCTGTAGAAATAAAATACGTAAAAAATGACGTTTCTTTCCTCTGTAAATTTTCCCTTTCAAGACATTTGCTTAAATTGAGAAGGTTTCTTTAGAGCTTCCAGGACCAAATTATTATCCACACATTTCATAATTACAGTTATATAAATAAAGTAATGTTCTCTCTGTTACAGTAAGGTTCTTATTAAAATAGAGGTACCTTCTTCATATTTTCCTGCCATTTATAAAAGTCGGATGCATCTCTACCACCTTTCTCTAGTTCAAGCAGTCTAGAAAAAAAGGAAGAAAATAAGGATGATGAGATTTAAACCAATCACTAACTTGGTAACCATTCTTCTCCTCAGGTTACTAGTTTTGGTTGGCTTGGTAGTCACCAGACGCCCATGGCTGCCTCGGCATAGGCCAGCTCCATGAGTATAAATTGGCTATACTTTCACCAAAACTAAATATGGTTTAAATAAAGTCAGATGGCATGAAAGATATCTTTTGAAGAACAATTTATTTCTACCTTTTAACCTCATCCTTCTCCCTCTTTTGATACAACCGTCCTTCCCTCATGATAGCTGCTGCATTCAGTTTGATTGGAATATTGTCGTGCTAATGAAATTAGAAGGTGGTCAACACTTTTAGAACAGTGCATTTGTGTAAGTTCTAGATCGAATGAGTAAGCTAGTGTACTACTTTCATTAGTACTAAATTGAGGAGGGTATTGAACAAGGAAGTCCCCTCACACAAAATGTAGACTCGTCAAGATGTTTTTATAATCTTTTTTTTGTGGTTCACAAACAAACCACAGCAGCTGATAAAAAAATAGCAACTTATTAATTAAAGATTAATAAAATTAATTGTACATACTATAAAAGATGGAGCAGGATTGGCTTTTCCGGAATCAAACTTTAACCTAAAAATGATAGGTTACAAACTTTAAGATATTTAAGTAGTTTTTTTGTTTTTCTTGGATCTGTGAGTCGAGAACGCTTTAAAAGACAATTATATTGAAACAAAAATATCAAGTGAGTACATGAGTACATACTTCGATTCTTTCTCGACTTGGATTTCATACATTTTTCTTTGAGTTTTATCTGACTTCTGAGGGTTTGCACATTGAAATTGAGAAGAATTGGCAGTGTGTAAGTTGCTCTAAAGGAATGAAAAGAACAAGCAGAGTTGAATTTTGCTGCCAGAAAGGAAAGGTGCAAAGTGCCTAAATGTATACTGACAGTACCTCTGCTTTTTTCCTGTTCTTTGATCTGACTTCTTCCAACTTTGTATTGACTGAAGGTGTTGTATATGTAGTCTGAGGTACCTAAAGCAAGGCAGACTTGATATTAGGCTCACCACTGATCTATATGAAGAGTGTAAACAGCACCTGAACTAATCTGAAAATACATACTTACTGGTTTTGAGGGCTTCAACTTAGGAATCTGCAGTTGTGGTTAAAAAGATTTCAATTAATATAACATGAAAATAATTAGTACACACAGTAAATTACTCTCAATTCCAGCACTGAACTAACCTTTTCAGGTATAGGAATACTTCGTGGCCTTGGCCGAGTTAGTTTGAATGGTTTGATATCTAAAATTTTCCAAAATGAACGTTTTGGAAACATTACAATTTCGCATAATGTCTGTGGTGTGGGCATTTGACCATATTTCGGCCTATTACAGATGAATATTGGCTTTTACAGAATGTTGGATAGTGTGAAATTTGGTAAAAGGAAATGGGTAGTAGAAATTGTTATATGTCGGATAGTAGAAATTGGGCAAGGTAGTACAACAATCAAACATGAGATTTAGAATTTAAAGCTGGGCACACATGCTACCATTTTATGTTCAAGCTATTATGGATGTTACTGTTCTTCATTTTAACATGTACATGACTAAAATTGCCATTTGTGCACCTTGCTTAAGGTGCCAGTCAACTAAAATTAAATATACAATTATTAATTTTACCAGTGTTGGGTTTTCTTGTTCGTTCAGGCACCTGTCTACTGCTAATTTTCTCTTCTAATTTTAACAAAACCACATCATGAAGTTCAGGAAGCCAGCTGTAAAAATGACAATTGTTTGAACATAGCAAACAAGGTACAACACAGAGCTGCCTCACAGCATTGCTCAGAAATTCATGCATGCCTAACAGAAAACACACTCGATCAGAACATGTTCTTGATTATGTTACATTTGTGCCGTTCCATTTGCATTCCGAAACACAATTAAATATTGAATGTACACTTCAAATATAACACAATGATCAAATACATTATAAATTTATAATATAAATAATTAAATAAAAATTAAAATATTAAAACTACCTTAACAAAGTGGATACTAAAGTTGTCTCAACATAAGTATGATCATACAATTTGCACCACTAAAAATAGTTAAGAAACTGTCAGTAAGCATACAGATCAGGCTACCATCAAATCTAACTGAGATTGGGTCATTCCAGAAAAGATCCATACTCCCCCCCACAGAGGAAATTTCTGCCGTCCGGAGGGGGAGGGGAGAAAAAATTGTTTCTGATAATAGTAAATGTATTAGGGCATCCGAAGGGGGTAGGGGGGTTAACTTGATATTTCCTCCGTGGGGGTGGTATGGATGTTTTCTGGAATGACCCATTATTGTCGGGATTCAAGGTTGGGTCTGGGGGTATATAGGGCAAGTCTAGCCCACAAACATAAAGCACTAGTCTACTGATACACTACAGTAATCTGTTACTTTACCTCATCAGCCATCCAGGTTTTAATGTTTTCTTCATTGAGAAAAAATCTAAGATACTTGAACATTTTATTGACATCTTGGTTCGCAACCAGTTTACGAAAATAACCAACCCCGAGTTCGTCCAAACGGAACAAAGCCAAATAGCATAAAACTGATGAACAAAAATTAATCAACAAAATGTCACAATGAAAAATTCTCGAGTGAAAGAATTGCATATCTTTTGGAAGCCAAACATTCAAAGTATCATATTACATAGTGACAATTTCATGAAACAGTACCTGTATAAAGATTTTTATCAGTTCGAAGACAGTTTTTGCCATCTTTTGCATAATATGCATCAACAACAACCTGTATAAGTGAGTAAGCATGTGGGTGGGTGTGTGCTAACTATCCTAACGTACTTGCAGCTGACAGACCTGACAGCTAAGCTGAATTGCAAAGGACGCAGCTCAAACCTGCTTGATCTAAGGGCACCTCTGGTGCTATCTTATGATTCACGTTCAGTGCTCATGTCTGATAACAGAGCACAACTGTGGTGGAAGTGCCAGTTAGGGATTAATCCCAACCAATCCTGTAAACATTCCCTAATCGGTAGAGCGTTGACTCACTCTTTTCATACAAGTGTCACAAGTCCACAGTAAGAATCACACCCACAATGAGGTGAGAGTCAGAGAAGACTTCTCAAAAGTGCACTGGCTAGTAACTACGTACGCTATATTGGATGCCTTTAATAATACAAGGCTCTGCCAGAACTCAGCAGGAGGTCATTCCATTTAATGTCCACACCCCCCCCCCCCATGGACAAGAATTTCTGAGGGGGTTCAAAAAAGCCATTTCTGAGGGGTTATGGCCATCAGCATCCTTTGATCTTAGCTCTTTTTTCTGAGGGGTAAGGAAAAATTTACCAATTTCTGAGGAGGTGTGTGCATCGGCACTTTGATCTTTTTTTCTTTGGGGGTTCAAATTTTACTGAGCTCATCCATAGGGGGATTTTTTTTTGAATGGCCTGCCACCAGTGTGGAAAGTTTGTATCACGCGGCGGATATCTCCAGCGCGCAATTTTGATGCTTTCTATATATTTACTATTAAATTTTCGAAATCTCTGGCGCGCAATTTCCAAACTTTCCAGTCAGGTGGCCCAGGACAAGAATCTGCCTATGCAAATTTAGCACATATATACACACCTTTACAATACTTTGATGTCTGACACATCCTGAGAAAACCTCAATCACAAACACTCTTGTGTTTTCATCTGTTACCTGGGTTAGAGCCAACGAGTGAATTAAAATTACTAAAGAACAACACTCTTCAAGTCTTAAGACGTCTTGCAAAGACAGCCAAAGTACCATCTTCATTTGATAATCATCAAAAATTAACCAAGCTTTCTGTTTAATTCATACCTTATTCTTTGTCAGCCAGCTTTCTACATGTTCTTCAACACCATGGGTGAACGAGTTGTAAGTATCTAGCACTTCAGTTGAATATTTCAACAATAATTTCACCGAACTCATGTCTTAAATTTATACAAAATTTCCTATTAAAATTTCACTTTATCTCGCTTTTAAAAATCAATATATTTTACAACATTACTGCCCAAGAGATTATGAATCAATGAAAAACATTTCCCTGGGAAACATTTTGTGAAAAGATGAAAAATACTCCAAAAGAAGGAATGTTTTCTTCTATAAAATATAAATATCTGCCAAAATGGCGGACTCCTTAGCGACCGCCTTGACAACAAAGCTTCATGGTAGGATAAAATGGGATCCTACGGTACATTCTCGCCCGCGCCTAAAATTCAAATTAACCTAGCTGAAAAATTGCTTGACCCCGGTGTGAATTGAACCCGCGACCTTTGGCTTGCTTAGTCCAACGCTCTGATATCACCGAAGTATCTCTATTGCATGTTTCAAAAACTTGAAAGTCTCTGGAACATCTATAAAGAGCGTCATTTTTACCTTGCAAAATTTGCTTCCACGAAAATCCATTGAAAGTAGTTTATTCTTATATCTCTTTGGAGAGATGTTATTGCATATTAGAGGTCAATAGAATAAGTATAATATATAAAATTATTACATTGTATTATTTTGTTTCCAACACTTCAATATAACCATTTTGATTGTTGGTAATAAAACAGTTTCAATTGTAAGAGAATTTAAAATGTCCCATTTTTCTTTTTAATGGCAAAATATCTGTTTAATTAAAACAAAGGAGATTTTCAGTGGAAAAATGCCCACATCACATCTGCTTTCGGCGCTCAATATGCTTCCCCTCATCCAAGATCAGAGAGTTTGGCAACAGACAACGACAAGAAAATTACTTAGTCACTTTTGCATTCGAGCCAAAGCATGCATTCCTTAAATTTTACTTTCCTCTTAAAAGTACTTATCTTGCTTTACAAACAACAATAGTCCATAAATTCACATAAAACATCCCACGACTTGGAACGTTTTTACTGTTGGCGCGGACCGCGTGAGCCGTGAAGACGATGTAAATAACGTAGCAAGGAAATACACTTTATAGTTGCCTTTGTCTTAGAGTAAAATTCTATTGTTGATGAACACGTTTTCATTGTCGTTGTATTTTCCCAACTCACCACAATATGTTCACACGAGACCGGTTGAATTCATCCGATCTCGTGCAAACGGAGCCTAAAAATCATATTTTTAGAATTTGAAGGATGGACACACAAATATTGCTGACTTTTAGTGATGGAAAATTTAATTTTCTTTATGTTTAATCATCATCACTGTCATCCATCCAATCATCATCATCAAATTCCATCGACTGAAAGTCCACTCGATATCTTAGTATACCTAGAACAAGATTGTATTAAACGTTAGTAAATTCCTGCCATTATTATCCTGGTTCTAAAGGTTCTTCAAGAACGCCAAGTATCAGCCCAAAATGAGCATGTTTTGGGATTGGCTTGCTTAAACAACAGTCAAGAGTGATTGGCTAGCATTGTATTGTGTTTCATTGCTATAATTAACCAATCGCAAAACTTCATCATAGGTTGGTGCGTAAATGATAGGGACTCTCAGTGCTCTCAAATATGTTGCGAGAATTGGGATTCTTCAATTGATTCCAGTAACTGCATGACTCTATATTCCTACCTCCAATGCCGCCGAAGCCTTTACAGAATTGAGCACCTTCTTGTGAGCGATCTGTGATTATCTCAAGTGTTGCACCTAAAGAAATCATAAGGAAGTATTAATTACGTCGTCAATAGTTCAGACATCATTGGATGAGTGTAAATATCAATGTCATGCAGAAATACAAAACAAACAGTCTGATTATTTTATTTTTATTTACCGAAATTTTTATAGTTATTGGCCAACCACTCAAGTAATGACATTTTTTCAACAAGTTCCAATTCAACACCCGTCTGTAATAACAAAAAACATTATGTTTCACTCTGCTAGTTAGTGAAAATTGTTTAATGCAAGAGTATACCAAAGTGATTATTCATGCAAAATTTAACAGCATCACAGCAAAGCACTTACATTCTGGTCGACAAAGTTAGTTTGGTCTCGTTCTTGATCAGGGCGTAAATGTAAAACTTTTTCCTCTAAAAATAAATTAACAGTTTCAAGTCCAGCTTCTTGTCGTACACATGAGTCTGTGTAACGGCGCTAGGATTAGGGAGTCATGATAGTTTGTGTTAAATGTATGAACATGCAAAACACTCCAACTCAACAGAGAACTAGCATTTCTGCTCAGTTTGTGTTAGAGGGTGAAGAAGTTCATGTGTATGTTTGCTTTATGATGGAGGAAAACTATAATGTCACTTTCTATAGACATCACAGGGAACTACCAACCATCAATATCATATTTTGCATGTTTTTTTTTGTGTTTTTTTTTACTATGAATGCACGTTTTAAACTGCTTTGAAGGTTCAAACAACGTAATTCGTTCTGTTAGTCACGCAACAAAACGTGAATAACGATTAATCAATGAAAACTCAATATGTAATAGCGCTTACCATCTAATGCGTGATTCTTTAGTACAAATCTCTGAATTTCTAAGTTTTCCCAAACGATTAAGATATTCACAGCACCCATTTCAAGCGCCTATTTGAGAAATGTAAATCAATATTTTTAAATATTAACGGCATGAAAACTTAAAACGTAAATGTGAAAGAAAAGAATATTTACAGGAAACTGCTTTGTGTACCTTCAATGTATCATCAACACCAAAACAGAACTTTCCAGTATCTTGTGAAATTTCATCAAAGTATTTCCCTGTACAAAAATATGGGTAATGTTAATGATTTCATATATTGTTAAATAATATTTCATCCCATCATTATAAACATTCATATCATTGCAAACATGCCAAACAGAACAACTGAACAAGCTGATTACCTATAAGTTTCTTCTCTTGTATAAACTTGACGTTTGCTAGTACCTCCGAAGCCAATTCAATAGCCTAAAAAACAGTTAACAGTGACTATTATACAACCATCTTATATTTACCAAGAACATAATTTGGATGATTGTTTCAAATTTTTACCTGGTTAAAACCGTTTTCTCCACCATACGAAACATCGACCAACTTTAGTACTCGTGACTGAAGACGCTTTAAAAATGAAATAAATTCTACTAGTGAAAATGAAGCTCTGTCATCGGCAAAGAACTTGCATGAATACTTAGACAAGAAATGTTTGACACCAAGTCCGTTCCCTCAGACATTTCTTGCAAATCTTTCAAAACTTAATTTAATTTACCGATGCAAAATTCCTACTGAGATCACAGAAACATTATTTGATAGTATAAACCAGCCTTTAACTCATCCCCTGTTCCACCAGCCCTGATACTATATCATACTGACACTGTATCATACAACATAAATGTAAATATATGAACATGCAAAACACTCCAGCACAACAGAGAACTAGCATTTCTGCTCAGTCTGTGTCGGAGGGTGAAGAAGTTCATGTGTATGTTTGCTTTATGATGGAGGAAAACTATAATGTCACTTTCTATAGACATCACAGGGAACTACCAACCATCAATATAGAATGTATTATATGATTTTTACTCTAAATATAAAAGCTCCCTTATTTCCAATCCACAACGCTTTTAAATTTAATGAAGACACAATCAAATAGATATTCTCCTTACTTGTATTTTTACATGTATAAAAGCCTTTTACTAATTTAAAATTGAGTTTCACCATTTACCTGATCAAACATATCAGATTGGCTTAGTTCTGTTTTAAAGTCGGCTGAACCTGCCAAGATGAGCCCAGTCACGTTAGGCTACATTTTCAAAAAGAGAAAAAAAATGTTGTCACTATATTAACCGCAAAATAAGGAATACAGGTGGGTTTCACTGCAGGATATTGTACCAGTCAGAGAAGAATGATAATGCCAATCTAATCACCCACTGGGTGATTTTTTTAGGCAAAGCAAAAAAACAAATACTTAACTGGAATTGACATACACAAAACTACAAAAGTCTATAAGGCAAACATACTTTATCATTAGCTATATACAGTTGAACAGCAGTCTCTGCTACTTTTCGCACATAATTATGCCTCTTTTCCATTCTTAATCGAGCAAAACGTAAAGCTGATTGACCACCACGACCTAAAACAATAACAGACAACTTAGTGATAATGTATAAACCATGAAATGTCAGATAACATGTTACTGAATTAAGCAATATGTTTTTTAATAAAAAGCCTTGCACAGTGCACTTGCAGTGATGTTGGCTGAAAGTAAGCATCAGATATATGGAATGGATACAAGATGCCTGCTAGTCAGCCATGTTTAATCTACCTTTCCAGTCTTTACTCTCAATGTATTACACATTAGAGTACCACACAACAATAGGAAAGGCAATGCCCTTTAGCTGTAATATATCACCAAAATGGCATCATTTGCATGTCTGCCCTCTAATAGATCACAGCTCTCGACCAATTAAAATGCAGAAACTATTAAATAATAAAATATAGCCCACCATGTTTCTTTGGTAGATCCACAGTAAACCTATGCAGAACATCACGAGTGTTTCCACACAAAGTACCAAAAAGAGCACCATTACCATCCATCACAATAAAACCAAACTTTGTGTCATCTGTTAGTAAATTACTTAACGCCTAGATGAAATTAGTTTACAAACACGTAATGAGTTAACTCACTGAATACCATTCTTCTATCTAAATTGTGCTGTATTAGAATTTGTGTTATTTGCATTTGCACATTTTTAGTTAAATAAAATTAAAACTGAGTGAAAAGAAAGGTATCCAGTCCACTTTCATAAATTATTATGCAACTCTTGTTCTCATTTAACTAGGACACTGGAAACTCTCATACAATTTATCTATTCATGTGTCAATGTCACAACCATTTCATCCACAGCAGACTACTAAAAACAATCTACCATGGTCTTGAAGGATGCTTTGATCTACCTTTCATGGAAAACCCTTCAGCTAACAGTCAAAGATAGCTGCAGGACGTTACAGAAAGGACAATAAATTATGATGGGTTTACAACTAGTTAAAAGTTAAAACTATATACACAAGTTAAAACTCTGGTTTTGTGGCTGCTTTATTCTCAAGTTAACCCAGTTTATGGCTTGCTTCTGTGGAGGAGAGAGGTGATTATACAAACAACACTTCTGACATCAAAACTGAGGATTTCAATTACTTTAAATTAACCAACAGAAGCATAAGACAAATTCAGGTTTCATCGACAGCAGCCATTCTGAAACAAATTCAGGCTGCAAGCAGGCAACGGGGCAAACCAACTAACCAAGTCCCATTTTAACCAGGCGAACAGAAAAGTGATCATTAGCAGAAAATTTTGCAATAGCACTTACTTCAGTATGAAATTTATTATCACAAAGATATAAAGATGTATTTATAGGCCTGAATGGTTCAAAATCTATATTCACTTTCTTCTCTTTGCCATCTTCTGTTACTATTGTACCACAATATATTACCAAACCATTTGGTGGAACTGGAAATTTTAAAAGATTATCACAATTCATGATCAAATTGTGGGTGGTAACAGACTAGTAAACAATAGACCTTGTGCATAATGACGTCACAAGGCTTGATGCCTGCGAGGAATGCTGGTCTTAGTAGTCATCACCTGGGAAAATTTCGATAGTGGCTATTTTGAATTGTTTAGTTTTCCCGAACTATGACTACTAAGACCGGCATTCCTCGCAGGCATCAAGCCTTGTGACATCATTATGCATAAGGTCTATTGTTCAATGTCATATAGGATAAATAAATATATAATTTTGATTTGGCAGAAAAATATTATTTAGTACCGTACCTTTGTTATATAATTTCAACCTCTGTTGTACTGATGTAATCGCACTTAGGACAGATAATCTACATTATAAATTTATAAAGTTAATAAAGTACAAATAAACAGTTATTCAATAAGGTTTTCGAGATATCTGAAATAATTACCAAAGTCAATGTAAGTGTTATTAGGCAAGACTGACAACGCTTATCGAGACATTGATAATTCAGGATAGCACAAAAATGGAATGAATAACATTTTTTACCTGTTAACACGACTTTTTATATTTGAAGCTGTGCCAAATTCATCTGCCAACATTTTGGCAATTCGCGAAATCTGATCTTTCGGGGGAATAATTAGCGAAATCATACTGGTGCCATTGCTAAAAATACAGGTTGAAGTGCTTTATGCCTTAATACACTTTAATTTGCCAACAACTCACAAACAACCAAATTGGTCTCAATTTTATAGTACCCTCTTGCTGCTTCAAGACTTTTGATCAATTTCTTGATCTTCCACATTTCAACATTTCTGTCCGCAGCTTCTGCACCCTCCATTTTTTCTTACATAAAAATTTTGAATATTACAAATGAAACAACAAGAAGACAATCCGATTAACTTTTAAAGGTTAACTAATTAAATGTCAAGGGTAAACATGTCATGGCTTCCTCAGGGTCACAACAAGTAGATTATCATGGTTCACAAATTCGCTCCAAAATAAAAATGAATTAAAATTTGGCAAAGTTCAAGATACAATAGATGATCAACTACAGAGATATTTTTCTGTTAAGCATGATACTACTTGTTGACGCTCTCTATCAAAACAATTAAGCTTGAAGTCTGTGAGTCAGTGAAGTACTGAAGTCCTCACTTGTAATTTACAGTCTTCAATTATAGATTCCTGGTTTATTCATTGACCAAATCACAAAGGCTGATTAACAGACTTCAAACAGTTTTACAATCATCCATAAAATTGAAATACAGTTTCAAAACATAGACATAAAAAATATCCACATATTCATCCATTAAAGTATGATCATCAAATATACACGTGCTATAAAAGTCAAATATACAATATAAAATCACAACAAAATTCAATTAAATTCTTACCAAATTCTCCGTAAATCTATCCAAATTCTTCTAAATATTACTAGTTTGGTTCAAGATAACTTGAGATGTTATAAATTTTGAGAAAATAATAATGTTTGCCGGAAAAGACGTCTAAAAATTTTCTTTTGAAAATGGTGCAATTTTACATTCCAATCTGCAGACTCATTGTCAGCGGTTTGAAATATTATTGTATCAATCCAGTAATTCAAAGAAGATCAGAGTTCTCGCGACCCACGCAAAACGTGGGAAAGGCCTGGTCACAAAGCGTAGGATGGATAATTGTTGCAATTTGATTTGGGTTAGCTGTGCCTATATTATGCCTATATATATAAACTATTTATATTTTGTGATAATACCATCATCAATGGAATTGGAAGAGATGAGATAGCTCGTTTACATTAAGTCATGGGACGTATTGATTTTTGTCGGAATGTTTTGCAATCAGTTCCTGGGAAAAGGTTCAAATCAACAGTCAGCTCCCTTAAATCAAAATATGATGCAATCATTGTTGGTGCAGGTATAAAGTATTCACCCATTAACCAGTTGAACACCAGCACTCTACCCTTGACGAGTAAAATCATCTGGTGTTAGAGAAGCTAGGGGCACATTGGGGTGCAATGCAACTTAATGGGTTTATAATGGCAATGTGGTAAAAAAAATCAATCCTATAAACATTTTGCTTCCACAGATAACTATGCACCTGCAAAAGCAACATTTCTTAGCTGGAAAGATATCTAGATATATGCAGTACTGTAGAGAAAACACTTTTTCCAATGTCACAAATATTTTCTTAGTCTGGGAGATCTGGGGGTCCTTGCCCTCATGAAATGATGTAATTATCGAAATTGTGTATTTACTTAACTTCCACTTAAATTTCTTCACTGTAGGGCACAATGGTTTGATCTCTGTAAGTACTGAACCAAAATATTGTTGGGCTGTTGTTATACTTGATCATTGCCACTGTTGTTGTTGGTAATTGTTGTTGGTAATTGTTGTTGGTAATTGTTGTTGGTAATTGTTGTTGGTAATTGTTGTTGGTGGATATGGCCAGTGCTGCTGTTGTTGTCATTGCTGTTGCTGTTACCATTGTTGTTGTTGCTAGTGTTATTGCAGTTATTACAATTGTTGCTGTCATTACTGCTGTTCTTGTTGTCATTGCTGCTGTTGTTGTTGTTATTGTTGTTGCTGTTGTTGTCATTACTGCTGTTGTCATCATTACTGCTGTTGTTGTTGTTTTGGTGATTGTTGTTGTTGCTGCTGCTCATATGCTCAGACACATTTTGTTACTGATGTTATCATCGGAAATGTTTATATCATTGTTCAGAAATGACATAATACTAACTTACTGCACTAAAATATGTAGGCTGCATACCTTCAGAGAGCTGGTCTCAACGTCCTGGTACTTGAACGTAGACACGTCATTGGTGGAGCTGCAGTTACAGAAGAAATTATCCCAGGTGCTTTCAGCAGTCACCACAGACTGCAACTTATCAAGATCTTGTCTCAATGTTAATGCTCATTGAAGTATATCAGTGTATAACTTCTAGAACATATATCTTTTTCTAGGATTTAAATTTTCTAGATGTTCCTATGTACTTAGCTTATTAAGACCTCAAATAATGAAAGACTTGAAGCTTAAGGTACTCAGTGCTTATTACTCATCCCTTTTAGACTACTTATTGGTTCAGAAAGGTATATATAAATAGTTATTCATTGAATAGTAACTCCTCTTCGTTTAAGGATTTTGGGCTGAAACTGCATTTTCGGGATCCAAATTACTTTACACCATTGGCGGATGGCCGTTTTCTCTTGCTGGGATCAGACGAGGAGAAAAATTACAAAGAGATTTCAAAATTTTCTAAGCCAGATGCGAAGGCAAGGATAGATCCCCCAATTATCCCTGACTGGGATTTGCGTAGGGTTGTAGGCTGCATGTTTTTGTATGTCAGAAATTACGTTGCAAGTTACAGCAAAAAATACCTCGTGTAATAAGCCCTTACTATACCTTTCTTATTTATGAATGCGATATCTTTGTATCATTTAGATGTTGCCAAAATATGAAGCTACGCTTAGTAGATTAGGTATAACGGTATAACCTATATTACTTTTGGCGCTTTTTAAGAAACGAAACACATTGAGATCTGAATTGAACTTAGGAATGAAAATTGTGGTTGCGTCCTGTGCTTCTGGTTAATTCTACCAAACACTGCATGCAGATTCTCTCCGCGAGTACTCTTCCTCTTATTAGTAACACTGGGTCAATAAGTAGTTGTCCTTACTGGACCTCTGGGGAGAATAGGTTGTAATGGATAGGGTTATCCACTAGTCTAAAATAAATTGTCTCGTTTACAACCACACATGGATCTCTGTTGAGATAAAAACTTTGACATTGCGATGTTTGTACAACGGCACGAGTGTCAATATCATTTTATCTTTAAACACAGTGGAAGCGATCGGACCATTTCTTGACAACCCTCCTGTGGACATCAACGCCCTTCTTCATGGTTCTTTGCGAGAGAGAATGGACACCTTACCTTCGTTTAGAGCTTTGATAAAAACAGGCAAGCACGCATTATTCTCACGCTTTTGATTGAAGTATAAATAATCCTTTCTTATCTTGTGCTTTTTAAACAAGTAGAAATTATTCTTCTAATTTGCGTTTTAAATACTGACATGTAGTACGAAAGCTTGGCGCAGATCTCCCGTTGTTCTACGACCTTCTCACTGCTCCAGCAACAAAGATAAGTATTTTACGAGAAGAAGCAAGTAGCATTTTCGTGAATGAGTTATAAAAAAAGATTATTAGGCCGCGAAGATTGGGACGTGTCACTCCCAACTGCGTCTAACATTTTTTAAACAGTCACTAGATAAACATCTGATCGTTCCGTTCAAGGGATACAAAAGTCCAGTACATCATTCAATTGTACACTATTGACACGTATTGTAATAAATTGATGTTGTTGGCTGTTGTTTTGTTGTTGCTGCTGCTGTTGCTGTTGCTGTTGTTGTTGTTGTTGTTGTTGTTGTTGTTGTTGTTGTTGTTGTTGTTGTTGTTGTTGTTGTTGTTGACAATGACAAGTGCATCATTTATCGAAACGAAGGGTTTTGTTGATTATTTTAATTGGTCTTGTTGGTTGTTTGATTATTTTGTATTCTCGTGCACGTTCTAGACAAATGGTTTGAATCAGAGCCGTTGAAGGCTTGCTTGGCAATGGATTCTATCATTGGAGCAACTGTCAGCCCTTCCACTCCTGGTAGTGCGTAAGTAATACACGTTTTGCTTACAACTTCGGGCAAACAAGAACGCATTATTTTGCTAATACATTTTATTTATAAGTAAATTTTATTTCAGCAATGTAATAAAATTTTTAAAACACTTCCACAGTAATGTTTCCTGTTCACCAGGACTTAACTTTTTGCACGTGCACACCGTTCTAATTATTCCATACAAAGTGAGTACACGATAGCTCAACACACAGAAAAATGAACTGGGGCTGAATGTGCACGCGTGGTTGTACCTATTTTTATATTTTCAGATATGTTCTTCTGCATCATGTCATGGGGGAACTTGAGGGACGTAAGAGTGCATGGGCATACGTTGAGGGTGGTATGGGGAAATTATCTCAAGCAATTGCTGACTCGGCCACTTCAATGGGAACCACAGTATTGACAAATAAGGTATTACACTCATAAATCATAGATCACAAATTCATATCGATCATCAACCTCGTTCCCAGGTTCTCCTCTCCTTTCCACTAGAAACTAGAAAGCCCTGGGAACGAGGTCGATCGATCACTTGAGCGCACAGGATTTATCGAGACTCATCATCGTCCCGTCAAGCATGATCAGGAGATAACTTTAGTATTTAGTAACATCAGCATAACCATCGATTCATTCCTTGACTACTATGAATTTCTATAATCGATTTTGCTTGATTTCTAGCCAGTGAAGTCGTTTCTCTTGCAAGGAGAGTCAAAAACGGCAGTTTCTGGTGTAGTGTTGGAAGACGGCACAGAGATCAAGGCAAACATTGTGTTGTCCAATGCAACACCAAAAATAACTTTCCTGGATCTATTACCTGAGGTTAATCGTTTGTTTTGTTTTGTTTTCTTTTCTTCCAAACCCCTCAATTTAAATGATGTTAACAATTTTGCTCTGTATTCAGGCCAGTTATTATCTCTCCACCCCTGAGATAATTTTGAAATACTAGGTACCCCACCCCGCCCCCACCCTCCTCTGTAAGGCTAATGAAAGAACGCAACAAAACGAAGCAATACCATCAACCTGATCATAGATTTATTTGCTCTTTTTAGGGAGTTTTATCAGAAGAGCTTCACAAGGATATTTCATGTTTTAGCTATGATTCACCTGTTACAAAAATTAACGGTGAGGAGCAACAGTATTATAGTTTTTCAGAAACATTAGTTAACAATTTTCTCTACTAATTTCAGTAATTTGTAGGTTTGTAGCTTCTCAACGAAAGGCAATTTCTCTCTGAGAACCAACCATTTTAGTTTTGTTGTTTTATTATGTTGCTACTCAAACTAACTAATTGCTTCGCAGTTGCTGTCGACAAATTACCAAACTTTTTGGCACGACCAAATAAAGAAAGCGGCGAGGCTTCAGATCATCACAGATGTACTATTCACATAAATACGGAATCAATGGCAACAATAGAAAAAGCTTACACAGACTGTTTGCAAGGAAGACCCTCAGATAGGTAATTGAAATTAAGAAAGTGTGCACGAAGTGAAAGTTATACCATTCAAACCATCCTCGTCCCCAAGCCCAGCTCGCATCACTGCGAGAGCCGTGCGAGCTGGACCTGGGGACGAGAATGTATTTGCGATGTATATGTACGGCCTTACCTTGTGGAACCGTCCGTACACAAGCATATTTTGCCACATAATGAATTGAAGCTATACACACAAGTGACACAACTACAATATTCAGGGGTTTTTTCAGGGATTTTTTAGGGCCGTTAAACGGCCCCAAAAACTCAATCTTGAATTGAGTTTGAAACTCAATCTTCTCACCAAAGTTTTAGTGCAGTAAAAATGATGTTGTTTGAGCTAAATTCGTGACGTGTGGAAATTAGTTTTCAGTTGGAAACCCGTCAATTAAAAAAAATGGCTGGAATTCATCTCACAACACAAGAAAAACTATGCATTCGCCATCTTTAACCAATTTATAGTGTCCCTTAGTGCCCGTGCTTTAACACATTCCGTCTCAACTACATTTATGGAGTACAGGTGTCAGCCCCCCGGTAGGGTGGGGGGGGGGGTGCAGCCACCCCAGCTGTTCAGCTAAACTCAATCTTCTCTGCAAAAACGGACCCAAGAGAAAATCCTGAAAAAAACCCTGATATTGTATATATTGTTAATATAGACCGCTAATCGAAATGTGCATTCCTTCATCCCTGGATCCAACCCTAGCTCCCCCTGGCTGCCACGTGTTATCCCTGTTTATCCAGTATACCCCGTATCACTTGAAGGATGGCACGTGGACTGACGAAAAACGAAATGCTTACGCTGATAAAGGTGAGCACTGTAAATTATTAAGTCCGTCCTCTGAAATATGCCACGGATAAGATTTATTAGTTGGGCTGGAATTTCAAATGAGTTTACTACATTACTTACACTGTGTTTTGACTTAAAAATATAACCCTTCCACTCTATAAACCGCCTCCTTCTCTATCTAATAAGCTTCTCCCCCCCCCCCCTCCGTTCACGGTAATTGAGAAGAGGTTCTCCCTAATTAGATTACTCGTTACCTTGTGCGCCCGGTGACGTGTATGGCTATTAAATGTCAGTCGCATTTTATTCCATCATCGAGTTTTTGATATACAAATACACTAACTGATTGTTGGCAAGGTTTAAGCTTATTTTTATCAGCAAATATATTAACACTGGTGTAAAGCTGCCTGTCAAATTGGTGCTCTGCAAATCCCATTTTAAAGCGCTGGCAAAAACAAGTCAAGGTTAAATAAGTTGACCTAGCCCACACGTGATGACACGAATGCAGTTCCCTTTCAGCCTTGCTTCTTTCACTTCAGTCTGCGAACTGCGTCATTGCGGTCATTCGATTGATCTGGACTGGGTTTATCATCTGCGCACATTCTGACCTTGTCAAGACTGAGAGAAGATCGCTGAATATTGGGAGAATGGCATCAACAGTGACACAGTTGTTTCTTTTCGCTCTTAGCATTGCTCTAAGCCAGGCTACTAATGAAATCTACAGTGGTGATGAGCTAACACCAAGTCCGACCTTGAGTTCGACGGAGATTTCACGAAACTTGTCAAAATCCCTAACTCAACTTGCGCTAGCTGTGGCAAGGTCAGCCTATCTGCCGACCGACCGTTTCTCAAGGAATGGCACGATTATGGAAAACCCATCTCATTTCGGCAAAAGCTGGGTACGGTGTCCAAAAGATAAACCTGAAATGCAAGTTGGCCTGTGTTATAAACCGTGTAATGCATCAACTTGGGCTTTCGTCAAAGGTGTTGGGCCTGTATGCTGGGGTTGCCCCAAGTCGCATCCGGTGGAACAAGGAGCGCTGTGCTATAAACAATGTCCTGCTCGGAAACCGAAAGGAAGAATGTTTTTTATGTTTTGGTGACTGCCCGAGTGGTTACCGGAATGACGGGCTGACATGCTTCCGTGATGCCCGTTTGCGGGCTGCCAACAACGCCGCCTGTCCATGGTACGATAAATGCGGGCTCACTTTCTCGCGTGGATGTTCTAAATGTCCCGCGGGATATAAGAACGATGGATGTGTATGTCGACGAAATCCTCACGTTACTGTGCGCCCGCGTTATCATAGAGGCGTCGGTATCGTCATGAAATCCTACGGCCGAGGTGTCGGAGTATTGCCGAACTTTTTACGATATGATCCGACGAGTGAACGAGAGGCGTGCCGAACAAGGGATTGGAACGGAACTGCATTCGTGAACAAAGACACAGAAGTCGTGAAGTTCGTAAATCACCGTCAGAAGATCGTAGTGTTCGGCTTCCGAGGCACAGAGGTGAAGAGCGCTTCTGATTGGTTGGCGAACTTAGACTTTCGTCCTGAGGAATTCTGGGTAAACAACACACGTTTGAGAGCTCATCGTGGGTTTAAAAATAGATATGACAACATTGCAAGTTGGTTCGAGAAAGAATACCTGAGCATACCCAGGGAATATTTGATTTTACTCACAGGACACAATCAAGGAGCTGCTCAAGCGAGCATCGCGTCCGTATTTGCAGCAGGGAAACTGGCGCGACCTCCAAATGCTGTCATCACATGGGGAAGTCCATTGACGGGAGCATGGAGTTTCAGAAAATTTTACCGGAAGTACGTTGGTTGTCACGTCACAGTCAATTACATCACAAAAGGAGATATCGTTGCATCGTTACCAATGATACATGGCTATGCGCATGCGTGCGATGTCGTAGAACTCGAACCCAAGCACGATGACTTCATCCGCGCACACAGTCTGTATTCTGGATACGGAGAGGGATTGGAACTAGCATACGGGGATACACAAGGAATGAAAAGTGGCTGCGATGTTCCCATGACAACCGAGAAGGGCGTATCCGAGAACGACGTATCCGAAAATGTCTTTGGTTATTATTAAATTTCAGCAATAAAGATTACATTAAACTGATATAAATTTAGCTGTAGAATCTCAAGTTGAAAAAAATGTAGTTTTATACTATCTAATATCAAATCATGTATGGGCCAAAGTTTTATACGTATTATTTTGTAATCGAATTGTAATCAAATTATTAAAGTCAAATCTTGGTCATAAATTAAACTGGTAGAAATGTAGTTTGCATCTACTATCAATATATTGAAAATGAAGAAATATTAAATAAGTAAAATTTTACGGAATGAAACAATGCGTTTGTTCTGCTGAGTATTTGGTTGTTGTCGTGAGTACATGGTCAAACACGCGGTCATTCTTATTTTTAGTATTTGACAGTATCGAGGAATATGCACCAGGATTTAAATCTTCAGTGGTCGGTAGAGATATTTTAACCCCGCCTGATTTGGAGAAAACATTTGGTCTCACTGGTGGGGTAAGTAGATACAACATGGTACATCATAAGGAATTGTTACGTGGCTAGACAGTCTCGTTTTATTGATCGAGACCAGCATCGTCCCCAGGCTCCAGTACGTGCGTGGGGTTTGCGAGGCGCAGCCACTGGGCGTATCTATTCCCCCTTTTCCCGCCCACGCGTGTTTCTCCCGCGCCGGGGACGAGGCTGGATTGAGACGATGATAGGCTTTAACTGATGTCACATACACGAAAACGAGGCTCTACAGCTAAAGTCACGTTTTTTGCGGAAGGGTATATTGTGCAACGAAGTTTGTAGGTACCAACCTCGTTCCCAGGCTCTTCCCTCTTGGGAACGAGGTTGTGTAGGTGCACCCAAAATGACGTCATGCAAGTGGCTTTCATCTTGCTCCAATTCAGTGCACAAGGAGGGCATTTTAAACAAAAGAATCTCATTATTGTCCTCAGTCTGCCTTTGTGTTAAAATACCTATGCATCATCATTCTCATCCACATGCAAGCGATCCCCAACCCCAGCGGGAGTCAGTTGGATTGCTTATGTTGCTATAGTACACGTGTTAAGTATCTTGGTTACATTTCACTTCAGAACATCTTTCATGGTGCAATGTCTCTCGACCAGTTATATTTTGCGAGACCGGTTCAAGCACTCTCAAACTACAGAACTCCTGTCAAAGGACTCTATTTGTGCGGCAGTGGAACCCATCCTGGTAAGATACACCGCTGACAAGGCCGTGTATAATTCATAAAAAAACTCGGGAAGTTTAGGGGTATTTACAACTGTTCTGATAATGTAATAATGAAGAGGAATGAACCATAAATTATCTCTCATAAACCCTTGTTACCACCCGCGTGCTATGCCAAATATTGCGTGATTCTGCTGTTTGCACAGGGTTACCTGCGGATGAGCCAACAGGCGGCATTAACTGCGTTTGCGCCGCAGAATTAATTACCATCAGTGTTCGTAGCCCACGTAAATTCGAGTTCGCTGATTCGATATATTCATGCTATTACTCACAATAGATCCGCTTGTTAGAGGTTAAATAGTGAGTTGACTGGGTAAAGGCTCTTTTCCACTTATCGCAAAAACCAACTCCCGTTTTTGCAACGAGTTGAAAAGAGCCTTTAAAAGGCAGGTAAGGCCTCAGTACTCTAATGTTTATTTCATTATGTTTCAGGTGGAGGAGTGATGGGTGCTTCAGGGAGAAATGCGGCCAACATTGTACTGCGTGATCGTAATAAATGAATGTAGAATAAGCACTTTTCTATTCTCAATAATTTATGTAATTTATAAAAAATTATAATAAAGAATGGATAATATAAGTGTAGAGTTTTGTAAGGACAACTATTGCTCGCTAATGCCTTTTCCAACGTGCCGTCAATTCAATATTGTACGTTGGCTGGGGTAGCGAAGCCAGCCCGACAATTTGGTCATGCTATGCAAATTTAAATCAGTATCATTATTCATTTCTTTACAAATTGTTTTCACGGTGTATGAACACGGAAATATTTGCATAGCATGACCAAATTGTCGGGCTGGCTTCGCCACTGGTTGGCCCTAACCTGAATCCAAGTATAGTAATTGCAACCGTGTCTAGTAATTGCAACATGTAGCTGTTAACAGCAACGTAGCGAATGTAGCCATGACTCATGAGCTACAAAGTTAAAACAACTGTTTCAGCGATATGTACAGAATTTTAATACACACATTGTTCATATCTATATAGTTTTTCTACAAAGAAAAATGTTACGTACGAAATAATCCATTTGTTTAGTTCTAAAATTCCGTGAAATCCCGCATTTGCCAGCATGCAGGAGGATTCTGCGAAAACAATGTATCTTTTTATAAATTATATTAATATAAATGCATTTTGTGTAAATTGGAAAATTACTTATACGGGGGATTTTTACAGGTCGTCTTTCTAGCTTAAATTATAATATGTACAATACATTATTTTTCTTAGAATTGCAGTCCCTGGCGGTAGGTCTTGCGAACCGTTGGGCCGTTTTGACCATCCGTCCAAGATTTTGAGCGCCTGGAAAAACGTTTATATTCCTGGGTAAAGTTTTCGTCAACCATGGGGCGATAAGTTTGTGGCTCGCAGTATTCCTGCAGAAATGTGAAAATTAAAAATGTTTATGTTTTGCTATCAAATAGTACAAGCTTTTGTGGTTGATGAAATTGCACATTTTTTTGTAAAATTATTGAATGTCTTATATCAACAGCATATTCAGCGTGCAGTGACACGTTTTAATTTTCTTTCATTTGAATTGCTGCTTACAGTATATATGGTGTCATACAGACTGGTTAAAGAGTAAAGACTATAGTTATTGTATTTGTGATAGTGAATTATACCCCTCCCAGTATTTTTAAGATGTCTAGCTCAAATTATCGAGAAAATAAGACTTGACTGTAACATTTTACAGCTTGTTGAGTCAGGTAAGTCTGCAAGTAATTATCTCGCTATTAAGACGCAGTTGTAGACTTACACTAAGTTTTGAAACTTAACGATAAAGCATTCCCCACCACCTACCCAAATATTTCTCGCTGGCCGCAAAACCAAATATAATCATAATCGTCTGAACGCACAGGCAATTTTGTCGAAGCAGCAAACACTAGAGAATCGAGGCAATTCTTATGAACTCCAATTAAATAATATATTTGAGAATACTAACCTGACAACTCTCAAAGAATGCTTTATAACCACCATGAATAACGTAGATTTCAGGATAGAACAACTTGGGGTAACAGTGCGTGTGACTGTCACGGTCTTTGTTGCGTAAATAACGGTATCTGAAAAAAATCCAGGATTTTGGGCTCTCACTCGCTTGAACTCATGTTGTAGGGTTTTGTACATGGAAATTTCGAGGGTAAAAATTCTACACTTTTATTTCCACCTAACCAGGATGAAACTCTGCTCGGGGGGACAGGGTGCGTAGCGCCGCCCATCAAGCTGCAGCAGTCTAGGGGCACAGTTGCCAATGTCAATGGGGGTAAGAGGGAAAGTCCCCGGAAAATGTTGAGATTTTTGGTCTATTTAGTTCAAAATCCTTGCTTTTTTTTTCTTACTATCAAAATCTTTATTTCAGTCATACTACTTTTTTTTTTTGGGGGGGCAATTTTCTCTAGAAAAAATCCGTCTATGATGAAACTATAGGCCCAAACTAAGACTGTGAACTCGCAGTAATGTTGGCTGAAAGTAAGCATCAGATATATGGAATGGATACAAGATGCCTGCTAGTCAGCCACGTTTAATCTACCTTTCCAGTCTTTACTCTGAATGTATTAGACATTAGAGTATCACACAACAACAGGAAAGGTTCACTGAAGAGTTAACTTGTCAATCAAGATACGTGCAAGCTTCAAAGTGTAAACAATGAGCTACGATCTTCATATGTTGAGAAACCTTACCATTTACAAACCTTTTGGAAATACCTAGAACTATTTCAACAGTGCAGTTGAGCACGTGATTCGTTTCGAGATGACGTCATTGGACGCCATGTATTGCTTCATTACGCCCAAATTTCATTGTTTTCATCCTGCACAAGTTTGCACGAAAAGATGGAACAAAGACATTGGCAGACTTTCCAGATAACATATACCGATTAACAATACGCCATACTTTTATGGGTTTTGATTATAGAGCACACACGTTCAACTTACAATGTAGGAGCTCTTTTCGACGAGAACTCGCAGTGAAATATTAACACTGTTCGTTTTTCCGGGCAAGATTTTGGTTTCTTCAAAAAGAAGTTATAGATTTCCTCCTTGGTATGCATGTTCATCGCCGTCTAAACAAGATCATAAATATTAAATAGGAAAGTAAACAGCAGTGTATCACTTGTCCAGGTGATATACGTAGCCAGAAGCTGCAGAAAATCAAGTTTTGCATATAAAGCATGAGCAAAATGTACGATCCTTTCATTCTAACCTTGATATGACCACCATCATATTCATAAGGATAGCGACAGTCTATGATATACACTTGATCGATATGCTCTTGAAATTCCAAGTCTAAAACTCGGGATACCTATATATGCAAAATATGACCCATTAGGGCCTTATAGGGGTCAGTCGTTGAACGTATTTGCAACAACCGAGATATACAGAAGCATGACTGGGTTAACACCATAGATATCTGTGGTTAACACTCAAAACGTGAACAATCCTAGAGTAAAATACTGTACCGTTTCTGGAGCAACTGTTTTGAGGTCTTGGTGCTGCCCTTTTACCGTTGGCAAAATATCTTGCTGGAAAAAAAGAGTATAATCTTTGTCAAAATATTTTGCTGGAAAAAAAAGAGTGTAATCATTGTAAAACTTCCACATAAAACTTTACGTGCCATGTTGTGCAAAAAAAATGCAACCGCTGTTTCGCACAATCAAAATTCTATATACTACCTTGCTAAAGTCGCCAATTAAATGGTTGTTGTCTTGACCTGGAAATATATACAAAACAAACTGAATTAGTTTGGTAAAAGTTCCCTAGTGGCTACGCCAAGATTTTGTACCAACCCCCCTCCAAAAAAAAACACCCACCTATCTTCCCCACCCATCTCCGATTATGTAACCATGTGTGTGCAGGTAAATGCTCTTTTGAAGGGTGCTCGCAGGGGAGGTGTGTGTTCACTCCTACCAAGTCAACTTACGACTCAATACAACTTACCTGCTTTTAAATATTTATCAATATCCGCACCGCGGGTTCTTGATTCTACCACGGACATTGATCGCATTAACGGACTCCTGGCAGGCTTTCGTTCGCCCTATGACACGAAGACAAAACTTTATTTCAACACACATAAATTTTACTGAAAAATAAATGTACATAAAAGCCACAATAAGGACACTGCAAATAAGAGCTTTACTTACAGCAAGAAGTAAAGGTGAATTCCAGCTCGCCTCGATTGCGGACGAACACCTTGCTCTAAAAGAGTAGAAAAAAGATAGTATTACAGTACATAAATTTTAATATCTAAGAAACAGACGAAAATCCTCACATACAGTAAGTCTGTATACTAATAATAGTAATAAACAATACAATATGGTTGGTACATAAGCTGTAGTGGTTGGTGTCAAGTGAACTACAATTACTACATTAAAAAGGTTAGTAACACTTTCACAGCGTTTCCAACGAAGGCGTTACCAACCTCGATTTTAAATATTAAACATGCAATCATGGGTTTTTTCAGTACCTTAACTTTTTCCTTTCTTCAGGACTGGGATCTCGAGGCGGAACTGGTCTCTAAACGAGTAAATGCCAAGTTAATACAGTAATTAACAGGACTGCTGAGAGGTTGTGTAGGAAAACTTTCCAAAAGGCCCCTATGACGTCATAACGCTAGATTTAGCAAGGTAGCTCCACTGTCTTCACATGTTCTTTGTAGTTGGTCTATGGCTCCTGAATTCTTAGCGGAGCTGAATTCTAATTTGGAGCCCCTTCTACTATGGAGGTAGCTTTCTTCCATGTGTCCCTAATATCTCTAGCTATGGTGTTTACCTTCATTGATACTGACTTAGACCTTCTTGGTTTTACTTCAGGACTACTGGTGCATGCTATTGGATGAAATAAACCACATGGCTCCAACTTTGTCTCAACAGAACCCTAAACACAATCGAGCACGTAATAAGTTTCTCATATGTTTTCATGGGGAGATAATTATAAAATTGGCTAGGTGTAGTATGTGTACATGCATTTAGTATTTCACCTAACAACATGCTAACAAAGATCTCACAGTAAGGATAGAAAGCATAAAATTTTAGGATTTGTAAAACACAAACCTTAAGAGTACTGCCACTACCTGAATGCTGGTTATTATCGATATTCTTGTAAAAAAATAAAGATAAAAGTTCATGGAATAAGTCTTATTTTGAATGAGTTTATCACTTTATGTACAGTATTAGTAAAATACACCATAAAAAGAAATTGTCAGAGTCCATACGTACTGAGCTTGACAAAGGCTTTGTCATCAATCCAGCGACTGTTGATGACACTGTAAATGCATCATCCTAAAAAACATTCAAAATCAGTCATTTGCAGGTAACCGCAGCAGATCCCAACATCGGACACCTGTGGAATTTGCCAGCTCTGGTATCAAGTTGTGTGGGTCATATGCACTGCCCGCCCATCAACTTGATTGCCTACTGCAAAGTCTTGCTTGACTATTGTATTTCAATTGTAATTGTTGTTCACAGTTCACTTATCACCATGTTATTATTACTCATTTTGTCTCTAATACTTTTTTGCTTTATCATGAAAAATAGCACACCTCTGGCCGGGGCTAGGGGGTGCACCCCCCCCCCATAAATCCATCTCTGTTGTTCCAATATTTCTTGATGTTGTATAAAGTATAGTTTAGTTGGTGTGATATCCCCAAGGATCTTACAGACTCAATAAAATGTACATGTAAAGGATTCTACCTCATTTTGTTCTAGCTGAGCATAGTCTATAAATCCATCATCATCTTCATCTACGGAGAAATGTACAACCATTCCTTCACAGTCAGTCGACTCCCTACGAGGTGATATGCCAGGTGACTGAAATGAATATAAAATACGAATGAGAGTTGATCACGTTATTAACACGCTATGCGTTCACATGGATGCATGAAATTGGAGGAACTGGAGCAAAATATCTTCACAGGAAATTTTCATATTTGCAAAATATTTGAAAATGAAATCTACTAGTATGCAGGACATTTTACATTCGGTTTACAGAGAAAATTTTCATTTTTTAATTTTGCTGGCAGGAAGAGAAATATAGTTTCTAGACCTGGCTAACTATACAAATTCGAGGCCACATTCTGTCTGAACAAGTAGAACCACACAAGTTTGCATATAGTTCCAAATTTGGCCCGTCCGAATGTAGTCGAAGGAGCGACATACAGATACAAAATATTTTTTCATTTGCATTTCTTTTTTTGCTTATCTTGCTGGTATGAAGCAGGATTTACTTGGCATATTACCATAAGTTCTGCAGGGGCAGAGATAGGTCTTCTTTTTCCAGCACTCGATGCACTTCTGTAGATTGGCATGGATGGCTTTGCAAACTCAAAATCATTTTCTTTATTATTATTTTCATCCATGTCTTCCTCCACAATTTCACAAGAGTTGTCCTTCAATGGACCTTCCTCATCCTTTGCACAACTTGCAAACTAAATGCAAAAAAAATCATGCTCAAGATCATGCACACAGTAACAAATCCATTTTATCACGATAAATCATACTACAGCTGACAGAGTCGTAAATAAGACCGAAGGATTCGTTTCTGGTGAGGGAGGAAGAATCAGAGGAAAGCCAGAGAAAAACCCTCAGAATATTCTATAATAAACTGCCTAATTATTTCACCAGGAATTTGTCATCCTCATACCCAGATTCTTTCCTCTACACTCCTGAGGAAAGAGCTGGATGTGCATGAAAAATTATGCTAATGCAATAAGTTGTAATTTGAACAAAACAGCATAGTTGGGATTTGGAGACAGGAACAAAACTAATTGCATGATTTGTACAAATTTGTAATGAATACTAGTCCTCACTGTGGGATGTATTTTTGTTATGACAGACATGACACAACTGGCATAATGAATTCCCTAATTTTGTAGGACCTAGTATGCCTGTTCGCAGGTTGGAAATTGAAATGTGATACTTCAAAGGACTACATAGTATGTAGATGTTTGCTGAAGAGCTTAACTACTTACAGGTGAAGAGATACTCCGTATTAATCCAGACCTCCTAAGAAAATAATTATTAAAAAAATGAGTGCTAACCCATTGAATTGCAATGCACCCTTGCTCTTAATAGGTAATAGCTTACATCATTAATGACTAATGTATACCTGATTGGCTTTGAAATTGAACGACGTCTCCTGGAACAAAAGTAAACCATGAGAAAATCAGTTTTATTTTCCCTACTTTGGTGTAATTACAGTTCTGTGATCAAGGATGTGCCAAAATAATATACAACTCTTCTGGAACAATTGAAGGGCTTGCATAAGATATTAATGTGTAGGAAATAATTACATGAGTAGGATTTGTTTCTGGATGGTTTTGAATCAGAAAATTTCACCAAATCTGATCTGATATATCCCTTAAAAATTACTATAGCTATTATTATGTGTCTGTGAACAAAGGCAACCATTTGAAACAAAACTTTCATTTTTATGCCATGTGGTGAAACTTGACCTTGGCACACGTTTTAAAAGATCAACATCCGGATATTGTAGCAGCAGGCGCTCTAAGCGGTGAGCCAATCATGTTCAAGAACAACTTTAATTGAGGGATGGTATTTACTGTATTCATCACAGAATATTCGATGACATTATTTATAGTCAAGTCAATAAAAGTGAAAAGTCTGATATCAAATTTCCAAATCTAATAGAACTTTGTATAATATCACATAAAATAACAAACAGAACAGCATTTTTGATATCGTACTATAATACTACCTAATTTAGACAATCTGACCTTATAAAATCGGCCGATGGGGAATCTAATCCACCATGTCTGTCGGGCGAAGGGCAGTAACCTGTAGAAATTCACATGAAGGCAAGGTTAAAATGGCAAGTTTTCCACATATTGTTGAAATTATAAACCTGTAAAAGCCCCCAAAGTTTCCCAAGCATTCATTTTATATTGACAATATGTTTGACCTGATTCACTTGATACACTGCGAGAAAAGCTTTTCGAAGATAAAATTGGGGTAGAAGAGTTGTTCTCGATTTCCCCTAACATTAGCTTCCTTCTTGGGGTGCATTTGGGTCTGTTAATAGCAAAAGACGTTTAAAAATTAGGCTAGAAATAGAAGAGAATAATTCTAGACAAGATTAAGAACTTTAACTCATGACAAATGCAAGTACAGCCACTCGAAAACTACGTGAAAGTCATCTCACCCTGTCGGTGTTCTTGTACATATGCCTTCAAAATTCATCGCGAGTTGTGTCATTGGCGAAGCCACAACTTGTTCTGTAAACGACGACACAGCTCCAGGCATTTGAATCCTTAGTTCTTTTGCATTTTGTCGCTCCATTGTTGAGCGTTCAGCTCAACAAACTTTGTAAACGATTGAGAGCTTTGTCGCGTGAACGAATGTTGACGAATATTGAAGCTTTCCCACGACAGCAAGACGAGCTTCGACGGCGTTTAGTAGCGACAAAAGACCATCCGAAGAAGCTTCTTTGCCGCCCAAACGCATTAAACTAAACAGCAGTGGGCACACAAGCGAGCTATCTTTAAAACAAAAGCCACAATGTGGAGCATTTTCAAGCGCTCTTTTTCAAACACTGGGGAATTTTAGCTTACGATTAATTAGGATTCTCTCAGCCAATCAGAGAGCAGAAACGAGGGATGTTTTTGTTCCCTAGCAATGGCCGAGTGCGCGAAGGTCACGAAATTTGCATACGACCAACATAATTATCTGTAATAAAATTAAACGTTTCTTTCTTTTCTATACTTATAAATCAAAATCATTGCATTAAATTATGTGTACGTCCCCGCGCAGGAAGCTATAAATCTTTTGACCAGCTCAAAACTCAAAAACAAATTCATGAGAATACAGAAAAGCCAAGGAGAAGCCAATAGTGAGCTGATGCATAGGATGATGGTTGATAGTGGTCAAGTAGAAATATTGACACTTCATAGGAGCAAGAAACTATGTCTCTCAGTTCTATTTATTTCATGCCACTAAAATAAAACACTGCTATTGCATAAATTTTCTCGATTCTGTCAACAGTTGGTTAAGTGAAAAAATTCAGAAAGGGAACCGATCGCGACAAGATTATAAGTTACGACAAAACAGCTCTTTGTCAACAATTATCACCCACCTCATTGGCATGCAAAAGTGGCAAAACACACCTCCCCCTCCTCCCTCAACCCCTCCTTTCAACGGTTGATGATCACAAAGTGGACGCTTCCCAAATTCAATCGATATAGGGGGGATAGGGGGGAGTTTGCCACCGACATTGACGTCATGCATTTAATGAAGATAGATTTGGCTCCGGGGAATTTTACTTATACAGAAAACAAACGAAGCTGCAATCTTATTTCCTCCTTTCTTCCAACCCGTTATGTTCCAGTCAAGAAACAGTCCTTTGCGGGAAGTTTAATTTAGCGTTTCGTGATGCTAACACTCAACGAGGAGGGGAGTACTGCGCGAATCCACACGTCATTTCCCACACTCATTCTTCGCTGTTACTTTCCGAACGCAGAACGAGCGTGGGAAATGATGTTTGGGTTCGCAGACTAGGGGGAGGGGGAATGCGCCTGGCCTAAATAAAATGGTCTGAAGTATTCGTCCCATAGTGTTTGGCATACAATATACATCCTTGAATTATGTTTACTTGCTTCCTGTTCCAAATACAAGAGTAATTTACATCATTCATCCACACTGGTTGACAACAGTGCACAGCGTATACAGGTAACATGGCTAACGGCTTCCGTCCAGAGTGGTTTTCGTGTGTTAAGTGGAGGTAGGTAATATATATGTGCCGTGGGTCTTTTACCTATTTCAGCACCGTTTATTTGATTTCATTGATGTCACTTGTGTGAATTACCCAAGCTGATATAGGATTAACCTCGTTTGTGCTCGGCTTAACTGGGTTAGTCTTTAAGCCAACTTTGGCAATCAAATAATCAAACTCTCTGTATGTAATGACTAATGATCCGTGTATTCGCGCAAATTCGTCGAATGAAAACTTTAAACTTGAATGTCGAATGAAACCTTGAATGTCAAATGGAAAGTTGAATGCATTGTTGGATTGAATATCTTTTAGTATCAATAAATAATAAACATTTAAAAATATTTGCATTTACGCATAGGTAAATTCCAAAGTAAAGGAGTACAAGCGATCAGAACGCCGTGCAAACATTTTCATTTACCAAACACTTAATATGAATATCATTGTGTTTACACCGAATTTGATGGGAGCTTAACGAAAGCCAACACACGGGTAACAATTAATTAATTTGACTGTTCACGAATAAATACGAAACGCCGTCATGAAATGCCTCACTCGGTAAACTGGCGTTGCCACAGACATACATTACCTTGATGGCTAGTTTTGAAGACAGGGTGGCTGCTTTGAAAAGTAGTACTGGCTCAAAAAACTCTCGCTCGCCCCTCGACGATCCGTTTTATGCAGAGTCGTTGATCATTCAATCAAAGTCCATAGTTGGACGAATGTACAGTTCTAATGAATACGTCAGATTTAAATACGAATGCGAACTCAATCAACTCGTCAAAGAATATCGAGTATGGCTCGCAGAAATCAAACGCGAGGAGAGAGAAATCGGAGCAAAATTAGACGCGATGCGGCAAGAACAACGCGACATCTCGAAAGAACGACGCGATTTACAAACGATTCATCTTGTCGCGAAAACCAATCGTGAATTTATAAACCACTACAAAAGACGTGCAATAAGCAAGAGGCATGATCGTTCCGTTCTTTCGATACCACAAACTTCTACCTTTGCAGGTCACGAAAAGAAGCGTTTGTTTCCCCGGAAAGCCGAAAGCGCTGATGATTTGGGTAAAGAAAACAAATTGAAAAAAGTCGTGCGGCTTCCCAAAATCGTTTCAAAACTCGATGGGGTTGCCCGGGTAACGAAAAAGCGTCGGACAAGTTTGCCTGCAATTTCTTCTCAGAATACGAAAACAGGAGACAAATTAACAAAACGCGAAGCTTACGGAACATCTAAGGAAAATATAACAAGTCAATCAAATGACTCGATAAAACACAGCGGAATTGAAAACACATTAAGTTTAGTAAAAACCTCCGTTAATGTGAAGTCTGATATTGCTAGGAATGTGATTAAAAGTGACAATAGCAAGAAGCCTGAACAAATGAAAGTGGTGGAAAGCAAACTCGACGAAGGCGAATCAAGAGCTCTGCCGTTAAGCGAGGTCAGAAAACCGCGTATCCTCTCCGCGCCAAAATCTCGTAGCCAACACCACCAAGTCAGTTTTGTTACGGCCGCGACCAGACCTACATCGGCTTGTGGAACTACTTCGTAGGTTGGCTTGTCGAAAACAGTGAAATAGATCAGAAATAAGTGTAATAGTTTATACTGAAGGCTACATATATAGAGCGTTCCCAAAGCAAATTCAACTAGGGTTCTGTGAACACGGCCTTGCATTAGCTATATACATGTACTCGACAGACAAAATCACGCCAGTTTGATCGAATCCATCACGACTCGGTGCGAACAGAGCCTAAGAAACTGTAAAATTGCATGTAAAGTGTATTTTAAAATGTCTTTTTATATACGATCTATAAACAACGCCATTATAACCAACCATGCACGCCTGCATTTGGACTCAAACTTAAGTTTCAAAGGATTTGTAAGAAATGCATATTTGAGGGAACTGAGTCGTTGTTTAACACTGCATCAACTCCTTCAAACATTTCTTAGAAATCCTTCAAAACTTACAATTTACTATGCAAAATTCCTACTAAGTACTGTCATCACAGAAACTTTGATAGTGTAAATCAGGCTTTAGAGTTGTGGTCATGCATGACCTAGGAAAAATATATTCGTGCGCGAAACTATACCGTTTCCTATAGTTTAATTTCACGGATGCTTCTTCATTGGTGATAATAAAACTGTCTCTGTTTTAATCATCTTAACAAGACACCGAGACACGTTATGTTTCACATGTTAAACTCAACAATTAACAGCTATTTTTATCAATTTTAAAGTCTGTGCGTGCACCGACAGCTTTTAATTTAATCTATTTCGTTAATGCGAATCTCTTCCTTAATTTTTTTAATTTCTAAATTATAGACCATTGGCTGAAGCTAACACGCGGGCTATATACCCGATGGGGGGATACCCTAATATCTTATATTTTCCGGGAATACAGCTCGCGTATTGAACTAAATTCGTTGTTCTAACCAACTTGTTTTAACTATGCAGATTAGAGTTATTCACAACAAAGCATTTCTCAACATACTACTTTTCAGCCAACTCATTTCTTTCTTCATCGTTCGTTTCGACAATCGAAAGAGCGGGATTATTTTTCTTGGAAAACTTAAACAAACATTTGTCAAGTCTCTTCAAGAAAATGTCTACGTCATCTCGACTCATACCCAGGGCTGCCGCGGCCGTCATGTACGCGCATGGATAGTTATTCGTGTGCGCGCCCCATCCAGTGAACTGGTAACCGTTGATGTCCTTTGTCGCGTTTGGAGGAACAACCCTGGTTAAGAAATTAAAATACATTGTAGCAATCACATATATTTCATAGTTCTACATATTGGAATTATAGTGTAGGACTCTCAGTGGTACACTAGGTAACACACGTGCCCCCTCCTCCTAGGGCTTCTCCACTTTCCCATAATCAGGTACCCCCTTATAATAATTAGGTGTCCTCTTCCCATAATCAGGCCCCCTCGTTCCCCATAAAACATCATAGGGAACTAGGGTGACTCAAATCATTATTTCAAAATGTCCTAAGCGCGGAATACACATCAAGTCTCTGTTTTAGTGGGTTTCCAGTTTGAATCTCAGAAATCCCTGTTCGAACATGGGTAACTTGAAAAGATATACCTTGCCCCGGAAACACATCGCGTAAAGAGCATGGATCCCAACTGAGTCATCCCATCATTAGTAACATTGAGACCTCCTTCCATTTGGCGAAGCGACATTGCTGAGAATTAGTGAAAAGAAATGAAACTGTGAAGTTTATAAACGGTTAATAAAATAGATAACAAGAGAGAAAAGCAGCGAATAGAGAAACACCTACCTAATGATATAGGATTGTGTTTTGTGTTCAATAGTTTCTGACCATGAGCATCAGCCAGTTTTGAAAGACCTTCCGCCAAGTAGCTATATACTTCCTTGAAAATTTTAATTATATCAAATAATTATGATGTTAGAATTAGTCTGAGCACAGATCAGTGGCACAGACCTACTTATTTGCCTACCCAGTCGTCAATGAGTACATCGGTGGACTGCAGATGAGTGTTACGGATCATTCCCATCATGCACCACTATTTTTTTCAATCCTCATTTCTGGGACTGGGTACGAGTCAGTTTATTTGCCGCCAAGTTTCGAGTGGGCTGATCGGCTGATTCCCCTCTGGAAGGGAGAGAAGTTTAGGCCTGACATTCAGGTTATGTTACTATGCTAACACTTGGTAACCTCTGAGACAAAATTCGTCTTCAGTAATTAGCATATAACCTTAACTATACCTTACTACAAGTCTGAACTTGCCTTCCTTTGAGAGACCAATCTCTGGTATCCTTTTGAACCAAGACTTAACAAAGTTATAAAAAGATCTAAACACGGTGAGGCAGATGCACGACCTAAAAGAATATTGATGAATAGGCAATGAACAAGAGCTTACTCCTTGGCAAAACCTGAATCAAATTTACAGATAAACTACATTGTGCAACGCTCGTACAACACAGAAGTTATGGTACTACTCGGCCTAAAAGAAACCACATCCGAAACACGTTCTTGATTTCGTTCCATTGGCGTTTCAGATGAATTTTGCGTCTAATTGCTTCCATTTGCATTTCGTTTACGTCCAAATTGCGTTCATTCTTGTTCCGAGCGTGTTTCACACGTATCTACGGTGCGCGAATGAGTTAAATAGTGTTTGGTGATTTGTAAACTGTGATACTACATGTATATCCTGTTTAAAAATTGTTTAATAAATCTCAAAAATATTAGCGTCGTTATGTCAACTCACCAGGATAGGTTTTACTAATGGTATCAATGAAACTATTATCAAAGCCAGCAATGATAGCACCACCAACAGGAACCATAAAGTTTTTGTCTAAACTTTGAATGAAGGCATCGACACGACCTACGCGGGCTGCCTAGCGGAAAAGAAAAATGAGATTCCTAAATCTTAGGATATTTTCACCCAATGTTATCATGCTAATGAACTAAACATATATAGAGCAATCACCTGTTGTATTAAGTGCATACACTTGGTCGACTGAACGCCATAAGCATTATTGACGATATGAGGAACACTCTTGTCTTTGCATAACTTTGCCACCTCTTCCAATCTTAAGAATACAGTAACACATTTTTGAAAGACTTTTTAAAATCTCAAAAGTTTTATAATGACTAATGCCATTCGCTGAATGGAGAGATGCAAAACGATCTTAGGCCTGTTTGTACGAACTGCTGGAAAGCGCAATCCACCGATGAGTGATTTTTTCAATCTTTCTAAAATTAGCCGTTGAGATAACCAAGATTTGTGTTTAGTACATTGGGATTGCAGTTTTTTTTCGATTTAATATGTCGAGTCCATCGTTACTGACGAATAACGATATCTGCACTTCGTACAACCGTCATCCCAATCAGCTTCGGGCGTGGTTCGTGACTTTGATCCTTCTTCCTATTTTTGGGCTCTACCCACAAACAGTTTGATCTATCCTCACCTATCAGGCACTCTCGGTGCAAAGCAACTCGTAGTTGTCATAATGCATACAATGTTTTCCTCGCCTAATTCTTTAATCTTTTTTTCCACCTCTGAAATATCAGTTCTTAATTCATCTCCTTCCAGAACATTCTCAATAATAACAGGAATAAACCCTAAAAATATAGAGGTTCAAAAACATTACTTGATGTTCAATTTTTCCAGCAAAAACAAATCTATACAGTGGCGGACACTAAGAGAGGCAATGTCCCCCCCCCCCCCAATAATTTCTGAAATCCTTTGCAATTGGTTAGAGTATTAACGTAACAAGAAGAATTTACCTGCAGTAATAATTGACTTGAAACAAGATTTTTGATCAATCCTTGGCCACAGGACATATTTAGCTTTGGGTCTCAGATGACGAAATGCCAACAGTGTCATCACAATGCTCATGCCTGTCGCAACTGGCAACACTAAACACGATGTGGCACTTCGCACACCTAAACAAAGTCACAAGTTGAAATGTTTACATTTTGTATATGAAACAAGAAATTAATGTATACTCACTCCTATAGTACTGCTAATTGCACCATCAAATTCGCAAGTCAACATGGTTTTATTTGCTTTTTGACATCTACCATGCACAAACTAGGTGTTTTTAGGTACATGTTCTACTAAACATACTATTTTGTATGTACTTGTTCACTATGACTATGCATGGTACCACACCCAACCGAGTGACCATGCCTATTTGATTTTCAAGACCATCCCCCACTTCTAAAATTAGCAAAACATCACTGATCTCACCCAATCCAGAGCAACCCATTGTCATGCATAGTGCAGCATTTTCTACCTGTTAGCTTGATAACATCCAATGCCATAGCAGAAGTTAATTTAAGTATTAATGAGGAACCAGCAGCTTTAGGTTGTACAGCAGTGACGTCACCAGAGCGACCTATACCATGACTAAACCTGATAACAATAAAAATAGACTGCTATACTCACAAATGACATACTTTACACTGTATTGTATTTATAATTATGACAATTGACAGGTCTCATGCAGTAGGGTATGGACACAGTTGCAGATACACTGTAGCCGTCATGACACTTGAAGCAGCAAGCAAACTTAAATTGAAGACTCATTACCCAGGGGTGTACATTCAGCAAATTTCTGGGAGAGAGAGGTTGGGACAATCTGAGACCAACCTTCTTGTTCTCTACAACACACATTTGTGGCATGTGGATAAAACAACTCTTATAGCAGAAAATCAAGATCAACTCCCAACACCCTATTATGTGTCCCTGTAAGTACCATATATAATGGGAAGAATTGATTGGCTGGTTGACAACCATGTGCTACACTATATCATGTGTTTTAGTATATACCCCACCACCATAACAATTGCTTACCATTACCTGTAATGCCTTCTTGAGACCAGACTACTTGCAACTCGTCCTTCTCGTTCACCTGCCCCAACATTACCTGCAGTTTGCATGAGTCAGAGTTAAGAACAATACTGTGGCTTCAATTCTTAAATGATAGAACTCACCATGTCAAGGGTGTGGTAATTTCATGGCTACAATTTAGTACATATTTAAACATAAATGTTTTTACTACCTGGAAAATTGTTGCTATCCGTAATTGCTAGCTCTTGCAAAAGAAACTCAATGGTCAATTCATCCCAACCATCTTCAGGTAGTTTACGCTAGAATTAAATTGACAGGACACTCATATATACTTGGATTACAAACCCTAACATCCTAATATTAATTCCACCAAGTGAAGTGCAAGAATCTAACTCATATATACTGTATCCCTGTTAGTATATTGTGAAATGGGTTGGTAAAAAATGCAATAATTTGGAAATTTATGAAAAATTAGATGGAGTTGTGTATATAATCTTACATAGCATAAATTAAAACATATAAAGTTGGCATAGTGATTATAACAACAATATGTTTTATTGAGAAATTGATGATGATTAATTATATAGATTAATTGGTGAAGGAGAAATATATACTGTATTTGCATGCATCGATGCATTTAACAGGGATGTATGATTGCAAGGATAAGTAAAAATAACACAAAATTACTATGTTCATACAATGCAGTAGTCAATTAGGTGTCTCAGTGAATAGGTGGGTGAATGATTAAATAATGGTATTGTCAGTCCATGTCTGTTGGTGAATCATGGTGACATTTTTTATGGGTGGTATGTCTTAAAAAAATTATAGAAAGATTTGCTGTTGATCAGTATATCTGAGGTCAATTGTCATATTGTGATATCATGTGGATAGGGTGTGGGTAACTGAGTGAGTACTGGTTTGTTGCTAGGGGGGTGGCAGAGTAGCTGATGACAACCCCTTCCAATGCACACACCTTAATTCCTTTATATGGCACTGAAACAGCTGCATAAATAAGTCATTGTTTATATGAACTAGCCAGCTATACTGTTTTCCAACTGTAATTTGCTTTGAAAACCATTTAATACCCATTGCAGTTGCCTTAATGCATATATAAACTACCAAAACAACATGCTAGCTATAATAATGCTCTATTGCTCTCTTCACTTTGATACTTACATGTTCAAGTAATGTCTTAATCTTATGTTCTTGGCTCTTTCTGGCATTCTCTCCTTGTTGGACATAACTAGAAGGAATAAGCTTGGCACAAAGTTTAAAATTTTCAGAATTCATACCCAAAAATGTGGATATATTTCAAGAATCGACATGAAATTTTGATTTCAACTTGAACAAGCTTTGTTGTCATGAGGTTGTGAGAATCTACAAATTGATCGGTATTCCCCAAAAACTTTATTCTCTTTTGGACCGGTTTAGCTGAAGTTTATCGAACAAATCGCACTAAAATGGCTTAAAATATATAATATTAATTTCGTAATTTATTTAAATTAAAACCAAACACGTTTTACAAGAAATATTTGTTGTCATGCGTGTTTGTGTTCTGATTGAACTCTCAAAGAGAGACTGGTGTCTGTGTTGCTCTACTACAAAGCTGGACATTCTAGGTGAAAAAACATTTTTAGTCACAAAGATATAATGTGATGGCTGTTTTCCTACTTGCGAATGACGGCTGAATGCATTTGTGAGTTGTTGTCTAAAATTAAGAACAAAAAACTTTAGTCAAAGGGCAAATTACCTTCTTATATATGGCATAATTAGTGCTTCTTGAATATATTAAAAATATCAATTATTATAAATAAGACAAGTCACAGTGTAGTGTGTGTCTCAAGAGTAGAAGTACAGTTTGTCCTGTCATGGCTAAAGAGGTTGAGAGAGGGAAGCATATATCTGTGTTGGTTGAACAAGCATTTCCCACTTGTATTTTGGTGTCTTATGAAGAAGAAGGCAAGACATTCAGGGGTGTTCTGTTACATGAATCAAGCCACACTGTGACCAGGTAATGATGGTACAATGGTACACAATAATTGAATGATATCAAGGCTCTTTAACTAGTCGGCTAATCACATACCACAACAACTTTCACGGTACAGGCTCAAAATGCCTGTGTGTGACTGCTTTCAATTATTAGTGACCGATTCGCTGTCTGATGGAAGGATGTCTACGGAATTGCCTTGTATGTGCCTTCTAAGGGACATGGTATATCTAGATAGTGTCTGCCAATTTCCTACAGACGTACACTCAGTCTAGCTAGTTTTGTGTTGATGTATGTGTTAATTAATCATCACCCCTTCCGTAGATTCTATATTTTCTACATGGCAAGTAAAGTTGATATCGATTCTATAAGCCGCATATAACATTCCATGCCAAAATGTCAACTAAACTGTATGGCTACAGACTTAAAGCACCACCTTATCAGCATATATTGCTCATCCCATATGAACTATCAATTGTGTTGTTAAATTTGAAAGGCCAGTTTTTTTTACAGGAAGCAGACATTTTGGATAAACATGAATTATTTTGATATATAAAACTATATCAAACTATATCAGCTTGTAGTATCTACTGCATATAATTGTTGATTTCAAATTTAACAACTAGCTGTAAAATGAACCATTTTGTATTTAAAGTAGCTGTGCACGCCTGTCACATTGCAGTGGCTCAGTTGATAATGATGAGCATGTACTAGTCTATCAATCTGTTTGCAATATTTTCATAATCCTTATCAATATCTAGGCCACACTGTGTTCTTTGTAATATCTCGATATGTTTGACAGAAAGATTTGTTATACGAATCAATTAACCCAGTATTATAAACCCATTATAAGTCACTTTGTGCCCAAATGCATCTGACTTTACTATTTTACTGTGTCTAATGTATGCCAGATATTTTACTCATGGGTTAATGTGCAAGACTCTTCCCTTGATGTGTATAAGATTGTCTGGCTTTAGGCAGAGTGAAATAATAAAGTCGGGTGCATTGTGGCACAATGAAGATTAATGGGTTAATACAATAAAAAGTGATGGTGATGTTTGCAAGGGTTCAATTAGTATACACAAACATGGTGTATTATTATTCTGATAAAAATGTACTACACATTATATTCATCAACAAATGGATAACCAATGGCATAATCTCATCTGATAGGAATGTAGTTGTGATCAGGTCAACATCAAAGAAAAATAACACATAATGATGTTAACTAAACATCCCTTGCATCCCACTACCTTCCCAATTTCTCCAACCCCCCCCCCTAACATATCTTCATCTTTCCCACTTCCCTTCTTCAACTCTCCCCTGAGTACCCAGGCTGGCACACCTTCCCAAGACAAATTTAACCCATGATTTAATAGATGAGCCAGCCTGGGTGAAGGTCAGTCAAGGCAGGCTTGCTTCCTATAAACAGCCCTTCCCCCATAGTTGTCATTATTTGCTCCATTCCTCCCACGTCTTGATGTTCCCCCTTCTTCTTAACCCCGTTTCCCAGTGCTACCCACTCCTTACTTTTCCTTCCCACCCTTTTTGACACCACTTTTCCTTGCTACCTTGCATCTTCCCCCAACCTTAACCCACATATTTAAAAAGGCAAGATTGATCCCCAATGTAGCATCATTCTTGCCCTTGTCAATCTGTCATTGCTTGTAAGTGCTAAGATTACTTCATGTGTAATTCCTTACTTATACAGGCTGACAGCAGCTCGGGCTGTTACCTGCGAGTCGAATGAACCACCTATCACTGCATCTCGAGTTAGTACCCGCAGCTCAAAAATGATGTCAGAGGATCAAGGTGCCACACCTAATCTCGTCACCCCAGTGAACAAAATTCGAGGCCTGGTAAAAACGCTCGCTCCACGCAAACGACAAACCACAAAAACAGAGGACAGCCCTAACCCTACCACAGAAGAACCCACAGAGTCTCAAAAGTCACCTCAACAAAAAATGACCTTGATGAAATCATTGAAAAGAAAAAGGACAAATTCAAATTCAAACACGTCGCCCAAGAAAGTGAAAAACGAAGAGGGAGCTTCAGAAGATCCAAAGTTATCTCGTAACTTATCCCAGCTTGTCCCTGTCGTGAAGCTGACAAGAACAGCTGGGACAGTGAACAATTATGTGGCATTCCTTGCTGAGAAGAACGGCAAGGTAGATAAAGAAACTGATGTAAAATCAAACAATCAAAGTCTCGACAGCACTTCTCATAAGCACAATACTCGATACAAGGGTAAAAAGCGAACTAGTCATGATTCTAACGACAACAGGAAGACGCCAGATGTACAAAATGATCAGGACATGTCTTTACCAAACGGCGAACCCCTAGTCGAAGTGTACACAAAACGACCAAGCACACCCACAAGCATGCTTGATGGAAACCCTAAAGGCAAACATTGGAACGTCAACAAGGCTTATGCTAAACGAGGGGTACAACCCAGGAATCACAACCAAGAAATGAGGGTTGGAGACATTGTGTGGGGTAAGGTCCACGGTCATCCTTGGTGGCCCGGGCGTATCCTAGGTATCCTATGTCAAGCAACCGAGAGCGATGCTGGCTTTGTTAAAGTGGCTTGGTACGGTTCAACAACAACCTCAGATATCTCGTGTAGCTTTTTATTAACATTTGAGGAGAATTTCAAGCAGCTGTTCAAGAAACAAAAACATGGAGCATACAGACGTGCAGTGCGCGAGGCACAACAGGACATACAGGTTATGTCTGGAGATGGACAGGTTTTACAAGTTTAGAGGACAGGTTTTACAAGCTTAGACTTAATGGAACAGCTGTTGCCTGCTTTGAACACGCGGTGTTAATTTCACATACTGTACAGTGATCTTTCGAACGTTGGAGTTTTAGCCTTTTTAGGCATCTGTGAGGGGCGAACCATTACAAAAGTGAAGGGGGAGGAGTAGGGAATGAACGCCATGTATGGCAGAAATTTAAACCCTCCCCCATGCTTTTCTAATGGTTTGTCCCAAAGTCATTTCTCGTCATGCTTAGCATATATTCTCCTAGCTAAACATAGAAATCATATCCAAGCATATTTAATTTCAGCACTTTTGCATGTGACGTCATAATTACCAAATGCTAACCCAAAATTTGTTAAACTTGCCAAAGCCAGGGCCACTTGTCACAGTAGGGACCTCAATGTTAAAGCTAGGGAATAAATGCTATTCAAAGTGGTATTGTGTATAAAGCAGCTATTCTGAAAAGATGAATTTCGCGACATGTACTTTTATCAATTTCTTTACAAAGTGTTAGATATCATTACAGTTAGTACCACTTTAAATTAATAATACACCCTTCCGGAAAGCGCTTACAGCCTTGCCTATAGAGCCTCATTTTCGGGATTGAGGTATCTGCTTCAGGCCTTTCTTGTTACCGATAATTTAATTATATAAAAGTCTTTTCTATTATCGAATCGGAATATAACTATATGATTTCGTGAATATGTCCATCTTAACAAGATAAAGGACTATAAACGCAATATCTCAATCACGAAAACGAGTCTCTATAGCCAAGGCTACGCTTGTAAAAAGTTCTAACCGTTGATTGTAAATTATATCGCAGTTAATTATTTATTATTAAAATTAAAATTCAGTGATCAATTTGTTTTAAATTTTCTCCACTTTGTAATTTTCCAATGCTGTAAAGGCTTGTTGTAAATTTTCTCAACGATTTTGCATACATGTTCTAGGAAACTCACAACTTGCTACAGGCTACGTTCACATGGTACCTGCCAAATTCAGAATCCTACCAAAACTTGCTTCTACCGCTTTAATATTCGCTCACACGAGGCTGTCAGTCCCTGGGACGCCAAGTGAAAATTTCATCGTATGATACATGTAAAGTTTCGGTATTGTTCCGAATTCGCAAGTTACCGTGTAAGTGCGGCATGCAAGTGCACCTAAATTTAAAGAAAACGTCATGAACAGCCAGAACAGGTTCTTAACAAATTTTGAAGTAATACCAAATCATAAACTGGAATAAATTAACGATGCCAAACCATAATACTGGAATAAATTATTACTTATTGAGATTAAAGCATACCGGAAATTTTCTACTCTACGAATTCGCCATAAGTGATTAATTTTGAAGGCGCGATACAGTATTTGTTCTATTTTTTATAGAAGATCGTGCGCATTGCGTAATAAAGACGCAATGTTTCTTCTGTACTCTCATCCAGTTGGCTAGCCAATGAATGAGCATCATGCCATGATACAGCTATACAGTTACATACATTACAAATTATACCAAGTGTTGAACACTTCGCGAAATATTAAGAGTGCAAATTTAGGACAAATTTAAGACAAAATGTATGAAATAATCAAATAATTGGAGGCGATCGTCACTTTTGAAGCCCCCCTCCAGTTCCCACCTCCCCTAGTTCCGCCATTGATGACATCATCATCTTTACAACTATTCACAATTATCTGTTACCTCTGATGTGTTCCCGAATGAGGAACAAATTATTTCTGAAAATTAATTGAGTACCCTCCAGAATTCGGATCTTGTTGTAGGTTAAAGTTATCTGTCGAGAGACCAAATGGACGAAGTACCATGTTACCAAGGTCTTTTAATTTACCTGAAAATAGCCAGCCAAGACGATGTTATGCAAGATGGGAGGTATATATTTCACGCCAGTCAATGAGCACAAATACAAGCACAAAATACTCACGGGTGCGAACGGCGTAATATAAGCACATGTGCATGAGCACAAAATCAAAGATTTACACTTTTCCATGTACTTTTTTATGCGTGTGAACGTCACGATGTGAAATTATTAATTACACGAGGTTATATATAGATAACATATAATATTTGCATAATATTAATACCTATCATTTCTTCCTTTAACTTTTCATGTTTTATTTTAATTTCCTCTGGCAATCTCTGCAATATAAAATACATTTACCAAGGTCAGATTATAAAATCCGTAGAGCTACAAGAACAACAGAGAGAATTGTCTGGGTTTTATGTTTGTTTGTTTTTTCAACTCTTACCAAAATTGCTTCTCTAGCGGGTTGACACAACTTATCGTTTTCAAACATAATCTTGTAATCTAAAAGACAGTTGATAAAATTTGCCATTTCCCAAAGTCCTGGGTCTAGTCGCGCGAATCCCATGTTGGAGGGACAAGAAATATGGCAGCACACATTTAAATTAAATGTTTAATGTAAAAAGCAGATATTTCATTTTTCGTCGTCTAAAAAGTTGATTTAGATAGTAGATACTTCTACTCTTTCACATATTTGACGCCTATATCACATTATATTTTGTCTCTCCAAACGATCCCAGAATGCATTGTGATCTCTTTTAGGAAAAGGCTAATTCATCACCATAAGAAAAAATATTAAATAAAGTATATAATCTCACACTAAATTAGTTAACCAACTATAATTAACTTATGAGTTTAGGTGGTTCATTAGCCTCTGGTAACCCTATCATAATTCTTCAACGCATTTTTCGGTTTTTAAATTACTATAATATATAACTCCTTTTCATGCATATATGAAACATTGCTTCAACTATAGAAGCTCTGACACTTAAATTCACGCTAACTTTGTAGTCTAAACAATTAATACCTTCCAAGGCTTCTTCCTGTTTCTCAACTTTTTCATAACATTGTGCTCGTCTTAACCGCGCTTTGAGATAATTTGGAGCAAGTTCTAGTGCTAAAAATGTGATAAAAAAGTCAAAAACCAGACGTGCTGCCTTCGGTAAAAACAAATGTATAGAGCCGTAATACAATGAATTGTGTTAAAATGTTGAAGAAGTACCTTTACTGCAATCACTGATAGCATTTTCATAATCTTCCTTTAGAATTGAAAGCAAAATAGACGAGTTAATAGAACAATACCTTGCTTATTTGGTGTATTAGTGCTCGCGCTGAATTATAATATGCGCTGACGTTTATACATGCAGTACTGCTAAAAATTATAGCCTAACGCCGTAATGGAAACGCGCCAGGGATACGTTATTCATGCTCTCGTTTCATTTGTGATCTATCAGCATTCCATTTGTGTTGTGTCGTCCCAAATGCGTTTTAAATTGCTTTCCATAGACTTTGAACGCAATGTTACGTTATTTCTGAGAGGTGGTGCGCGGACTGCTAAAGTTAATATGCAGCGTGTAAGCTTCTTACCAGGACGATTTTATGTTACATGACGCGGGAGATTTGATTGCCTCGGCAACATTGCAAGTTGTTGTTAAAAATTGTCTGTGTCTCATCGCTTTTACGGGAAAAGTGTGTTTACAAGAAAAGTAGTTGAAGTGTTTATCCGCGTTTGAGATCTATTTGGTAGTTAACATTAATAATTCCAATTACCTACCAGTTTCTGAAAACAAGCTGCTCGATTTGCATAAAATATTGATTTGTTTTCAGTGAATTCTTTAGGACAACGTTTTATTGCCTTGGTATAAAGATCTTTACCTTCAACATATTCTGTAAACGTACAAATCGTCACCATCATTATGTGAAATAAAAAGTTTGCAAGTTTAACTTATTTCATAAAACTGCAAAATTACATGCAACAGAAAAAATGAAACATAGAAATCATGCTGAAACTACCATGGTATAAACAATGATATATGCAAGAAAAAGGCCTTGAAAATACTGGACAATCATATGCAATAAGAATAAGAAATACAGACTTATTTAGTAATAGATTGCATTGCTATCAAATATGCTATGACACAATGGTGTTGTAGACATTTGAAAGATGCTCTGCCGCCCCATTTTTTGGGTGTGATAAGATGTTTGACAGTATCAATTTTTGCCATTAGCAGTACAGCAAGCATATTTTATCATAATATAGCTTTTGAAAACCACAAAGGCTTTAAATGGTCTATTCCATATCATGTGTCTGGCCAGTCCAGTTTCAAATGTTTTTAGAGATCACACCTTGTTTTCTGAAATGATCATTGCCTTCTTTTTTAAGTTCCAATGCTTCTCTCATTCTTTCCTAATTAAAATAATGCATTGTTGGGATAACCTGGAATTGTGCTTGTTAATGCCAGGAATGAACTCATAGCATGCTAGGGATCAGTTATGAAGTATCCAGCACATTTTGCAGGGGGGGGGGGGGTGCAGTCTCTGTCTCAGAGGAGGCAACATAGGTTCAGATTCCATGGACTGTAAATGTAAATGGACTGACAACTCTGCAAATCACAATAAAGGGATAAAATCTATATAAGAAAGTTGAGATGGATTGAACTAAATGAAAAACTTCAACACTTTTTCGATCAAAGCTCTTCATCAGGAAGTTACTAGACTACGAAGGCTGCTCGAAACATCAAAGTTTTTTTTTTTCATTTTTGAGGTTGTTGAATCAGTTGAATCCATCTCAATATTCTGGTGTTTTTGTACTACCTATGCAGACCGCTCGAGATAAAATCTATTTGTAGTTGGCCCTGACACAAATTACCTCAGCTTCTTCTGGTGTAAGATGTTCCTCCTCAGCAGACTCATAGTGTTCCTCTTCATCCCCCGAACACCCCATCTCATCTTCCTCCAACAATGCCTCATCTACTTTCCTTCCACTAGACCTTGCTAATGGCGGGCTGTTTTTATTCAATTCATCTAGTTTTTCACCTTCTACTGACCCAGTAACACTACAACCTTGTTTCTCAGTCTCTACAGACTCACTAACACTACTACTTATGTCACAGTCTACGTTTTCTTTGGTATTTAGACCACCATTATTGCTTTGGTCTATAAATTTTTGGTCGTCTTTTGCCAAACAACTTGCTTTATTTCTATCTATATTATCATCACTTGAGAATGTTTTCGCGCCATTTTCATTCCCTGTAACAATGTCTTTTTCCTCACAAGAAATCGTTTCACTTTCCTTTTCTTTTGATGGCAATTCTTCTGACAGATTCGTTTCGAATTCTTTGTCAGAAGTCGCCATATTTTGAAAACGAGAACTGTAATATTTCATGTTACACCAAGTATTAAGAAATTTTGTCCACTGATCTTAGAAGGCATCTGGAATCTGGATAGACATCTATTGTGATGATGTTTACAGTGTAGAGTCTCTTTCGTTTATTCGTAAAATTTGTGTTTTTTTCATCGGTTTCTGGTTCATTATGGCACCTAATATTAGAATAGAGGATTTATTTCATCGTAGCAGGTAATTTAAAATTGTATATTTAATAATTTGCAAAGAAACGACGTGTTTATTTTAAGGAGTACCGAGTACGTATATTTGACATTCAGTCATTGACATAACATCTATATATTAAATAAATATGTAATTATTAAATTATTAGCTTTGTTTACGTTTTCCTGAAAGGGAAAAGGTGTTTGTGAGCATCTAGAATGGTTTCTTTTAATACTGTGCCAGCAAAATATAAACAAGTGAAGGGTCGTCTACAAGCATGACACTATGAGAACAATAGCCAATTACGTACTAGAGTCAGTAATGTAACAGTATTTTCAATCATGCATTGTTAAATTCTCAAATTGCCCTGACAAGGATAATCTATCAAGATGCATCATTTGTCTGACATCCACCTCAATATAAACACAAGAGTAGTGTATATTAAAAGCTTAGATAGAAGAATAGTGTTAGCTAACTAGAGAGTGTTATCTATATTGGCTAGAGTACTGAAGGAAATATGAATATACTTATGCAATATTGGTTTATTGGTGAAAATCTGTTAGTTCGCCTAATACCATTCTCCAATCAGAGTTGACGTCATCAATTTTCCAGCTCACTATCTACAGATCTTTGCCAAAAGTGGACCCCAGAATTGTATTAGTTATGGCTTTTGGAATTTTTTCCCCTATATACTGGAATTTCCACTGCAGTGAAAATGTGGAATGAAAAATTGATGACACAAACTTGAATTGGGGTTATATAGATCATCCATCAATAGGAATGCAAGTTTATTTCTGTAGGTGAACCATGCAGATATTTCATATCAACAAATGAATATAACTATTTGTCACATTGATAATCGGACAGATCCCATCTGGCTATGAATCTCATGTTTATTTTTGTTTCAGGTTTCCAAAAGGTCTGGCAATAATTTTCTTACCATTTTACATTCCTCTTGGTTTTGTTGTCATGGTGATTCGCATATTCTTTGCATTCCAATTATATTTAGTATTATCTCTAGTGCCAAAATCATGGCTTATCAGACGGTATGTTCAACACAAAACCTTTTGATATCTTACCTTAATGAGTGATGCCAGTCTGGTCCAAACACTGCAGTTATAGCTACTGCTGTACCACTTTCACCAGTGGTGCCATCAACTGGTTAAAATTGTCTGATTTACTATTTCCTACCATCTGAAGCATTTATCAATCTGTAGTTAACCATTGGTTACCATTAGTAACCATCTATTGCCAATGGTTGCCAGTACCATTATTTAGAACTACTAACCATCTGTGTCAATTGTATATATATATAATTTATATACTATATATAATCTTTTTCAAGTGCATAAATTCAAAAAAAGTGTAAGCACTATTTTAAGCACGTTTTTATTATTTTAGATTATCAGTTTTTATCTGTTTTATTTTTTAAATTATTTTAGGTTATTGTTACGTATCTCTGGTGCTCTAACAGGATTGATTGTAACTCAAGAAGGCCTGGATATTGTACATAGAACAGATTACAAAGTACATAATTATAATAAAAATCCCAAGAAATTGTTTCATCCACGTTCACCTTTAGTACAAGCTGTAATTCTAATACATTTTCAATTAGTGTTGCATTGAACTATTATATGATAGAACAGTCTGTTTTTTTGTTATCTAGATGATAGTTTCAAATCATATAAGTCATATAGACAGTGTTGCTTTTGAGTCTTTACTATCCTGCTTTATGGTGAGATGTCAATTATGGGAATGGCTAATGATTTCTTTATTTTCAATTTATGCACCTAATTATATAGTATTATATCTTAGATGATGGTTAAAGTGTGAAATAGATTTTGCCCAACTTTTCAGAATGCAAATAAAAACCGAATACCAACATTCTTAAGATGGATTTTGAAATATGATGAAGTAAAACCAGATGATGCTGTTCCTGCCTTGGTTTTTCCTGAAGGAGCTAGTACTAGTGGCACAAGTGGTCTTTTAAAGTTCAGGTGTGTTGTAATCTAATGTCATTAATTGATAAATATATATATTTTCACTGAAATTAAATTGCTTTTACTTTCTCATTTCTTCCAGCTCATGGCCATTTGACACAAAGAATGAACCGTTTGTCCTGGTACTTACACCTCTTAGTACTTAGACCACATAGTTTTATCAATTAGAGATGAACTGTTACATTAATCCTTACTTATGCGCTCTAATGTCTAATTACTTTATATAGGCATTAATAACTGTATCAAGACCGTATTTTGTACAGATTGCTCCAGTAAGTTGTTCTCACTTCACTTTACTTCAAGTAAAGTCAATTTCTTATGCGCTGAAGTCCAGCCAGAACTAATTTATTTTATAAGACTATTTTGGAATTTTTTCAACATTTAATGAGTACATATTTGTGCTTTTAGTCAGTTCTTGGAGGAAATTGGTGGAGCGACTTTCTATGGCTTTTATTTACTCCTTACAGTCATTTTAAAATCAGGTACACTATTTCAAGAAAAGAGAAATGAAATTGAGTCTTAATTCTTTGTTTGGTGTAGTCTTTCTTAGTAATTCTCATGTAATTCATCTATTTTCCCTTGCACGCCCTAATAATGTTACGTTAGATGCTAAAATGACTAGAGAAAGCCACAATAAACAGCCGCAGGTGTATTTACCGGTGTCCACAAGCAAGCGGTGTGCATTTCCTATATTGTCACCAGCCATTCCCAAATTGGAATGTATTTTCATGACATGACTTAATTGGGAACACACAATTTGGCTGTAGCTAACACCCCGAGTAAGCATACAGACAACAACCAAACTTTCTTGATTCGTGGAACTTGGCAGAAGGGCTACAATACACAGGCTCCCTCCTTCAGTGCTAAACATCTGAAAAATCTAAATCCCCTCTAGAAATGAATCCAGACAGGATTTTCTACCGGTATTCTATAGGCCTATTGCAAAATTAACGAACCTGTAAAGATCTGTGTGGAGTCATGTATTCTAAACCATGTCTGGCTTTTGTAGGTTTGTTCAGCCTCCTAAGAGAGAAGATGAATTAACTAATGAAGAATACAGTATTATAGTTCAGAATGTATGTTGAATAAAAAGCTTTTGGATTATATATCTATTCTTTAAACTGTTAGTACATATAGAATATATCTAATTTGCATGGCTACGAGTTATAGGTTATAAAATAATCTCAAACACGTCTCGTAGTAATTGCATTCAACGCGTCTTAGCCTTCCAGATTATAATGGGTACCGTTAGTTGATATTACAAAAGACCAATGGTTGTGCTAAATTATCAGAGATACAGTTCAGACAGACGATGAATCTACAGTATTCCACAGAAAATATAATTATTTAATGGATGTTCTGCTTTTTTGTATTTTTCTAGTTCATGGCTACCAAACTTGGGATAAGTGCAACAAAATTCGATGCAAAAGAGAAAATAGAATACGCGAAGAGATATTTTTATGAGCGAGGTACTTTCACTGTAGGGAATATCTTTTCAGAGAAAAAAACACAACACAACCATTAATACTAGTATCATTGGGAAAAGAAGTGACCCGTACCAAAACTAAGGAAGAAAAAGGTTTCAACAGCCGAGTTTTCACTACTCAGACTGAGTCTTTAATTATTAACCATTTTCCATTGACATTATTGCCTATTGTGGGAAGAAATCCACCCTTTCGAAATGAGAGCAGAGAACTCCAGAAATAACTAATATAACCCTGATTTTAGAACAAACCTCTTGATTTACTTGTCGCTTCATTTTGTTGACTTGCAGCTCGTGAAAGAAGAGAACGAGCTGCAGGCATGAGAATTACTTCAAATCAACCACATACCACTGTCACACAAGCAAACTCAGCTCTAGACAGTAGACTGGAATCCATGGCAACGCAAGTCAAGGATGTTTTACCACAAGTCCCAATAACTGTAATCAGAAAAAATATAAGTATGTTAGTCATTATACATTTATACGCTTAAACATACGAATAAAAATTCAAATAAACAAGATGTCAAGTTGTATGTATTTATTGTTCCCTGTCATTTAACTGCGTTATAGATTTGGAATAAGTTATACCTACGTCAACTCACAATATAATATACTGCACTGTATGCTTGACGACTGGTTACAAGTTGTTACAGGATTGTTGCAAGTTGTTACAGGATTGTTACAAGTTGTTACAGGATTGTTACAAGTTGTTACACAAGTCGAGGATAGATTGCGACACCTTTTTATATGAGTTTATGTGTGGCTTTCATTTCCTGTCAAACTTCCCAAGAATTCCAAAGGGCCTTTGCTTCATTAGACTTGTTGATATACTGTAGTCATATTCCTGTCTGTGCAAACACGAAACTTGTCAAATTGTTAGTTATTAATTTTCTGTGCATTTTTTTATAGAAACGACGAAATGTATAGATACAACGATCAGTAATATCCTTGAAGGAAAAGTATCTTACACTCCAGAACTACCTGGGCAAAAGACTCAAGAAAAACCAGAGCCTAAGGTCTGAAAATGCTTCCTGCTTTTGGAGTGGAATTTTTCAAACAATTTTTGTACACCAAACACAACAATTTTTAACACACACGTTTGTTTTAAATAGAGTAATCCATCAACGAGCAAAGTTGCTGCAAATACGTTTGGAAGGGACTCGACAGAAAGGCATTTATCTTTTCAAGAAAGAAAGAAAGCTTTCATAGAAGCTGCCAGACAGTAAGTTTAACGAGTGCATGTTACGACATTGAAGCGTATCTGAAAACATTCAACCTTGCATAGTTTACGGACAGAAGAAATAAGTTTTAATTTTTAACCATTTATTTTTCAGGAGGTATATTGCCAAGCACAATCTCAATGTTATGTGAACAGCTACGGACAGTTGAAGTTGCTGGAAGTTCCTTCTTGTGTCAGATCCTGAAAATGATGTTGTTGATTTTCAAGAGCTTGCGTGCGTGGTGAAATTTGAACTTTGCAGCAAATAGTTGCAAGAAAAATGAAAATTAACATTGACCATTGTTGTATTAGGTGGAAACTGACTATTTAAACGAAACGCGCGCAGCACGAAACAGTATTCACGAAACAACGCGCGCAGCACGAAACAATATTCAGAATTGACGAGTAGGATTACGGTCCATTTGCGCGCGTCGCCATCACTGGTACGACGCAGCTTGGCACGAGAAAGTGAAATCAGAAGTCTTTATACAAAACACGTGTTTTTCAGCGAATGGACCCTAGAAGTACTTACCGGCTTACGTCACGTAATTTTCGAACAATTAATTATTGACCCAAAAATATCCCACAATGCACTGTGCATTCTAGAAATTCTCCGTATTCAAAATTGCGTGACGTAAGCACTTTTCCCTTTGTCCACATCGCTTTTGCTAACGTGATAAGCTATGTCGGCAAAGGAAAGTGACTTGGCGCGAACAAATTCTCGCAACATAGATATATTTATGTAAGAGGGTACTCCTTATCTTCCCCAAAATGAAATATCTAAACTGATACCTGAAATATCTTGAAAACAAAGAACATGAAAATGTTGTACTATGGATAGAATAACTTTTATTAAACCTAAACGTTATTGCCAATGCTCCCATAAGATATCTGAAGCAGCTGGTAGAGAACAATAAGTAATTGCATTCTAGTTGTTGTGACTATATATTATTTGTCCAAAATAAAAATTATTATGTTTAATTTCTTTATACACTTTTCATTCATTTTGGGTTGGCACAAAGCTCTAGGAAGACGTTCTGTGATTGGTTGATCATGACAATGACAAAAGAATAAGCTATTGAATGGATTTTCTAAAGAACGAAGCAAGAACAACATTCCTTTTGTTTATGTAAACCAATTAAGTCTTGTCATTGTCATAACCAACCAGTCACAGAACATCTTCCTAGAGCTTCGTGTTTACTATTTACTACCAACAATGCCTTCATCATTGCAAAATTGTTACAACTTTGTTACAATGTTATTAGGTTAGCCAGGTTAATACAATTCTAAGGCTTTCAGACACATTGGATGGGCAGTTGCCTCTTTGCCCCAGAGTGTCTGCCACTACCTGCAGGGTGCAAATCTTAGATCTAACTATACACATTAGAATTTTCTTCTTTTATTCATTTTGGATACTAGCATTTCTCAACCTGGTATCCAAACTGATCCAGAAGTCTTTTATATTATTTCAGTTTCATATACTACCATAATCTCAGACTATTGACCCCCTCCCCAGACAGCTTCAATTTTTCAGGAACTTTGATAGCAGGGGGGATTATTAGAGAGGGAGGCTTAAAATGGCACAAGCGAATCAAAAGACATGTGTTTTTACAGCAAGGGAGCTTCATAGGAGAGGGCTTAATGGAAACAGGGGCTTAATTTCTTCATTAAGAAATAATACAGAGAGGGGGCTTAATAGAGAGATTACGGTATTTTGATTAATTATATATTATTTTTTATATTACATTCTGTATAGAAACATCATCATGAAGATGAACTACTCAAACTATGTAAATAGTTGGTACTATGTAAATAGTTGGTATTGATGAATGAGCCATCTGTCTGCATGAATTATCAGACAGAAATTTGTCAAGATAGGTTCACATTTATCCAATAGAGCTTTTTTGTGTCTTTTTCCTGTTCTCTATAAACCATTACCAAACAATTTCCGATCTGGCCACAGAGGTTTTTGGGGTATCAGAGGCATGTTTGCCTGAGTGCAGGCCAGTGAACTATATACATATATAGTTACTATATGTTCAGTGGTGCAGCCTGCCTTGTAATCCACCACCACTATGACGTCATTAAAACACCATCCAATTCATAGACTTCATATAAATCATTGCTAAAAACTCATAATTTTCTTCAATATTTTAACATAAAGTTCTCCTTAGATTAGGCCAGCGTCTACAGCACTCCAGTATAACATAGATCAATAACACAGAGACTATAATAGCGACGGCCAACGCAATCAACACTATCCCCCATACAGGCAGAAGGCAGGCAGAGTCTTTACATTCGTATGAACAACACCACATACGACCATCATCACATTCAAACGAAGACGAACAAGGTACACCAATACACTCCGTGGTAGTTCTACAATGACCAGAGCCTGCCTTACCACAACATACTGGCTTAGGGTCTGAACAATCATCACTTGAACTACATGTTTTGAGTGGTGTCGATGTAGACCGAAGTGTAGACGTAGTGACTTGACACTCGATCTGTCCACAAATCCAGAGAAAAATCAGTAATAAAACGCGTTGTTTAACAGTGTTCATCTTGAAGTTTCGATATGTGAGAACTGCCTCGAGAACTGCCACGTACTGAATTCAACACTTCCTTGCTTTAATATGATATTTAAAACTTTATTGACAAAAAATCGACATTTGACACTGTTGTTGTGCCAATATTTTCTGCATTGTTTGCAAAAATTCCTCATATATTTCAACTGATTTCGACCAATAATATAATGTAGAATCGTATCCTATATAAAGCAGTTTTTGCAGGTAGTTCAACCGGATGGGGGATTAGCTCAAATGGTAGAGCGCGCGCTTAGCATGCGCGAGGTAGCGGGATCGATGCCCGCATCCTCCAATTCTTTCCTTTGGTGATTTTTTCCCTGTTTTTTAAAGGTCTTATTCCCCTTTTTGTTTTTTTTCTAACATTTACACAATACGAACACTGCATAAAGTTACAAAATTTAAACAACTATGTGAAATTTGGCTGTAAAAACTGTTTTTAAAAATTATTTTAAATTCGATATACTAGTTCCCAGGCTCCCAGCAGATACGCGGATTGAACAGGGCGTTGGACCCACCAGTTTTGGACGTTTCAGAAATGCGATTATCCGAAAAAGAAACCGCTTCAAAAATATACCTTCCGACTGTTAGATTTGGATTGAAAAAAAAACATGATCCTTACTCCTTAGGCAATAGCTTACCTATATTGTGTAGTCTTCCTGGCTCTTTCAGTTTACCAAACTTTGATTCGCAGCAAAGCCAAAGTGGAAAGTTCTCTCACTCTCAGTCTCCCAAACTCCACAGTCATTTGTCAAACACTATATTCGGTCACACTTTTCATAGGATTATGATTAGAATTAAGTTTAGGATTAAGGTAAAGATTAGGGGTAAGTAAGGATTAATTAAATTAGGGGTTAGGATTTGGAATTAGGATTATATTTAAATTGAGATTGTAAATATGGAGAATGACCCGCAAATTATCCAGAAAAGTAGCTGTAATGGAGTTTCAATCTTCACTGAAAAATATGAAATATCCTCATTTCATTTCTTATATAAATACATATTAATCTCTACATAAGATAATATAAATAAATAACTATATACATATATTATCAAATCTGATTGTAAAAAACGCCGTTCAACTCTGTGTTAAAATACTTCCTGGTCAATATTGTGATTAAAACCTGATTATCTTTGCTTTGTACTAGTCTGGATAACAATCGCCATTTTATAATCTTCAATGGCCTCGTCTCGTCTTGACAATTTACCTCTAACATCAGCACGACGTTTGTAGGTCAGCGCATCACCAGGTCTCAGCTCTAAAGCTGCAAAATGTATATGGGCCATGGATCAAATATATCTATAAACCTGACTCGGGACTGTGGAAGTGTCAGTGCATCAACTTATTGTATTATACATGCGAGCATGCCCACTCCAGATAATACGAGGGCCCCTCCCTATAATATGGGAACCCCATCCCGATGATATGGGGGCCGCCTCCCGAAATAATGCCCCCTCTCCAGATTATGGGGGAGGGGTCCCGATATTATTCTAAACAGCAGAGTTTGTACTCAGACGAAGGGCACTCGAAAGATCGAATTTCTGTTTCAGGTATGCTAGAAAATCCAGTTGTTCGTATCAGACAACTGCATATTGCCTACAGTCGTAGAGGTACAAACCACTATATGTCTCTAACAACTCGTACTGGCACAGGAAGAGAAACTGAAGTTATAAAATCTTACCATGTGTGTAATCATTCTCTGCTTGTTCGTACTGACGCAGCGACGCGTACAGATTACCTCGATTGAGGAAAATGTGTGCGGAGTATGGACTCAATTCAACTACAGCAAAAATAAGGAGATTACGAATGCTACATGTGGTTATTAAAAAGAATGAAAGTTATTTCAACTAATATACGCTTTAAAAACCCAGACGGTTGCAAGTTGCAAAGATACAGTTATAGTGTACCGCTGACTACTCACTTGCTTTTTCAAAATCGGAAAGTGCTGAGTCGAACTGTTTTAACAAAACCTGGAAAAAATGAAATAGCACTCAACATAGCAACAATTATATGGCATTTTAATTTGCTCATGATAGTATTTCCAATTTTGGGTAAAAATCTGCTTTACCTTAGTAATAGCTGCATTCAATATGGCACTTTCATCCTGTGGATTCCATGATGATGCTTTCTCATAATAGGACAACGCCTAGAATAAAAGCATGCTTCATTAATTGCACATCAGCTATCTGGTTCTCGGTACTACTACTGCTTACCTTACTGTATTGCAAAACAAATGTAATTTTAGACATTTTAATGGGTCAGAGAAACTTGGGATTCAAAGTAGTAGTATTCTACAATAGGCCGCTTGCGTAACTCTTAACATAACAATATTGCCATTCCATTGTCTTTTCATTGTTTTGAAAATCCCACTCTCACTCATCCCTTGGCTTATATTAGCACAGTCCAAGGTTTTATGATGTGGATGAAAATGAAATCAATTTTTTCTGCACATTTCAGCTAGCAGTGTTTACCTGTTGGAATTGTCTCTGTTTGAAGTAGAGATTAGCAGCGTTGTAATAAGCCAGTGAATAATCTGGTTCCAAGCGTATTGCAGCTTGATAATCTCGCATTGCATTTACTGTATCACCCATAAACTAGTAAAGTTAAGAATCGATGAATTATTGAAGATGTATGTTAACTAGCAGTATATTTAACCAAAATAAAACGTATATAATATATTACTTTATAATACCTGTTGAACAACACCTCGGTTCGTTAATAATTCTGCAGTCTTTGAAATCTAAAATCAACCAAGTATATTATTGTATGGTGCCAGGTGATCTCGTGTTCGTATTTTAGCCAATCAGCGCTCAGAAAGGGTTGTCCGAATAGAAATCCATTTTGATGTATTCAGTCAATTATATCTTTCGTTATTCTTTATGAAACTAGTTGAAATTTTGTAATTATGTTTGGTTATGAGAACTATAGCTCTGACAAAAATATGGAATCGAAATAAAGTATATTACAGGAGATATTCAGTTGTTTTAATCATAAAATGGATTTCTATTTGACAACTAGTGCCAGTACTTTTCCGCGTATCAAGATCACCTGGTGGTTTGGTTCGATATTGTTAGAGGTATAACGGGAACTGGGATTTTTTCCCAACCTAGGGAAAAGCCTGGAACGAGGTTGGGATTTGCCTATTTTTGGACTGGGAAAATGAGATTTGATTTCCTGGAACTGGGAATGACAGACACAAAAATGGGAATGGAAAACCCATAAACCTTACTACGGAGCAACTTGCGATTGAAAATTTGTCTAAAAAGTCCGGGAAGACTGCATTCTGCCATTCTGTTTTGGAAGGCCGACTTAATCCTTACCCTTACCCTTACCCTAAAGCCTGTTTTCCACTCATCCCATGAGTCAACTCGCGTGTCCGCTGCGAGAGCCAGACACTGAACGTTCCTCAAATTACTTATACTTTCTTTATCATACCTTCAAACAGTCATTCATGTCAACAAAAGCAGCGAAGGTGTTCGATATCTGCAAATTGACAATGGCTCGACCTTCTAATGCAGCTTGAGAATCTTAGAAGAGTAGCAAATTAGTAAACAGTGGTACAATACTGGAATATTAATAAATACAAGATTGAGTGCATGTTGTACCTTTATTTATACTGAGAGCAGCACTGAATTGATCCCACGCTTTCTTGAATTTTCCTTCAACCTATAATCAGAATATACAAACATTCGTTAGTTAAAAAAACTTGGGTCAAAAGTCATTTTATATTTTCTACCAGCAAAAAGAATCGAGATAATAGGTTAAAATTCATTCTTAATTAAAAATTTATTACATAAGACTAAATAATCTCTTTTGAAAGATACTCACTTGCAAATTGTAGGCAAGATTTACTCGGGCTGGCAAACATAACGGATCAATATGTAATGCTTTCAAGTAGTCAAACCTGTAATTACATTTATATTAAAGACCTGCATATCATAAGATGATGAGATCCAATCATAGAATTTTCTCCCTTCAAGCTCTTGTTTCTCACCTTGCATATCGTGTCGCAATACTGTGCCCGTAATCCATCAATACATTTCCTCGTCCAATGTACGCTTCTTTGAAAAATGGATCAAAGTGTAATGCCTCTGTGTACGAGTTGACCGAGTCTTGCAAACGATTTAACCTTAAAAGCAAGGTAACAATCAATTATGTAGTTCTCCATAGGCGGTCATAGAAGGGGGTAGCCACTATCTCTACCTCTCATAAGGCTTAATATGCATTCATTTGATTGGTTATTCGGGTAGATCAAACTCGACTGATTGGTTAAATAATGGTCAAAATCCGAACCTCTCTAATATGGTACTGGGACTGGTTAACAAAAATATCTTACTTGTGGTAACATAACCCAAGTGTATGAAGAATTCTTGGGTTGTTTGGTGTCACCTAAACGGAATAAATACTTATTAATGGACTTGTATTTGGCAAACTGAAAGTATAGTATGCATTAGTGCATTTTTTTATCTTGGCATGCAGAAGTACTAATTCACCTTGGCAGCCTCCGAAAAATCCTTTAAAGCGTTTTCCATATCGTTAAGGTCCAAGTACAGCAAACCTCTGTTGTGTAAAACCTAAAACAATGTGTGTTATAAAATAACTAAAATAAATAAAAATATAACCAAAAGAAATTACTCCTCCCTCCCTTCCTGTAGATGAAGACGTTACCTTCATGTCAAGATCGTTAGAACTTAACAACACAGTGCTGTAGTCAATAAGGGCCTGAAAGCAAATAAAGTAATCAAGCACAGAAAAAAATCACAATCAACACACTTGAACTAAACGATAAGGCAATCAAGATATAATTAGGATAGTTTATTAAGATGATTAAGATAACCTCTACTCTACATAATTAAGATAATCTCTACTCTGTGTATACCTTTTGATAATATTTCATAGCATGATAACAAACAGCTCGGTTGAAATAAGCCAGTAAACATGTACAGTCAATAGCAATGGCCTCAGTTAAATCGCGTACAGCAAGTTTATATGCAGAGATATGAAACTTCAGGGCACCTCTAAAAAAATTAGCAGACTAAATGGTTATATACTACATGTAAAATGTTAGTTATAACTAAATAAGGTCAACACTTTTTAATACAAAGCTTTTTAATTTCATTTTTCAATATTTACCTGTACAAGTAAGCCCGAACGCTTCTTGGTTGAAGTTTTATGGCCTCGTTGCAATTCATGATTCCTTTTGAAAACCGAGCTTTTGTACCATAATATGCAGCTCGACTTAAAAAGGCTTGGAATAATTTTGGATTAATGGCCAAAGCTCGATTGAAATCGTGAATACTTTTGGCATGTTTTAATTTCATCTTCGTCAGGCCACGATTGTAATATGCCTGTAGAGGAACAATGATAATTTGATACAGGGCTCCGTAGAAACTGCATGATTTTATCAATCTAGCTTATCTTAAAGAGAGATGGTATGGGCGCTGCATGTTGGTACATTCGAGAACACAAGAGAAGCGAGAGTACGATTGTTTGGACTCGTAAGTACAAAAATAAAGAGGAGAAAGATCCAAAGAATGAATGAATGAACAACTTTATCAGGGCCGTAGTAGATACGGGGGGGGGGGGGGGGTTAATGGGGGTTGCAGACATACCCACATGGCTCACACTTACTAACCTCAGCATAATCTGGATTGACTTTAATAGCATTATTGAAAGCATCGAGTGCCCCAATCAGATTGTCCAGTTCTGTATAACATGTACCAATCATAAAATATACATCAGCAGCTTGCAATGGCATCTGGATACGTGGGTGCCAAGGAGTCTAGAAAAAAATGATTGGATAACGTAATATGCGCGGGAATGGAAATCTATAGCTTGATATCTAAAGGTCTCGTTTTTATACACCCTGTATATTATAAAACACTGCTTCACTGGATGAGTAAATATAAACAGTGAACAATATAATACAAAACGTTTGTTCTTACCAGGTTATAGACTGCTCTCTTGAAACTAGCAATACCATTCTCGTATTGTTTTGCCTTCATGCACGTCTTACCCAGCAGGATTAACATGTTCGTGCTGGGAGCGATCCGAGTTGCTCGAGTGAGAATATCTATTGCCTGAAATGGTAAAAGCCAATAAAAAATGCAAGGAATTCGACAATTGGGCTATTCCATTTAATATAGGCCCCCTCCTATTGAGGGGTCCCTTCATAATCCCCTCAAGGATATAGAAATTTTGAAACCGCATTAAAGTTAAAGATGCAATTTTTGGAAGCCACCCCATAGGATATCACTAGAAGTGAAAGTCTTTTAATGGCGCCACCCTCTAGGAAAATTTAAGGCGAAAACCCCTCCTTCCATCCAGACCCCCCTCTGCATTGGATATCTAGAACCCTCAATAGGGGGGTATATATACAGATAATATATACTGAGGTAGAGGTATGTATGTATTGATACTGTACCCGATCGTGATCTTGTAGAAATGCGTGAACAATAGCTTGCTGAGTTGCTGAGCCACCTAGACCTTCACTTAATTCTGCAGCTTGTCTAAAAACAAAAAACCTGTTTTGACAAAACACGTCACTGTTTTATTCAAAACACGCAGTTGAATAAACATGAACTATAATACATTACCTGATGTGAAAACTTGCAAGTTCTAATTTATTTTGCTTCAACAAAAGTTTGCCCTATAAAAAGCAAACATTTGCATTAATAGAAGCGCAAGTGAAACCAAAAGGAAAGTCCGTTTGCAATATTTTAATTGAAGTGGCAGGAAATGCAAAAAAATTGTACAAAAAATTTTTCTGCATGATATACTTACTCTTGACATGCGACAATCAGCTTTGTTCGGATTTAAATGAATTATTCTCGTGAAGTCATCGATAGCTTCTTTAAGCTGTAGAAAACAATTTTTTACATTGCTGGGTGGCTTTATTACTTCTAAACTGTTATTTGTATATAATCTAACCACTGAGCCATTGGAGACTCCATTGGAGACTGTCAGTTATGCACGAACGCAATTCAATTAAGGCTCATTAAACCACCGTCAAGAACGTGGAGGGTCATAGGTTCAAATTAGACAGAACTTTTCTGCATGGGGGGGAGGAGTGATTTGTCCACGGGGGGGAGTGATTACGAAAAATTCCTATTAGATAGCATATTTCCCACAAAATTGACAGAATTTGTCCCATTTATTTTTATAAGCCAATATTGCCCGACTGTGAAGCGAATATTGCCCGACTGGCTTTGTTTGCCCAACAAACTGGGGGGGCTGCCTCCCCCCCCCCGCCCGGTACGCCCATGCTTTTCTGGGCTGCTTATAGTCCAGTACTTTCAACGTGAGTGGAAAACTACTTACGTGACCAACTTTATCATAAGCCTCAGCGCGACAAACGTAACCTCGTACATATGTAGGATCTACTCGAACTGCAGCTGAAAACCTTTTGATTGCTCTGAAATATAAAAATAAACAAGATATGGACAAAGAAAAGGTAAAGTAGTGAAGATCAGTGCGGGGACAAAGAAAGTTCAGGATGAATCTTCACATAAGGTATGAGAAAAAAGTTTAGAGCTCCATGCAGTATATACGAAGTCATTAGCTTAGTCTGGTTTAATTTATATTAGTTTACCTGGCATAATTCTCATGCTTCGTAATGACGATAAGACCAATGTTGACATGCGCACTAGGAATACATTTGTTCAGTCGCAGTGCGGATTCAAAATCGCTCACAGCCTCGTCCCACCTAAGAAGTAGAAATACAAATGGTACTTGTTTTTATACTTTTTAAGCCACGTTGATGAGAGTTGCCAGTCACGCATTGTTCCAGGGGACATTTCAAATTAACAACATCAAGATTTGATGAGTGTTTCAAATACGTTCTAACTTAAAGGGGCCCTACAGTCATTTTTAGTCGAAAAGCCACCTTAAGTATTGTTTACATTTTTTTGTTATTGTCGCTACTTGACATGCGCACCACGGCATGCATGCGTCTTCCGGTGTGGAAGTACTCATACTCATGGATACTGCATGTAAGGTACAGCCAAACGAATCTTCGTGGAGTCCCCTACTTAAGGTGGTTTTTCGACTAAAAAATGACTGTAGGGCCCCTTTAAATAGAGTACATGATAGTGTTGGGAAAGCATTTTCAACAGCTAACCAAGATCACATGATTGGCAACTCTCATACACTCTCATTCTTGTTTCATTCGGGCTTTAGTCGTGTTTTAAGAATTGTTACCTTTTCAAATCCGTGTAAATAATTCCACGATGTAGAAACGCATTAACGTTAGCGAGGCTGCTGTCAAGTAGCAACGACACACTCAGATCTTGAATCGCCTTTTGAGGGTTAATCCTGACAACACAGAAAAAAATTTAATCACATAACAATAACAACTGCAACAACAACTGGTAAACCTAACCTAACCCTAACCCTAACCCTAACCCTAACCCTAACCCAACCCAACCCAACCCAACCTAAACGAACTTTAACTTAAACGAACTTTAACCTAACCTAACCTAACCTAACCTAACCTAACCTAACCTAACCTAACCTAACCTAACCTAACCTAACCTAACCTAACCTAACCTAACCTAACCTAACCTAACCTAACCTAACCTAACCTAACCTAACCTAACCTAACCTAACCTAACCTAACCTAAATTTAAACGAAGTTTAGGAGAGATGTACTTTCTAAATATATTTAATCCATGTTACTTGCGAAGTAAACAGCCACGATGAAAGAAAGCCTCGCTACTTCTAGGATCTAAATGTACAGCTGAAGATAGATCTTTCAGGGCTGCCTTGAAAACTCCCTAAAACAACAAAATTACCATAAACATTCAAATAAAGTTTCGTGATTATTTAGTTGTGCCGGTTCGTTAGCCAATCAATTTTCTACATCTACATTTATTGAGTCGGTAAAAATCTTCACAATTCACTTACTTATTTCCATGATAATAGAATAATTTGGCCCTTCGTCTGCATGGCTGGTAAGTCCAGACGAAGGGCCTTCGCTCGAAACGTCGAAATTCTCCTTATATGCTTTCGGGTAGTTGCATCCCCACCAACGAAAGTTTGTTCATTATACAATATACAATCAAAGTACCTGTTGTACATAGGATTTTCCTCTAAACAGGTATGCTTTTGCATCCAGAGGATCTTGTTTCAACATGACTGTAAAACACTTTACTGCTCCTAGCCAATGCCTGCACACAAAGAACAAAAGAACGTTGATGAGAAAGTGTATAATAGTCGTGAAGACACCAACAGCCTTAAACACTTGAAGAGAACTTACTTTTGTTTAAAAGTATATTGACCAATTTTAAACATGGCGTCTGTTTTACTAGGCTGAAGATCAGCTGCTATTCTATAGTCTTCCAAAGCAAGAACAATGTCTCCTTTCTGTAGAAGAAAATGAAAAATTGAGTCTCTGAATAAATTATCCTCCATGGAAGATAATAAAATCAGACGTGTACCTCCTCAAACAGTGCCGCTCGGTTATAATAGATCTCAGCATCATCAGGATTTAGTTTGACCGCCTGAGAATAATTTATGATTGCCATCGTGCTATCTCCTTCTTGCTTGTAGATCTCAGCCCTAAAAATATCAGTATATAGTTAAGGACATTTCAAGGCTTCTATCCAATACACCATTCCGAGAACGAGGCTTCAGGCAAAATTGTAACATTTCTATAGCAAATTTATCATATACAAAACTGACGTTCCACTAACAAATGTTATTTCATAATGAAGAATCACTCTCACAATTACATGTACTTAGGATCACTATAAGTCATGCATAGATAACGTTGTTACCATAAGAACACTCACTTTGACAAAAATACTTTTACAATTTTGTTGTTTCGCTTCGTTATATATTGTAAATCTTCCAACGCTTTCTACAAAGAACAAACATAGGTTGTTAGATTTGGTAACCCTTATCATCATTATATATATCTTGTTATATTTAACACATCACTGAGTTAGAAAATTACTTCCTCGTGTTTATATTCGTTACTTCCATTGTTACACAGACACTCCTCTACGCCTGCATAGCTGAAATATTTGTGAAACTAACCTTAGGGTGATTATTTAAAAGATGCAAGAGATGCCGGTGCCAACGACTGATTAACAGTTGAGGTTCTAGTTCGATGGAACTGTAAATTGAAAAAATAATTTTATTATTAGGATTAATGCGAGAAATAACAATGCAACTTCCCAACATTCGTGAAGTAAAATAACGTTTGTTGTTGTTGGCGTCGTACACAGTTGTTGTTGTATGTCAATCAATTCTTTAGTTGTCAGATAATATTCCTTAATCTTCTAACATTATTGTACTTACCGCTCAAGATCATCCCAAGCTTTCTTCAGGTGACCGAGCTGCAGAGATAAAAAATACAAAGATGCATGTAAAATGATGTGAAAGAAATACTGAAAATAATTTATATTCGGAGTAATCTTATACCTGCAGAATTGAAAACTATTAACTAAAGTCCTTTAAATCTTTAAAATATAAATCAAAATTATATCACTAAATTCTTAGAATCTTAGAAATCGAGTAATTACGGCATAACAAACCTTTCTGTAGAGAGCTCCTCTTCGTGCTAAATATAAAGCTAGAGTCTCTGTTTTTTCTGTCTCATTAATCCAATCAGAGACCTTTTCCGCCTCTTTCTCTAAGTCCTAGGAAAGGATTTGAAACAAAAGAACATTAAAAAAAAGACATGATCCACTTTGATAGTCCACTCCAGGATATGAAAGGTGGGGTGAATTTGTTGATTATGTTCCTAACTCTAACCTCGCAACTTACGAAGTTGATGTTGCTCGTACAAATATATTTTTCTTTGTTCTTTACCCAAATCACAACCCCATCCCTAACCGCCTTGTGACCATAACATAACGATATGCCCGCAAGAACCACCACCCGTACTTCCATCACCTTCAGTATACGGTCGCACAAATTATACTTTATATCATTCAGTGGATGTATTGCGAAAGAAATATCTATACTCTACCTCGTAAAGCTGTCTGCTAGATTCGTCAACATGTGGTTCAATGACTTGAATTTCATCCAAAACATTGGGTGATATAGCGCTATTAGAAATATGCATGTAGTTTGATAAAAATTGTAAAATTGATTTTGATGTTAAAAGTAAAGGGGGGGTAGGCTATCATCTTTCCCTGCAGCGGAGAGCTAAATTTGCGAACGACGCAGCTTAAAGGCGGGCAAGTCGAAGGGTTACTAGGGCGGACCGTTTCCCGAAAGTCAGCTTACCTGCTTGGTATTTCCTCATCTGATATGCTGCTCATCATGTCTGAATGGAAAACATAAAGAAATCGTAAATAACTGAGGGCTTACCAGGGTCATGCCAACATTCAACATTCAACAGCCATGCATATAATAGAGAAGTTCAGATTTTCACTACCACTACCTTTCACTGGATAATAACTACGCATCTGATTGGTTAATCGGATAGTTCAAATGCATCTGATTGGTTAATCAGATAGTTCAAATGCATCTGATTGGTTAATCGGATAGTTCATATGCATCTGATTGGTTTATGGTTCCTTGGCGGGAGTGGAAGTCAAATCTGAACCTCTATAAGGAGTAAACATGCAATGGAGTACCTCTAAGAATATCAGGCGTCGCCAAACTTGGAGGATAAACCTCATCAAGCCATTTGTACCAATACTCATCTTGAACCCAGAAAAACAAATCATCACCAGACCTGAAGACAAAAACTTAAACTTATTCAAATCTGAATCTCCCTACCTAATGACCTGCCATTGTACCACCAGCACTCAACATTGTGTTGTGTTGTGTTGTGTTGTGTTGTGTTGTGTTGTGTTGTGTTGTGTTGTGGTGTGGTGTGGTGTGGTGTGGTGTGGTGTGGTGTGGTGTGATGCGCTGTGCTATACAGTACTTTGCTGTGCAGAGAGAGTCGTTGGTACTCATCCATTTTAGTATATGTATCTATTTTCATAACAGTCGATCAAAATCAGTCATTATATTAAAATAGATGTACTTACATATCTTCGTGATCTAATACTTCATAATTGAATAAGCAAGGCACACTTGGTGAACGGGTGAGCGTCCTATAAATAGCAATTGAAACAATTCGTATTTTCGACAGTACAAAAATTTTGATGGAATAAACAGGAACAATCCTGAACTCTAGAAATGGAATCACAATGACAAATTTCCGTAGAACGTAAATTGATATGAAGTCGGGTATAGGAAATAGGATACGTATAGTTTACCTTTCACTGGATAGAAATTGCAAGGATTCTGATCTGTTGAATAAATGATACGACAAATACATATTTAAAATCGTACTGAAGCATTCTTAAATAAAGTACAAAACGTTTTTACTGACGAGTACTACGAGTGGTAATCTTATCCTAATTGCCACTTATCATTGTGGACCAGTCAGAACCTCTGTTCCTATTTTAACCGTGACTTACTTTAGTTATAAATAAATTGTGTATTCATTATGGCTTCAGCGTCTTAGTACAGCGCGCCACTTAATTTCTGGCCTCGTATAAATGGCTCTATTATTCGACTATTTTTCACACAGACAGACATATTTCTACCTCTGAATGACTCGAGGTGGCTCATTTAGCATTTCTTGTACTTTCTTCTTCATTATCTAAACAAAAAGATCCGTATTCTTCAGAGGGAGAACGATCGTTTTCGAAAATATCTGAGCCATAGTTTGCAAGGATACGTGCACTTAAATAAGTCACCGATAGATCGTAATTTATCTGAAAATTGCCAAAGTTACTTGTTTAAATTTTTGCCACTAAAAGAATCGTAAAGTGAAATTCCGCACTCAAAAAAAACTTATTTCTTACTTTCTTTCTCCTAGCCCGTTCTTTCTCGTTTGGGACATCTCTTCTTCCTCTCTTTCCATAAGATAGCTGAGGCTTGCGGGAAATTTTTCTGGAAAGAAATTTCAACGCATAACTCGTATACACAACTCAACTTTTTAATTACCTTTACTCGACTAATGTATGACTTCGTAAATAACAATACCAACTAGGGATGCAAGTTATCCATTATTGTGAATTGGGTAGAATGATATAGCAACTTTGACCATACTGTAGTAGTTAGGTTACAAGGAGAAGGCTCGTTTATAACATTTGCTTAATCTCTAAACTTTCTTATACTCTCTTTACTTTCGTTCTCGAGGCGAGACTCCTTGGGTGCATTTCCCTCATGTTATATATCTTATAGATTACGGTGATTAGACTATCTGTTAACTTGATTCAAGTAATGATCTTACCCAGGTTTTGATGTGGAGAAGACAGCTTTACTTGTGGTCGTAATCATCGATGCCGTATCCGTCCCAGTTTCGTCTATTTTGTCAGCCTGCTCCACTGGACATGAATCTAACAAAAAATTACAATTATACTCAACAATACTCCCTATAATACATCCATGACTACCCACTAGCGTTTTACCGTAAGCCAACGTTACAGGGCGATAACTAATGGGGAGGGGGGCGGATGATAAGCTCACGAGGATTGAAAACAGCATTTTTGACGGGTAAATGTACCAAATACTCAATAATGGCAAATTTCCTCATACCCCCTTGGCGTCTCGCGCATTTGAAACTCGATATATATACTTGTTCCTTCGGCGCTATTCCCGAGGGCCCTTTTGGCCAACTCCTGCATTACAGTACGTTATCTTCTGACCAAACCCTCTTGTCAGGCATAACGTACCCACACCTCTCTAATATTACAAGGTAATGGTAACTGTAACGTACCTGCATTCACCGAAGACGAGAGATCAAATGAATCATGCTTTTCGTATCTTTCAGTCTTAAAAATACACAAAGTTAAGACTAACAAGATCGTCATACTGAAATAATTAATAATTAGACCATTTTGAAATATACACTACCTTTGGAGAATGCAATGTCTCGCTTGCAGGAGTTTGCGCGCTCTTTTCCATTTTCATGCTCTCAACTACGTTCATTTGTTCGTCGAGCTGAAAACAGATATGCATACATGATGTCATCCGTATATTAATATATTGCAGATCGATGACTGTAATAAACCACATCGTAAACCACAAAGTTTTTAAATACATGCTAAAAACTAAGTTTCTGCATAAATTCCCTACCTCTTGCATACTGATGGTGTAGCCAGTATCAAAACACAAGCTAAGTTCATTACTGAGATCAGGTTGCGAGTGCTGTCTCCTAAAACGCAAAACAAACTTTAAAATATGATAATCGAAAAAAGGACTGAACATGTCCGTCTAACATCACCCTACAGTGTTGGACATGTTTGGTAATGTTTGAATATTATGTTTGGTAATGTTTGAATATTATGTTTGGTAATGTTATATGGCTGATGTTGGAAGATGTTAATCAAGTTTCATTTGTCAAGCTGGACAGCTACACAGCGCATGTTCAAAAATGTTCGCTCGTCCCGCGCGGCAAAGCGACCGTAATGGGAAACAGCCTATAGCCAAGGTGGTGCGCGGGAAACAGCCTATAGCCAAGGTGGTGCGCTTTCTGGGGGGGGGGGGGGGGGGGGGGGGAGGGAGGGTCAACATTTAGCCAACATCGTAGATTATCTCACCTTTCTTTTTTTACCCCAGAGAACAACTCCGCATCGTCAGACTCTTCATCTACCACAACTGTACTCTTCAAAGAATCCTTGATTTTTGCCATTTGACGACGGATGTCCAAAACTGATAAAAATCTCTCTGATTGAGTTTCTTCATCGCTATCTCCTGGGATGAAATAAAACTCGTTTATAGTAAATATTTTCTCCTTCACTTTATGTCATTTCACTTTCGTTTGTTATGCTTTTTACTTTATAAAAATACGAGCATTGCATATAGTGTCTTTTACAAAGGCCAGCACCTGACACATCTGTTGCATAGACGTTATGGAAAACTATTGCCACAAGCTATGCTTGTGTGCGGATTCCTAACGTGAGAAGTTCTTTTTGAACACCAGTGTATTTCCCCTTCATTCTAGAAATGTGAAAAAAAGTTTTTTCTAACTACAAAATTAATGTACCTTTGTTCGTATCCAAATCTTCAGGCGGTATAAGAAGACTCTCACTCGTAGCTTTTGCAGGCCCCCGGGACAATTGATCCATGATATTAGAAAGTGAACCATGAGTACGTTGTAGAACTCTGAAACAAAGGAAACAAAGTTTTCGTGACACGTGGATAAGGTGGAAATGAAGCTCAATAGTTTTCACACCAACACTCGACATCTATACATGTAAATCTCTCTAGATCCCAGGTACAGTAGTTGTTGGCATTTCTAAACACGAAAAACACTGGAAAAAATTGTGAAATTTATACTGTGAAATTTGCGATTGCATCACAAAATCCATAGTATTTCCATACTATTTCCGTACTATATCCAGAGTATGGAAATTGCAATTAGTATGAAAATTGGATTTCAATACTACAGTATTTCCAAAGAAGATCCATTCCATAGTAATCTTGAACTGTTCGTGCCAGTGTAGGTAGCACCATGGATAATAAAATAAATGGATAGGAAACTAGCTGACGTGACCTAATGTTTTTACTGGGATTGATGGCGTGGTTGGATGCCTCAACCTAGTTGAAAATCAAATTCTCAAAAACGGCATGTTTAGCAATAATACAGCTAAACGTTTTAGTCAAAGAGCAAATAAATGTAACCACGCCATTCTACGATGAAAACTCTAAGTATTCCCAGTCAATTTTAGCAAATATTTCAAGCACTAAACAGTGAAAATTACATCGCAAATTTCGTTAAAATTTGTGACGCCAATTTCGTAGCTACAAATGTAAAAAAATACAAAACAAAGACGAAAAACATTTACCTTGAATACTTTGTCGTGGCGTAGGCATGTTTTTAAAACAATTAGACCAGTTTACGCTTCAAGATCACCCTTTTAAAGTGGAAAATATAGCAAAACAACAAATATGCCGAGAACTTTGGTAACATTCGCAATACGCGTGACGTCACGTTTTTCAACAAGGATGCAGTCAATGACGTCAGAAGTTTCCAATCCATTTATTTTATTATCCATGGTAGCCCCAATAATATGAATAAGCTTTCGTTGGTAGGAATGTAACTACCGTCCCTTCGTCTGCATTAACCCACCTTTGTCTTGCCTCTACATCTTCAGGGTCCAGATTATCCCAGTTGTCCTCATCGTCCTCGGAATCCTCTAGTGTCCCCTGTACAGTCTCGTACTCAGTCTCTGAGCTCGCCTGGCATACAGGTGCTCCTTGATAAGCTGGGAACATCTGATTACGGATGGTTGATGGAAAGAGGTGGAGTTTAGGTGGCGCCGGTGTCCAGTAAAACCTTACCAAGGATAATAATACAGTATGCATCAAAGGAAAATGACAATAAAAATGTTTGTGTCATCTGAAAAAACTTTTAAAATGGGATATGGTTTAAAATATAAGGCGTTACAAACATGTGAGTTCACATGCAGTAATCAGGCATAACACTGTAATTTAATGTAATAATTTTCTTTTTAGTAACGACCAGAAGGCTTTTTTAAAAAAAGTTAATAAATTGTAACAACGTTTCGGAGTTTTGTTACAATTTATTAAATTTTTTTAAAAAAGCCTTCTGGTCGTTACTAAAAAGAAAATTATTACATTGAAATGAGGCTTAGAGAAAGTTCGCTTCTAATCACATTGACTGTAATTTAAGTAAATGAATGACCCAAAGTTTCGACAGTCTATTCTCGTATCAAGCCCAAGGTACCAAATTGCGACGTTATACGGGAAACAGCTAGCTATACATCGTGGACAGTAAAATACATACCTTGTTGAATCATCTTTTATATCAATTTTCAACCCTTGAACAGACAGAGGTTCCTCAGGAATGCCTGAAAACTAATAAAAAAAATTTTTGCATGAATTTCTCAAGAACTGTTTTCCTGACATGAACTCGGGAAGTAAGGGTGTAAAACCTTCGTATCTTCGAACTACAGTTATATTTGGTTTTTCTTACCAGCTCTTTGGCGATTTTCTGCAAATTTTCCAAAGTTTCTTCTTCGCTTCCTGCTTTCTTAAGGATGTCACGAGCAACTTCTGATAACTTTCTTTTAAATTCGTAGTCACCGGCAGCCTGTTCCCAGTCTATATCTGTGTCCAGATGTTTACAACATTGTAAAAGAGCATCAGATATCGGAAACACGCGAGGAAGTGGATCCTTAACAAGGAAGACGTGAAAATAAATGAAGCTATAGTTATACCGTAAATCAAGCTGCAACAACCCTGCCGCACACTTGTATACCAATGCTGTTTCAACAACTTTTTACAGTATCTAGATGTGTCCACACTGCGTGTTCCCAGCTTGTTGACAAGTTAGCAACGGCTTGTTGGCAACTTGCTACAAGATTGTTGGGTTCAACAGACTTGTTATGGTCCTGTAATCCAACAATTTGACAACAAGTTGCGAGTGACAACCTTGTAACAACTTAATAAAGTAACAGCATTGCTACAACTTGTTGACAAGCTTGCTACAAACCTATTGCAAACACATCTTGTTGACAAGTTGTGAGATGTTGACTCTTAAGCCCTGTCCAGAACAATTAAAGTGCTATGGAGAGAAGTACGCTGTTGTGCTTGATCTCGCGCTCTGTTGAAGCTAGTTAAAACTGAATTCAGAAATCTACTACTACAACTATGTATACCTGTGGTTCCCTGTAACGGTCAGACACAACTCTGTGTTTATCCACGGTATGCATATCTCTGGAAACACGAGTTAGATGTGCTGGTAATTCTACACTGTTCGTTTGAGAACAGAAATGGTGGATATTCACTCCTGCTTTTTCACCGACCTAAAACCGAAATAAAAAAATATTCGTTCCTAACCCTTTAAGACAGGCAATGCGCCCAGATATTTTACTCTGTCTAACGCCAGATGATTACATTACGATTATATTTACTTGTCAGGGGAAGAGTGCTGCCACTCAATGGGTTAAAAGATTAACGTACACTGTAAGCAGAACAAGGCTTTCATCAGTGTCTAGTTCAGTGCACATGGAGGGCATTTAAAGAATCTTTTTGTTTGATCGTCATCTGCCCTTGTGTTAAAGTCTCAAAAGATTGCTTGAAACTCCTTGTAAAACAATCGCAGGATTACTAAAAGCTGATAACGGCTAAAGTACGCCTCCTTCAACTTGGAGATTTTGTAGAAAAAGGGCTGGGCTATAGTGGTGTCACTTTCACCTATCTGTTCAAGACAGTATCAAGACATGCGCTAGTACCACCCTTGCATGATCCAACCATACAAGTTTCACCCAACGGTAAAAGACAGTTGTATACGTTTTTCTATCGAAACTAAGATCTCGTCATCTCACCTTAATCAAATTAGCTTTTTCTTTGTCTTGCCAAGTTGATAGAAAGGTAACTTCGTTCTGGGCATCAAATGTGGTCTGTGGTCTTGAAACGATATATTTACTTTGAACGCTTGGTCTCTCAACAAACTCTGCTTTCTTGCCTGAAATGCTCACTATGTCAGATGCTGTGACATTTAGTGGTAGCAACAGATCCTGAAGGAAATTGAAAAACCCACAAACACACCTTAATATGTGAGAGATGCGTCACCAGAGCGTTGACCACGGGGCTATTGCGATTGTTTCGAGCCCCACGAGAGGCAATATGGGGTGAATTGGATATCCTGCATTGGAGTATTCAGCCCAGTCAGAAAACTATTTTTCAGTAAATGACTCGAGTCAATTAGTCTTTCTCACGCCGCCATTTTTGGGTGGCATTTCAGCCGAAGTCTGCGAGATAAGTCCACATAACGGCGAATTTTTATCATTTTTTGGACGAATGATGGTAAATTTTATTTGTAAATGGTTAGTTTATTTTGAAAATTTGTTTTCACATTGTTTTAATTGTCTGCATTGGTTAACGAGAAATAGATGCCACCAAAAAATGGCGGATATTCGTCATCGTGGGAAAGGCTAATTAGTCTCTCCCAAGCGCGCGCACCGTGAAAAACAGTTTTTATAATTGTAGTTGTGTGTAAAATGGCAAATTTATAGTTACATTAACTTCAAGTCACATTTCACAATGACATTGTTGTAATTGCCTAGATTCTTTTACGATGGAAAACTGTACGCCCAAACATGGCGGGTATTGAGCCGTTACTAGGACCAGAATAAATGATCGTTCAAACCTGCAAGGAAGGCTGAAGATCGTCATGAGTAGGACCAAGTTTTAGTTTATTTTTTTCATCTGTGACTAAGTCATCTTTCTGACCCAAATCGTGTTCACCGTCGACGATGTCACGTTTTCCTTCATTGACAACAGGTTCATCTTCACGACTTTCTTGCTCCTTCACTACGGTGTCTTCCTCGTTCTTCTAGTGGACGAAAAAGCCTAACTACTTACATGTACATACTAGGTACTGTGAAGGGGTTTTAAAATGCTTCAGAAATGCTGTACGTGGTTGTATGCTCCGACATACAATCATACTGTAGGTCTGTACGCCTATTTTGAAAACGCCCTGAAAACCTTCTAATCCCCCAACGGGGCTTGATAACTTATTAGATAATGAGGGTGTATTAGAGAAGGGCGTTTATTGGAAAGTGGGTATTTATTCAATCATTTACGATATGTTAAGAATGTTACAGCAACAGTACCTCGTTCATTCCTTTATCAACATCTTCACCAACAGTTTCATGAAATGTCTCCTCCTTGTCCTCTTCCTCAATGTCATCTGCAGGTTGTTCACTTAGCTCTCCAATATCAACCTCTTTGCCAGGAGTTTCTGGAGATACAACCGATAACAAATAATTCACAAGCAGGACTCGAAAAACTTTTCATTTTACGCCGATCACGGTGATGCTTGGGTTCCATTTGCAACCAGTCAAACACCATATTTCTGACTGGTCAACTCCGTTTCATCTTCGAGGAAGCATTCCCGAAAAAATCGTTTTGGCAAGATTCAAACACGTTTAATACCAAGAAATGTTTAATTAATACCAAGAAAACCCTTGGGTCCACAATACGTCAAAAATCAAGATCTCGTTTTCAAGACCTAAAATGTGACTGGTCATTTGAACCGACGTCGAACGAATTTGACCCCGTCATACAAAAAAATTTGGCCAGTTATTGACTGTTGACCGGTCGTCATTTGAGCTCCGACAAGAGACAAAGACATTACAACCTGGTTTTTTCGCATGTGTAATTGCTTTATCTATGTCTTGTGGGCAAAATATATCCACGCAAATTCACTGCACGCAATATACGCTTCCACAAACTACGTCATCTTGGCTATAGAACCTCGTTTTCATGATTGCGATGTAGGGCTTTATCCAATGTCACATACACGAAAGCGAGGCTCTCCAAACATAACGTCCTACAGGCTACAACTAGTTAATAAGGAAAAAGACTTGCACAATTTATTTTCGCTCTTAGTCGGAACATGTACTGTAACAAAACTCAATCCAGCCCAACCCACCTGAAGACACATTTGACACACCAAGGTCCTTAGATGATGAAACATCTAAGCTGTGTGTTGATCCATCCAGCTCTACTGTGTCAATATTTCCACTTGTTATCTGTTTCAATTTCATTTGAATGAGCTGCGATACACTCAGCGTTTCTCCACCTGGTGTTGAACGTAGCCCTAATAAAACATCTTTGAACTTGGGTTTGTATTGATTAACATCTGTCGTATTCTGCTCTTCCGTTTGTTCCCCTCGCGATGTTGCCCGGCTTGAAGAATGTCGACCAAGTGAGGTCTTCGCTGAGCTACTTCCTGATGACCTTTGAAAAGAAAATGGTTATATATTTAAATGATTAATATCTCTTGTTTAATAGATAACTACACAGTGTATATCTCTCTTTTAATCCAGGCCACACCAGTCCTCAGCTTTTACAAAGAATCCTCTCTAAGACATAACTCCAAGATCAAATAACATTAGATATCTACTGTATCTTTCAACGATGGACACAGGGCTTCAGAAAAAACACCTTTTTCTGCACCTTTATCTTACCATGGTAAAATAAATGGTTCATCGTCATCAAATGATCTTGTGCCTCTACTTGTGGCAGAACTTGATACTCTCTCTTCTGGCAGTTTTCTTGGAACCAATGAAACAGGCATGGATGTATTCTGAGATCCTGTTATAGCAAACTTTGCAGGAAGTTCATTGCTTTGGATGTTGAAAGGTGACATTGGTCGATAAAACTGCAACATGTCAGCATAATCTAGCTCATAGATGTCATGCTAAATTTTGAATAAAGAAGGAGACGAAATTGAAACAAAATCATACATCTGTATACATACGAGGCTATCAACAAAATAATATAATAAAAGGAGGGATGCATAACAATAGTGACATGCAATAACAATCAGATCGGAATGTTTAATTGTCTGTTCATTGTTTTTACTGTAAAATCCCACTGTTCTCCATGCCCCAGTGTGGAAAGTTTGTGTCGCACGGCAGATATCTCTGGCATGCAATTTTGATGCTTTCTATATATTTACTGTTAAATTCTCTAAATCTCCAGCATGCAATTTCCAAACATTCCAGTCAGGTCCATGCCACCCAGTCTCTTGTTGTTTTGACAATTGACATATTGGCGACTTTATGCAAAGGGACCAGTGAAAGGGCCCTGGTGTCTATCTGAGGATCCTATCCTGAGCTAGTAGGATTTTGTTTAATAGCATCCTGTTTGGGGGGGGGGGGGGAATAGGGGTATACAAATCTGTTGATCCACCCAAATTTGAAGCAAAATCCGCAATCCGACAATGGTCTTTTCTAAATTCGAATCCGCTAAAAGCTCTACTATGAAGTCACAATCCAGGATCTGAACTAAATTGCAAGCTAAATCCACAATCTGAGCCAATATATTAGATAAATCCGCTGTATTAATAAGATCCGCAAATCCGTGTAAAATATTCGCCAGATCCGAAATCCGAACAATTTTTCAGTGAAATCCGACGATCCAAAAACCTATTCACCCCCCCCCCCCCTTTAAGTGTTTAGGATCCAAAGGTATAAATGCAGTAGTAAACTTGTACCAATACAACCAAATATGATTTAGTAATTACCTTCCCTTCTTCTGCATCACCTTGAATATCCTCAGATTTCGTTTCTATTTTTGTTCCTTGCATTACAACTTGAAGGTCAGGATTATGAGGTCGTATTGAAACCACTCCTTGTTCATGTAGACGCGGTTTTGTTTTCATATCTTCTGCCTTTCTCAACCTTACTTCCTTTCTACTTTTCCCTGAAGCTCGAGGACTCCGTGGTTTGTTTTTAGTCTTAGTATCATGTCCTAAGTCATCTTTCTGGACTTGTAGACAAGCTTTTTGATCTACATTGGTTTTTGACGACTTTTCTTGAGTTCGAGTCAATTCTTTATTAACTTTTGGGCCAGGCTTTTGGGCAGGAAGACCCTCACGAAGAAACAATTCTGTTTTATCATTTTTTCCCAAGGATTCGTATTCCCCCTTTGATTTTTTGGATAAGCGTTCGTACTCTTTTCTAAACTCTATTGAAGTTTTGTCATATTTCATGCGCCGTGTTTTTGACTTAAGATATGACATTTTTCTACGCTATTTACTTCTAATACTTAGCTTTGGTATACATACTCTTTGACGGGATCATTTAAGCCTTGTATGTCTTTTATTTTAAGGTGGAAAATTTCTCCAAACGTGGATATATAAGCAAAAATTTTCGTAAAAATTTGCCGCCATGTTTAAATCCCTGTCGTTGCCGTAGTTACGTAGCTACAGAGGTGACCCAAGCATTTACTGTAGTTGTAATAGGCCTTTCCTCTTATAACCAAAATTTTGATCTAGGCAAGTCTAGACAAATATTTCATCACAGCTTGAAAGAGCATCACAAAATTAGTAATATTCCAAAGTTTCGTTGCCAAATGTTGTAAAATGAGGGAAATAGAGCCTTGCGAAGTTTGCAATTTTCAGTCATTTTGCATTACAAACGGGAAATTGCAACCCCAACACCCGAATCGGATGTCAATTTCCCGTTTGTAATACAAAATGACTGAAAAACGGCAAACTTCGCAAGGCTATATTATCCGCACTTTACAAGATTTTGCAACAAAACTTTGGAATATTACTAATTTTGTGATGCTCTTTCAAGCTGTGATGAAATTTTTGTCTAGATCGAAATTTTAGTTATAAGGGGAAAGGTCCATTGGTTGTCACACTGTTACAACTCAGAGGTTACAACTGGTAGTCTGTTACACTTACCTGTATATAGGTCTATATAAACACTACATTATCAATGGCATACACCGTAACATGCTGCGAAATAGTGTTACACACTGTTACATGGCGTAATTGTAAATATAGTGTATACACGGTTACATGCTCGGAAATTTTACACTTTACCGTACCGGAGTAATCACTGAATACATACGCCATCAAAACACTCCAATAAAAGAACGAAAAAACCGTCAGAACACACGCCATCAAATACTTGCGGTACGGTAAAGTGTAAAGTACCCACATGTTCTGTATATATTATATATTATATTATATTATATTATATTATATTATATTATATTATATTATATTATATTATATTATATTATATTATATTTGATCAGATTTTAGGACGTCTTTATTTCTTGCGAATATTTCTTTTCTCTTGGGAATTCAATAGTTGTTTTATTATTCATTCAAAAGATAAAACAACGGCCAGCTGTATGAAGCCACTTGTGTTGTTGTGACACAATTCCTTCGGTAGTCGTCAGTGACATGACGTCATAGCATTTAACATTATTTCTTCATATCAACGTTATGACGTTGAATATTATTTTTGGTCAGCTATTGAGAAGATAATAAATGAATGATGATTTCACAGTCGGTTGTTAGGCAATCATAAAGAATGATTTCTTCTAAATGAATAATAATTACTTCTCTTCCATTCTTAAGCCTGCCGCACACGAGAGCTATCTGCTGAGCAAAAAGTTACTCGTGCCTGTTAGCTCAGCTGATAGCTCACCGATCAAACATGTTTGATACGTGAGAAAAGGTTGCATGAGGCAAAAAACTCAGCAAAATGTACCCGCACACGGTGAGCTATCGGCTGAGCTAACAGGCACGAGTAACTTTTTGCTCAGCAGATAGCTCTCGTGTGCGGCAGGCTTTAGGTAATCATTGGTACCCTTAGATTTTCAAAAGTGTGAATTAGGTTGGAACGGGCATAAATGATAATGCGTACATGTATATGTTCATAATCTTTGGTTATGTTCACATTGAACCTGCACTTCTGTTTCTTTACAATTTTCAGGCAACGATGCATACACAAAACGCCCGTTTTTCCGAATTAGATAATGAATGACAGCAAACAATATTACTGGAACAAGTAATAAACCAGCTTCCACGAAAAACACGAATCCAGGCAAATGAAGTTTATCCAAGCCCACAGGATATAACGTATTTATCGTAAGAGGAGCCATAAACTTCGCTAGACCTTCTGAGACTGCTATAATACTGCATAACACCCCTTGCTCGTGTGTTGAGACCAGTTTAGAAGCAATGCTTTGATTTCCTGGCGGAGCGACGGCTAGGAAGAACGCCGGAATACATGACAAGAACATTGCCAGTGTTGTTTTTGCAAAACCTAAGATAACATCACTAATCATGAAACATACACAGCCTATTATAACTATCAAGGTCTCCGGAATATACTTTGTAAGCACTTTGAAAGTAAAGACAATCCCAGCACCTGCAACGGCCGTTTTCGCAGTCATGTAATAACCTATCATTTCTGGGCCCCAGCACAGGGGGTGGTGTTTTGTATACAACACAGTGACGCTACCAAAATAATCCAAATCTATGAATATAAATGAAATGAAAGAAAGCAGTAGACAGATATTGATATATGGACCTCTATTTGCCACAACAAATTCTTTTATCCTTCTTGCATTAGCCAAGCAGGAGAATCTGTTGAAGTTTTGCTTTTCTTTCAAAGATTCCGGCAGGAAGATGACGATGTAAAAACAGCATAAAAATAAGACACCAACACTTGCCCAGAATGGTGGTACGTAACCTAAACAGAATGTAGAATGAAGTATGTAGTACAAAAGTTTAAACTCCGAAAATATTAAAATGTTTATTCTAAATCTCCCACGGACACTGTTCTGTATTTCGTTGGACGGGCAATGAAATCAAATCAAAAGCCCAGAGGTTGTTAGTGGTGATGCTGCAGCTGTTGTTGTGGTGGTAGTTGTTCATGGTGGGACGTTGTTGTTTTGTTGCTGTTGTTGTTGTGATGATGCAATGTTGTTGTTGTTGTTGTTGTTGTGTGCTATTGTTGCTGTTGTTGCATGCTGCTGCTGTTGTTGCTGTTGTGTGCAGTTGTTGCTGTTGTTGCATGCTGCTGCTGTGTTGCTGGTGTCAATGTTGCTGCTGTTGTTGTTGCTGCTGCTGTTGTTGTTGCTGTTGTTGCTGCTGTTGCTGCTGTTGCTGTTGTTGTTGCTGCTTTTGTTGCTATTGTTGCCATTGTTGTTGTTGCTGGTGGTGGTGGTATTAATAGCAAAAAAACTTACCTGAATTTTTCAACCAGATTCCACCAATAAAATAGCTGACCATAACAGAGAACATAATAGATAGTTGTAAAATGCCCACTCTAATGGTTCGTGATTTGTTATCTGTAACATCCACAATATAAGCTAAAGAGGATGCAGTTATGGTCTCTGTGGAACCCATTAAACCATCAATCAATGATCCCAAGAAAACAACATAGAATGGCCAGCCTACATGAAACAGAATAAAAATGAAAGGTAGCAATAAGACAGGGGGTATGAGGGGGGGTATGAGGGGGGGGTATGAGGGGGGGTATGAGGGGGGTATGAGTAAGTACGTTTTGCCTCCAGTACTTTTTACTCTTACTCAAGTTGTTTTATTGTTAATTACTTCTACTTTTACTCGAGTATAAATTCAAAGTAATTTAGGCACCACTGATCATTGCATGGTTTTGGCAGGGCAATTCTGCCAGACACCCCTAATTAAAGGGGCTAGTTTCGCCCCTGATCGTGTTTGAGACTTGAGCTAAACTTCCTTTTCAGCATTCAGGTGCAATAAAACTTCCAGGCATGGCACTCCCCAACATAATCCTAACTCTAATGTCTTGTGAGTCACTTCACCAGGAAAATCGGTAGCAGTAACTGTTATAGACCAAATGAACTATTTGACTCATAATAGGATTTCTAGTTTGCATACCCAATGTAACGGTCATTGAAACAATAAAACATTTGATTAGTCCACCAATTATAGCACAAAGCAACAATGGTTTCCTTCCTGTGGCATCCGACATTGATCCATAAAGGAGGGTTGTGAAAAGTGATGGCAAACTTGCTAAAAAGAAATGTACCACGTTATTAATAACTGGGGGAATAAGGGAAGAAATGGGGCAGGAGTTGGGAGCAGGGAAGAGGAGGGAGGGGGAGGTATATATATATATATATATATATATATATATATATATATATATATATATATATATATATATATATATATATATATATATATATATATATATATATATATATTAGGGTGGCTTTGTCCCCCTGTGAAAATTGTTATGGGTGCTAGCTGAAGCACCCCATTTTAAATTCACTTAGGAATATTTCATTGACCACAATATTGGTAATTCTGAATATTGGTAATTCTGTTCACTTTGTCTTCTAGGCAGCACACAAGAATCTTTTTATTACTGTCTGACTCTGACCTTTTGGGGGAGGATGTGGCCCCCCTACCACAGTAGCAGCCCCCCCCTGTTCTGCCAATTAATTACACCATGTCAAAATATTGAAGACATTTATACACTTACAAGATACACTAAGTGCGATAAACCAATACGACGCCTGGGTTTGAATGCGATTTTCCAACGCTGTGACATTGCCACTATTATCTGAACCGTTTATACACAATCTGTAGTCGTCAGCCTTCGTAAAATTATGCTCTTTACTCAGCTCATCATAGATATATTGCTGTAACAACGGCGATATCATAGCACCAGTGAAAACATATGAGAACACCACTGGCTCCACTGTTACTAAACGCATCTTTATGTAAAACGCTTACTCCTTTTTAGCTTGTGTTACAAACTGATCAGTGACTGTATTATTACACAGATTGTGTCGTAATCTCTCTGTATTACAGGCTATTGTCTGTGCGCAGACTAGCTATATATTGACTTGACCTCTTTTAGCTGCGATCTGGAGGTTGACGTCATAGGGCACCTTTTGTTGTTATTGCTCCATAATTTTTCTCCATAGTTGGTCATATTGGTAAAGCTCACAAATTACTCTCTTGCCAAAGTGGACCATAGAAAAATGATCGGCGGGAGGGGTCAACTAGCATGATTTTTTCCGGCCGTCTGCTTGTGCTAGAATGGGGTTTTTTCCCGGAATTTTAAAGATACTTTTCTTTGCTTTCCTTCTTTGGACGATTTTTTTTTCTTTTGTTTTCATTTGCGCAAATTTTTTTTGGTTTTATTTTCCCAACCACCCCCGGCCTCCCCCGCCCATCACTTTTCTAATTGTCCGCCCCTACAGCTATCCCCTAACTCGTTAGTCACTGACGGAATTTAAAAAAAATACCAAATGTGTTACTGCCTGATCAACTTCTTTCTTCTTTCTTTTGTCAATTGTAATAGTTTTTAATGTAATTACATATACGTCATATACTTAACCTAGACTATTTTATCTTTACAACAATTGTGATATTTCTTCTAATTATAACTTTGTTTATCCTAACCCACCCTGTCAACTTTCCCTGTGGGAGGAAACCGGAATATCCTGACCCGGAGGGAACCCACGACTTTCGGCAGAGCGTTGGCGGACACTCTTTTCCATCGAGTCCGCAGAACCCACAAACTCGGCAGAGGTAAAAGACGCCTGCTCTGATGACCGTCCTATCCAAATATCATATCCATTCTATTCAATAAACTCTCCATGTTATCATGTTGTTGTTGATTGTCAAGCTAGTAACAAAATTTCACAGTACCTGTTGGTGCAGCTAAAATTCTCACAGTTTTCAGTTCTTTAAATAATTTTAGTAATTAAGGAAGTTTACACTGTCAGTTTCTCGTCATGGCTAATTGAAACAAAAACAACGGAACTGTGACGCAGCTCGTTTTGTGTTTGTGAACATTGTTTGCTCATATCTATAAACGTCCTCTGTGAAAGCTGTATATATAGGAGTAGAACTAGAAGTTAGTAGAAATAGTTTACGGGATTAAGCATTCAAGATGAAAACACCAGTGACAGTTTTGTTTGTTCTCAGTTGCTGCCTTGCACAGATCATTATGTAAGTAATTTGGTACTGGGTAGTATTAAATACAGTGGATAGCCTTGCTTAATTGGGATACGCGTTAAGTTTGGTATAAGAGTTATGTAGTAGTATGGGACGGGAAAAACCTCGCTCTACAGTCAACTATATATTTCGCGCGTTTCCCAATTAACAATCCTTGAGCATGCTGGTAATTTAGAGTCATAGTTATTTTGTAGGGTTATGTTCACGTTTATTCAGTTCGGTGTCACATACAATCTAGAAGTGTAAATGTACTGATTAAGCAATTTAATTGTGGCAATTAGCGTCTTATCAAACATCCTGAGCATTCTCAGATTGTTACTGTAAGTAACTATTTCAATATGGGTAACTGAAAACCTGTTAAGCACTTCGCTTCGTCTGTCCTGCAGCTGAATGTATCTGGATCGAGGTTTTCCTTCATGCACTTATTAATGACAGATGAATTATGCAATTGCCGCATTGTGGATCATTTACCAACATTTGTGTCACCACTTGTGTCGTCACTTCGCTATTACTACAAGCCTAGCCAAAGCCCAAGGGGTGAAAGTCGAAAATTGATGTCACTGCAGAATCACACGTCTTAAAGTTTACATGTTTCGATTCTTAAATCTTAAACTACCAGTAAAACATCCGGCAAGTTTTGTTTTTTGTGCTTGCTCGTAGCACGTAGAAGCAGTTGATGACTGAACTGTTGAGCAACGTCTTCTTTGTTTGCAAAATTCCTGAATGTGTAGTTGGTAAAGTAAACATTGCGCCCCTTTTCCACAAAATCAAACACATTATATATTAATTAACGTGTATAACTAACAAGGTAATTATCAAGTTATGTAAATGCTGTCAAATATCGGCAAATATTTACCATGTGGTGCGTGCTGTACATCATGTGAAGACGGAGTGGCGTACTCCACTGATCTGAAATTAAGACTGGATAGATAGCCTTTTGAATTCATTGAGCCAATTTTCTTCAGGGTTCCTTCTTAAGTAGAACTGGTGTAGCTTTAAACAAAGTTGTTATAGTTTATATATTACTGAATGGTTACTTTACCAGCATATTTTGTTAAATTCATTTAGATACCAAGTGTCTGCAGCTCATGTTCCTGTTCACCAATCAGAATATCCTCTAAAAACCATACACAATGACTATGATTATTATGATGACTATGATTATTATGATGACAATAATGATGACGACGATGATGATGATGACGATGATGATGACGATCGTATATACAGTAATGCGTGTTTTCTAATACTTAAGGATGATTTACACTACATAACTTTTCAGTGTCGCATGCAACCTTTAAGCTCCTTCTTCCCTGTATGATCTACAACGCAATAAATATAGAGAACTTATCAAATTGGTGAGGGAAAAGGGCCGTGAAGTGGTCTCAACCAGTCCAAGATTGTGGGTAGTATACTTCGTATCACAACTATGTCATTCAAACTCTTTTTAGGCTATTGTATCAGCCTTCCTCAAAACACCCCACACCAGTGTTTACAAAGTCGTCTGGATATGTTGAGAAGAAATGCCCTCACATATCGTTTGAGCACACCACCGAAAGTTCAATTTGATCCTAGGACGCTTAACAGTGTCAAAGTTTCCGACTTTTTCCTATTTCCATTGTTGGATCTGTCAAGTAAGCAAATACTGATGTTGTCGGCGAATGATGCCAAAGAAAAGAAACTCTCTAAACTTTACGTTACGATGGTTAAAAGAAATAAAGATCTTATCGGAGAAACAAGTAAACCCGGGAAGATTTTTAAAACATTTTGCGATTATGCAAAACATTTGGAATTGCATCGTGAAAAACAGCATGTGAGTTATTCATTAAACCACAGGAAATTAATCGAGATATAGAAACTGACAATTAGCTAATAAACCAAAAGAAAATTAATACAGGATAACGAATTACAACAAGAATGGTCAGCGTATAAGTATTATTATCGCAATATAATCATGTTCAACTACGTAATAATCACAAGCATCATCACAATTTTTGAACAAGTTTACTGTTGCCATACCATCTATATAAAATTCACACTTCGTCTTCACTTGCATCATTCATGCACCATCACCTTCTTCACCATTACAACCATCAACGTCATCATCACCACCACCACCATCATAATTATCATCACAACCATCAGTCACCATCATTATCACACCATTGGTATTGACACCATTGTGATTGTTACAACGAACATAATCAACACCGTCATTCGCATTACCATCATTCACCATTATCGTTATCACCATCATCACCGTAATCCCTACCATCTACAGATTACTGCGTCAATAACAACTACAATAAAACATCTTAAATTTACTTCTTAACTCAGACAGGAGGTCATGAAGACAAATACTTCAAGTTTCCTTCCAAAGAGGAACATTTCAAAGACATAATTACAACTGATGATTGGCAAAACGATCAAATATTTGTTGAGCAACGTTTGGCTGGAATGAATCCGATGTCTTTACGGAAACTTAGTGCTGAAGGTAGAAAAATAACACAAGATTATTGCATGGCCAGCAAGGACAACAAACTTTACAATAGTTTTCATAATTAATTTTCTAAAGAATATACTTGCATCTTTTATAACACGTAGTTTAGTTAATTTAGAGTTGGTTTAGATTGTTTATGCTATCGTGTAAATTAGAGTAATTCACTTATTTTCAAATCAGTTGGAATTCTCTTCAGCGTGAATTCCTCTGCTAAATGAAGCAGAACAATGTAGCAAGAAAGTTGTCAATAGAGTTCCAAAATTTATGGGAGACCTGTGGTTTGACGGCTACAACACTCCGAATTGCCAACCAAGTGGAAACTGGTCTCGAAAAGTTTCGAAGAGCCAGAAGTGTGAGCTGAGGAACTGATACAGAGGAGAAATTAATTCAATACATAACATACAAACCCTGCTCCACCTATCCGAAAATAGGTAACGGCCTATAACGGCCAATTATGGATTTTTCGTCATCATTTATTGTTATTTTTCATTTTTGTCTAGAGTATGAAAGCAATCCTTTACGTTTCAGTCCAGATTTGGACAGAGCAATAAAGAGAGTTTTAAATAACGAAACAATTCATTTTCTACAGGTAAAAAGTTGTATTAAAACACTCTAACTGACACTGTCTGATGTCAATTTTTTATCAAATTTGAATGAATCTGAAAAACATTGGAGAGAGTGGTTTTTCCCCTTAGCCCCCAACCCCTTCCCCTTAGCGGCGCTACTACGTTTATTAATTAGTTCGAGAAAGCAATATAAAGACATACTGACGCAAACATAATTTTCTCACGAATATAGATAATAGAAGAAGGATCAATTTTCATAGCTGATTATCCATTAATTGACAATCTTACTAATATCCCAGATATGTTGGATCCGAACCCTAACGACAAACGAGAGATGAGACCCTCAAAAAGCCCAATTGCTGTTTTTGCCTCCGTTAAAAATTGCTTTACTGGAACGTATGAGCTGAAGTCTGTGGCAATTCAGATGGATTTTGACGCAAGTAAGTGCAGTTCTATTTCTATGTTAGTAGTTTAAATGTTAATTATCAGAATCTAATGGCCAAATAACGCGTGTAAGTATCTTGCAACAATATTGTTAGTCGTGTTGTTACAATGTTGTTATCATGTTGTAAAAATGTTGTTATGTTGTAGAGCAATGTTTTTTCATCATGTTGCAACAATTTTGTTATCAGGTTATAACAATTAATTTTATGTTGTAACGGTGTTGTCAAATACGCTTTAACAATGCTGTTTACATGTCACACTTATGACTTAATACCAAATGTAGAAACATATTTTGTCACTCAGAGTGATTTTTGCTGGAAAGAATATAATTTTATTACTTCGGCAAACATGGCTAGAGACAATTTCCAAATTTCATATTTCTATATAGGTTCAGACGTCGTCCTCCCCACGGACGGCTCAAGATGGCAGTTAGCTAAACAAGAAGTACAAAGAGCAGACCTCACGCATGTCGAAATCATTGAGCACTTATTGAAAACACACCTTCTTATGGAACCGATTTGTGTTACCATCAAACGCACGCTGTCCCTTTACCACCCTCTGCACGCTATTTTACAGTGGCACTGTCGTGGTACGTTTATTACCAATAGCATTGGTCTGCCCAACCTGGTGAACCAGTCTGGTTACATGCATCAACTTTTAGCCATTGGTGATGTTGGTTCGATCGAGTTGCTCAACAAAGGGTATCTGACTTTGACTTGGAATGATACGGACTTCGAAGAAAATTTAAAGGTGAAACCTGTTTTCCACTCAATCTTTACCCATTCAATTTTTAGCGCTTTCTCAATATTATTCACGATTTTGTATTACAGAAGCGTGGCGTTGACGACCTAGAAAAGTTGCCATATTATCCATATCGAGATGACGGAACCGTTATTTGGAAAGTCGTCAAGAAATTTGCAAAAAAATATGTTAACATGTAAGTAATTCTGGCAGTACAGTGAGCTCATTATATTACAAAATGACAAAATGTTGTATTTTTTTATCGGAACCTCCTGAAAAAGATGTACTTCCACGTTTCGAGTAATGCATGGCACTTCGTTCTGAAGGCGTTTCGCTGGGCATAAAAATTCAACAGTTTTTTCCCCCCAAAAAGTCTTAGCTACACTTGGACCCCACATTTCCTAGCTATACATATATAACAACCAGGGGCATTGTATGTAAGCCAGCTAAAATTAATTTACTTTCAGGTATTATTACTATAGACAAGACATTAAATCTGACCAAGAATTACAGAATTTTGCGAACGAATTGTCAGCTGGTGGAGTTGGCTCGTCTGGTGGCGTAGGCATGGTGGGTACCATCACACACAAGGAAATGATTGAAGATATTATATATACTATCTTTTAATGTGTGTATTCTTCTAGGTAAAAAAATTCCCAGCAAAAATCCAGAGCAGGAAGCAACTCATCGACATATTAGCGCGAATCATGTTCATTCCTGTCCAACACCATGTCATTGCCTATCCCGTAGAGTACTATGCTGGCTTTGTTCCGAATATGCCTGCGAAACTTTACGACGATCCCCGAGTACCAGCTGGGGAATTTGGCGTTTACAGTTTACCCGCAGAAAGTAATCTAGCTCCGGTATGAAAACTTTTAAATGGATTTTTATTGGTTGAAATAAACATTGTCAACAGGAAATGAAGAACTGGACATGTATTTGCTATTATAACGTTTTGGAGTGTTTCTATGAAGTATAGATGCTAATAACTTGAACTAATCTGACTTCTAAAACAAATAGGTATAATGATGGTATCTGCTTAATTAAGAGGTGTCCGCTAATATGAGTCCAAGTGTACAGTCATAGAATCTATTGCAATCTTTTTCTTTACAATTTGAACAAATCTCCTAAAATAAATAGCATTTTATAATTCATCATCCATTTCTCTTCCCTCCTATAGATTCAAATCGCTCTTGCGATGAGCCTGGGCTCTCTTCGTTACGACAAACTGTTTGACTACCACTCCAAACTGTCAGACAATGATGCGGAGGATCTTGTATATCATTACTATTGTCAGGTGATGGGACCAATAAGCCGGAAGTTGAGGAAAAGAAACAGGCAAAGACTTCGAGAGGGACATCTCACTTACCCGTATTTTCTACCTAAATGGATTCCGAACAGCATTCATGCATAGATATTTCATTCTCTTTTGGGACAGCCTTAAATAAATTTTAATAGAAATTATTAAATTATTTGAGTCCTAGTCATTTTGTAAAAACCGCTTTGAAAACTTATTGTTTGGGTTTATACTGTATTACCTTTGTACATGAACAATCTCTCCTATGATTGATGATCATTAACAATCTTTAATATGAAAATGTCGCTGGCCTTTATTCTGATTAATCATATACAAGCCAAATGTTTTTACTAGCCATGAACTGGTTGTTCAAAGCGCTAATCGTTGACTGAGCAACGACAGGATCTACTGACCCACACGATGTCATAGGTGAAACGTGCTTGCTCTGCATGACAACTGCACCAACGAAGCCTCTACGGTTAAAAGCAAAATACTAGTATGTTTTGTAAACCATAAAAGCTCCGATCTAACAATATGCGGACTAAAAATACAATGCTGATTACTCATTTTCGACGAAGCATTACTAATATATATTTAATGATATTCATGTTTTGAAAACTACAAAACTAATCGCCAGTTTTTGAACGCTTCAAACCCCTAGCAAACAATAGAAAAACTAAAATTACACCACTAATTACAAAACTACTGTTTGCAAAAAGCATACATTGCGTTTTTAGTTCAACCGTAATTCAACCGTAACTAATTTAAAAGTTAAAATTGCTGTGTCAAAATCATTGTTGATCAGATACGGCGCCACTCGTCGGGCTAGGAGCACGTTCAGTTTGGATAAAATTCGACGTTTTCAGCATGAATCCTGCTTCTGGTCGAGCCACCATAATTCTTTTATTCGTTATCTTTTCATTCAAGTGGTAAGCTTCGTGTTTTGTTTTACACTGGGCATTTCCATTTCAACATACACTGCCTGTTGTTATTCTGGCTGTTCTAGCTACATTAGGACGTGTCTCTTTCACCGAGCGGTATGATGAATTTAGCCGTGCAAAGCTCACAAGTTTCTGTGGCAATATTCAATGTTAGCATTTCGCTTTGATATTTCAAATCGGCGTCTCTCGAATCTTTTCCACCCAGAATATTTTTCAGTACCAACGGAATAAGTTCTCCAGTTCGGGGGATTTTACCGCGCATTTTCATGTACAACATATATAGGTCTTAGATTAGTTAGTTAAGAACGGGTTTTTTAAAATTTGTAGATGGAAATCTCGGGTGTAAATTTTACACATTTATCAGTTAGACCTAACCCAGTGCAACTTTTGCACCCTGGCAGGAATCGAAGCTGCGGCCCTGTGATTCCCTGCTCAAACCAACTCAGCTACAGAGTCCAGTTGTCGAACTCTATAATCACAAATTCATGTATATAAATACTAAAGTGATTCCAATGTTATAAGGTGTACGGGACCTGCTTATTCCGGCTACTTCCCGTGTGTGTAAACCACCGAAAGCATCTAGCGTCCCATTTCTTTGGATAACGTTGTACGCACTAGTAACTCAACGGCCAAAGACGTTTTTAGGGCTTTTTTGACAATGAATTTTACAATTTTAGTTCTGATGAACTTGCCAAGCTACCAGCCAAACGACCGAAAGGAAAACTAGAAGAAAATAAATGTCGCTACAAAACCTCAAAAGTTTTGTACCAGATGAAAGACGTCAGGTCTCTCCATTGCCGCCACATTCCTTTCTCGTGCGGTTTGAATCCAAATTACCCACCGTCTGCCAACTGTTCCATGGTCAGGTATGGATCGTGTTATTGCTTTCATGAGATTTAAGCGCTTTTTCATGCCATATCCTTCTAATTTTAATGTTTTTACACAAAAATTGTTAACTTTCCCAATGATTTTCAACCTATAGATGTATCAAGACAAAGAAATCCGTTCCATTCAAAAACGTTTTACGGCAAATCAAGACGGTTTGTTGTCCTGGATGGAAGAAAAATGAAGCGTCCAAAAATTCTGGTTGTAGTGTGGGTAAGAATGGCATACTGTACCAACATACCAATTGTGATATAGTATAATACTAAAGAGTGGATATAACAAAGAAATCGGGCGCATTGATCAAAGGAGCAAAACATTCGAGTTGGTCACTGCCTGTTGATGACCACATAGAGTTAGATATTTTCTATACTTGGTGTATATTTTTCTACACTTCTACAAAATGTTCAAATTTGTATGTATTGTGTAATTCTTATTCATATCCATCCTCGGTCCCAGGGCCTCACGGCTGACACTGCCGCGAGACCCTGGGACCGAGGATGATTCATATCTTTCTATTTGTAACAGAAACAAACATCACTCTTCCCCAGTTCACGCCACCCGGTTGTGTAAAACTCCGCCTGGGTCAACTCTATCACAAACAACTCATCTATCGTTTTACAACCCCTCCTCCCTCCCCGCCCACCGGCGAAATTACCCCCGCCAACTTCATCCAGTTTTTAAAATGTCCTGTCATTAACCTGACCCTACACCAGATAGCTGGCCTGGCTGTGAGAAACCCACACGAGAGCAAGTGGGTCCAGGCATATTTTGAGTTAAATTCAATCCTCCAGAATTTCACTATCCACGTACAGAAAAGTGGAATGTTCAATGACCTGGAAAAGTTCTCAGATTATGCTAAGATCATTGATGCGTTCCAGGAAAGAATAGTAAGTTGTGATATCATGCTAGTAATATCACGTGTTTCAATGGGAAGGGCACGTGTCCCAGTTCTCTTATATTTCATATAACCCACTGTCTTTCCATATAGAACGAAACGAGAATGCGCCAATATTGTAAATTTCCATCGAACGGAGAAAATTTCAAAGATATTATAACTGATAATGTTTGGCAGAATGATAAGGTTTTTGTTGAACAGCGCTTAGCAGGACTCAATCCAATGTCTATCCGAAAGCTCAATTTGAAAGGTATAAAACATTTTAAGGGATGGTTTTGTCGACACTTATTTAATATGGACAGATCTAATACGAGCACTTTCCTGTGTTCCTTCGGCGTCTGTATTGAAGATGTTCGACTGTACCAATTAAAACACCAGTTTCAACAAATTTAAGAAAGTAGAAGTAAAATCTTTAAGTTCATTTCAGAATATATCGAGCGTCGGTCACAATTCAACCCGGTCTTGGACAAAGAAATGGAAAAACTTAGCAAGGAGGCAACTGACATGGAAAAGGTAAAATATTTTAATCACACCGTGTTGAGTGTGTCTGCATGACTAAGCTCATTAGTGCTATACTCCAGCTCATTAGTGCTATACTCCAGCTCATTAGTGCTATACTCCAGCTCATTAGTGCTATATACTCCAGCTCATTAGTGCTATATACTCCAGCTCATTAGCGCTGTCTATAGCCTGGTAGATTCAGTTACGAAATTATTAATCTAGCATGCAGAGGTTCAGATATTAAACTGAAACTTAGATTAATAAACATAAACAGACCAAGTTCGAAGCAACCATAACAAGGTTTTAATGAAATTCTATGTGACAAAAATGATTGCTTTGAGGTTTATTATAAGCAGTATTGCTTAAAATCAGAGAGCAAACAATTACCAATATCTGTATAGGCTATTTTTCTGAAAAGCTAGATGTCAATTAAAATTCGGCTCTCGCCTTCAGCCTGGATATAGTAAATATAAAAAACCTCGACTCTTTCAATTTTTTGCAGATGGTGAAAAAAGGTTTGGTTTATATCCTAGACTATCCTGTCATGAACAACGCGACAACAGTTTCTGACATCACCGATCTCAATTCCAAAGATCAACGTGAAATGAAGTCATCAACAAGTCCAATCGCCATATTTGTTTCGCTGTTCGACAGTTTCACTGGAAAACGTGAACTCAAACCCCTCGCAATTCAAACCGATTTCACTCCATGTAAGCCATGCACGTGTTAAACGTACTCACTAGATATATGCGACGTTAAGTTCGGGTGCAAAGTACATATGTGATTTTTGGTATGGGTAATGTATGTGCCTGCATGTGGGTCAAACTAAGAAAAAATTAATAATACATCTTTGTGGCAAAAAAGCTCATCTTGATCAACTTTTTTTAATGTTAAAGTCATGGGCGTACCGGGCGGGGGGGCGCGGTAGCCCCCCCAGTTTTTTGGGCAGTCGGGCAATATTCGCTAAACAGTCGGGCAATTTTGGTGAATTAAAAAAAATAAATGGGACAAATTCTGTAAATGTTGCGGAAAATTTCGTGAAATTTCCCAAAATTTTGTAGGTTCCGGACAATTATGGTATGTCCGGAAAAAATTTTTGACCCCTAAAATGGCACACTGACCGAAATTTTTTTGGCGACGGGGGGGGGGTCGCCAAAACAAATTCCGGAAAAAAAATTTTCGGTACTTGTCGGGCAAAATCCGGAAAAGTCGGGCAAATTTCTTGCCGCCCCCCTAAATTTTTCCTTCCGGTACGCCCATGGTTAAAGTTACCTGATGTTATATCATATTTACGTACCAGAGGTATTTACGTACCGGAGGTATTTACGTACCGGAGGTACGCCTGGTCCTGAATATTATGGTCTGGTACTTCTTTCAGCCAAGTACCACGTTACATTTTTCTGGTACCATATAGCATTTTCAAGCGCAGAGTATTCAAAACCGTAATTAAAAGTCCTGGTCAAACGAGAGTTGATAAAAGTTGGCATTCACAAATTGTTACAGGGATATTTCAAGCTCTAAATTAACAAAATATAGGTTTGATCAACTTCAAGAAAATATGCATGATAAGTCGCGTATTTGCCAACGTACTCTCGTGCACTTTCGTTTGATTCGGGCTTAGGTATAGGTATAAGTAAACTTTAACGTCGCCAATATGGCATGAAACACGACTGCACTGATGATGAGATGGGTTGGGACTGTTGGACACAGTTGTAGTGTTTTCATATTAAATTGTGCTCGGTAACATTCAACCACACATTTCTAGGTTCACCGGTGTTCACTCCAAGAGATGGCTTAAAATGGCTGCTGGCTAAAGAGATGGTGCAACGAGCAGATATCCAATATGTCGAAATCATCGAACATTTATTAAAAACACATTTCTTGCTCGGCTCTGTATGCATTGCCGTTGAACGACACATCTCAGAATACCATCCATTGTACGACATACTGAAATATCACTGTCGTGGTGTTCTAGTCACAAACCGTTTGGCTTTTCCTACCTTACTATATCCAAAAACATCTCTTCACCATCTGTTCACAATTGGTCATGTTGGTAGTATTGAAATACTGAACAAAGCATTTCCTAGCGTAACTTGGAAGGATGCGAACTTTGTTGCAGCTTTAAAGGTAGGCCAAAAAACAAAATCCAAGACTTAACCATGAATGAAAAATGTATACTATAGAAATCTTGTTACGCAAACAATAAGCTAGTGTGTCGCTTGTAAACACTGAAAATAGATTGAAAATGATTCTTACTAATAACTTAAGTACATATAAGGTATATCATACAAGAATTTGTGTCGTTAGCCTCATGCAGTTATGGTAGGACTTCTCTGCATGTAATTATGAAGCACCTCGTTGAAGAACCGTTGTCTTTTATCTAGAAACGGGGGGTGAATGATCGAACAAAGCTGCCATATTTCCCATACAGAGATGATGGAACCATTATATGGAAAATGGTTAAAGAATTTGCAAGAGAACTTGTTGATCTGTAAGTTCTTCCTGATATATGTAGAACCATCTATCAATTTATCGATTTGCAAAAACAAACCATAATTAATGACCATTGTTGGGCGCAGGAGAGAATCGATATTGGTGAACTTTCCGATGCAATAGTAGAATATTTATGGCAGCAAACAGATATAATTGCATATCTTAATTGTTCATACATACGAACTTGCTCTCACCAAGAGCATGCTCATCCAAAACAACCACGAAGAAAGTGAGCTTTCCATTACTCCTCAGTCCTCATAAATACTCATTAACGTCAGAGTGCTCGACACCAAAAAGGCGAAATGAAGGAGCGTAGTATCATCTGCAGACGTCCTTCAAATATGATGAGCACTACATTATTAAATTAACATTTTTAATGCCAGTTGACTGCCATCCGATGCACAGCGCTGCATGCATTATGGAAACCCACATGCATCTATTTGAATTTTGTTTCCTCTTAGATATTATCACAAATCAAAGTTTGTTTCACAAGACATAGAACTCCAAGCTTTCGCAAACGAGTTGTCTGATAAGGGGATTGGACCCGATGGCGGAAAAGGAATGGTAAGGAATATACTATGAATATACCCAACGCTGCATGCTTATGCCCATCGCGATCCAATTCACATTTTTGGTTAACTCGCATGCCTTGCAACCGTTGTTCTCACGATATAGCGCAGAATGGAACGAAGATAGCCAAACACGTTAAGTCAAAGCACCCATAAAATAGCAAAATACCTCACCCTCGACCTACAGTAGCAGGCTTAACTCAGCGGTGAGGCAGCACACTAACCACATCTGCCGAGGGCACGCGTTTGTCAGGTTACGTCAAGATAAAGCAAAATTTCAGGGAATGTGTTGAGTTCAACATCCGGGCACATATATATTGTTTTGAAGTAAAACCTGTATAGTATAAGTATAGAAAACTTTTCAAATCTTCTCTATTTACAGGTGAAAGATTTTCCGAACAAAATCAAATCAACATGGCAACTGGCAGAAACCTTGGCAAGAGTAATTTTCATCCCTATTCAACATGCTGCTGTGAACTACCCAGTCACGTACTATTCTGCCTTCGTTCCCAACATGCCATCGAAACTTTACGAAGATCCCGGAATGGCATGGAAAGATTTCTCGATTCATAGTATACCACAAGCACATGTCGCAACTGTAAGTAAAAATTACTGATCTCGTCAATAGACTGGACAGGCAACTCGATCTTTCCGAAAAACTGAGGCTTCTCAGGGCCTTTACAAAATTGAATACCTGATTAAATATGGGCGCCGAAAAAGCGAGACTGTTACAGGTCTATGACGGAAGCAAGTTTAAATTAGATATGGACCACTTCACTTTAATTTTCAATTCCAAAATCAAGACAAAGTCCGATTTATAGGGCCTTTCGAATCCAGCGCAATTACAGGGCTATATAGCATCGAGTCATTGAATTTCTCAACTCGCGAACACACGTACACAAATATTATTCGGACACTGCAGAGAATCTGAAGAATGAAAACGTGACTAGCCACTAGGTGTTTCAAATCGTATTAACTTAGTTTTCTCATGTGCGATACATGGCATAATAACCTCCTTTTTGTGAATGATACAACGCATGAAAACCTTGCCATTGATGATGTACAAACGCCTTATAAACCTTGGTAACTTACTTTTTCTTATCTGTATTCATTATTACAGCGAATGGTTGGACTAAGCATGGGCTTAGCAGCTATGCGTTACGACAATCTCTTCGATTACCACCCACACCTACAACACAAGCAAGCCGCTCAACTGGTTGCAAAGTATCACAATTATCTTATGGGTCCGGTCTTGAAACAACTCAAATCAAGAAACAAAAAGCGGTTCAGTGATGGGCATTTGACTTATCCATATTTTGAACCTGGATGGCTGCCGAACAGCATTCACGTATAAGGCTATATAAGCTATTCTTGTTTCATGAAGACATTCAGTTTAGATTTAGGTATTTTGAACTTATGTTAATTTATTTTTATTTAATAACTATAGTCGCTAGTGTTTAGTGAATAAAAATGTGTTCAATTGTAGTTGAAGATTTCGTTGTGCAGACGGGTCACGTTAAACAGCTTGCATATCTGATATTGATAAGGTTAATCAAGAAAACTCTACCTTTGAGAGTTTGAACCGGCTCAAAGTTGATGAGAGTTGGTAAGTCAAACGCGAGCGATCGTTATAACTTTCATCGACCATTTGAATCAAAATGATTCAAAGCATTTGAAGAACTATTTTATTACGGCGTATTGTATACATGCAAAGACAAACTTTGCTAGCTTAATTATTTATATAATATTAAGTAATTACACAAGACGATCAAAAATTAAAAAAACATACCATAAGCAACTAACTTCAACCAAAATGATTCGACCAAAAAACAAAATCCCATACTGTAGTTTTACTTTCAGAGTGCTAAATTCCGAACACATCCGGAAGCTAAAATTCACTTTAAAATTTGCATTAATGCCTTAATTCTCATGGCGGGAGAATAACTTCCGAATCACATTTCAAAATTAGGAGTCGATAGAGATCTGGAATGTATAAAAGAAGGCGACTGTGACCACGCTGGATTGACTATCACAAATCTACTGTGCTGTTGCTGAAATGTTGGAAGCGCTTCATGGATGGAAAGGACAGTATTGCCTATAGATAGAAATTGGCCATCGATGGCCTAGTGCATGACTAACGAAGTCACACCAATATAGATCATGGATTGCAATCAATCTCATAGGAATCAGTAAAAGACAAAATGGCGGCCATGATGGTGCCAAACTCAATGAAGGTTGAAAGATAACAGCATGTCAAATCAATTGAAAACCTAACAAATCGATTTATATCTGACATACCGTAATGGTCAATAAACAAAATGTTGGTGCATGTATGTTTATTGTTCCAACATGGTGTATAGACACACTCCCTTTGTAAATGACATTTGTTAAGACAAACAAATATTGGTGCTAGAGTGTCGTGCATTACAACGATATGAACGAAGTCCATTTTAATTTCTACAAGCAGCAATTATGTCTTTTTCTTGTCCGCCCAAGGTTGTTTATCGCCTGATACGAGTATGGCGTAAATACTTGATGAAACTACGTATATTATAAGTGTTATCCAGAACACAATTTTCCATTCTTCAGGATCCTAAAATACAGAGATAACTTTAACGGTTTTCAGGTCACAAAATGGAAATAAATTTCAAGACGTACAAGTAATCTAATGTAACAACGTGACAAGATATTTTTTCATGGATGATTTGAATATCACAAACAGCAGTCACCTTGGAATGTGCAATGTATCCAGTGAGCATAGGACTAAGAAAGCCAGGCATGGACCCGAACGTGTTGGACAGGCCCATCAACAAGCCAGCGTATCGAGGAGCTATGTCCAAATGATTGACAGCATAACCTGTCGCATTTATTCCAGAAAAACCGACACCAAGAACAAGAAATACAACACATAAATAACGCTGAGTTGCATAGCTTGTAGCGACGATAAATATACCAGCTATTATACAACCTGGTCAAAACAAAGAATTACAAAAATTCATGAAATATCATATACGACATTGAAATACGAAACTGACATATTTAATTCCCAAATACATGTATTATAGTAAATAATAATAATTTAGGTCTTTATGAGGAAAATTTTAAATTTAACTAAAGCTTGGCACAATTAAATTTATTTAGTTGTATAAACTGTCCTCCATGCATAGAGCGGGTCCAGTAAGTCGCAACTCTTATTACGAATGGTACCACAAGAGAAACCTAAACTAAACTGTATTGACATAGGAAGACAGCCATTATTTTGGTCATATGCCGCTGATATTTGAAACCTGCATGGTTAGGTTTGGTCAAGTTAAAAAAAAGTATCAAGTCTAAGAACGGGTGAGGTTCTTTAATTGGGACATGAGCTGTAATTTCAAGACCTTGAATTCGGACCAGACTGGACAAGTCATTATACTTACCTATTGCGTAATACAATGCCCGTACATTTCGTATGGTCATAATTTTATATTTTATAAGAAAATCTGCTGAGAGTCCTCCAAGAGGCCCTAACACTGACTTGAGCATGTATGGACACGCAGCTAGAAATCCCATCTAAATAAAATAAGGATAGAATAATGTCTTTACATCAATAAAACGAGGCAAATTTTATACTACTAGAAGCCACAATTATTTCAATGCGTTGAATTCCTACCCTTAAACTATTTGTAATCCTTCAATCATGCAGTCGTCTGAAGACAACCAGCTTTCACCTCGGGTTTGATTCTCGCTGCAGAATCTTTACATGCACTTATGTGCGAATCAACGTCCTCAATTAGTCACCGATTTTCTCGGTGGAACCAGAGGGTTGGAATGGGATAAATTCCAGATTAACCCTCTCATGCATGGTAGCTGTACTCTGTGATCAGACATGAGTGAATACCGTGGCAGCCAGATGCGCGGCTTTGCTAAACCTTCGACTCAATTGTCTCCTTCGTAACTGAGCTCAACTCTCAAGCTGCAACCCTTACTTACAACGTCATCCGACAATTGTAGGATAACTTACGTGTTTGATGTCAAAATGTAAAATATCTTTTAGAAAGGTTGGCATTTCTGTGAAGAGTGTGTAGTAACCCCAGCACGCGCCAAAATGGCCGATATTAATTCCCCAAACTGGAGGAGATGTTAAAATCTTGCCCCATGGCGGACAGTCGTTCTAAAACATAAAACAAAGTACTAGTGTTCATAAACTTGTTTTATATTTTAAATTTACTAAGAAAGCCTTACCTCTATCTTTTCATCCCCAATACTTCCTTCGATGTAATTTCTCTCTTTTTCTGATATCGTCGGATGCACTGCGGGCGACTCGTAGGCAAAAATCTCCCAAATAATATACCATAAAATACTCATTGTGCCTGAAACACAAGAAGAGAAGTGTATAAAATGCATCTAAACCATTTACACTATTTTCAAGATTTTAGTTTTGGGCATTTCACAAATATGTGGAGTCAAAAGTATACAGTCGAACTTTTCCTACGGGCACTTCTCTGATACGCGGATATGTGTATAGTATGGACACTTTAATTGCGATGTCGTTACAGTGTCCTGATCAATGTGTTCTGTCCCTTCATGTACAGTAAATTTTCTCATGTTTTAAGTACTATACTTTTTAAACCTATACAAACTTTCTCTTACCAAAAAAATAAAATACAGTAGGCCAGCCACCATCAAATCCATATCTACAAAGTAATCCAGTTAGAGGAAGTGCGACAATATTTCCAACTGCAGCACCTAATAAGAAGATATAAGATCCAGCCTGTTATTTAGTTTACCAGTTTCATTTTGAACATGACTAAAAGCACCTGCCCACTTGTGGACGTGAAAATCGCAAATATAAAAATTACAACTTACCAGCGATAGCAGCCGTCACGAGGGTACTACGCTCAGAAACTGGGGACCATTTGCTCCATATTGCGTGATTGCAAGGATAAGTAACACCCTACAACGACAAATAATTTTATTGATTACGAGTAATAAAAATAAGCCTTCTTTTCCACTCTTCACACAAAGATCGCTGGAATACTCAATCATCAATCCACACAACCAAATTCACGTTTAAGGTGGCTTTAACTAAACAATTGTTCCTATTCCGCTTATCAGAGTAGATGCGAGATTTCGTTTCATTCAGGATAGATAAATTTTTATAAATTTAACAAATTTGTCCCTTACCAGAAAAAGTCCTTCTAACACTCGAACACCAATCAAAGCCCCTACGTGATACCTCGCAGCCACGGGTGTCAACAGAGTGAGTAGAGCTGAGAGTAGTACACCATATCCAAACACACGTGTTCCTCCTAATTTCATTGCGATCCACGCACCAGGAACTTGCAAGGCCCAGTAACCGTAGAAAAATGAACCCAATACAATTCCTAAAAGGAAAAGGAAAAAATAGCTACACTTTAATAGCCACTTAAAATGCGTTTAATCACAGTTAATATGCGGTTTAATCAACTTTCCATGCCTGCGAACAGGCTGAGTCTTCACCTTGTGTCTTTGAATTCCAGTGAAACTCCGCTGGCTCTTGGACTGTCACACCTCCTCGTGTATACGTGTGATTGTTCACCATGGCAACCAACGCAACATTTAAGTTTACTCTCAGCCCGTAAATATTAACAAAACCTAGAAACACTAAAAATAATAACGCATAACGCTTCGGAATTCCATGACTGGAAAGGGAAAGTCTTGAAGATTCGGCTAGTTTTGAATCCCTCCTTGTAGCATCTTCCTGCTCCTCTGCAAGTTCAGTATTTTTACTTGTGGCAAGTTCAGAGTTTGTTTCAACCGGTTGTTCTTCGTTATTTTTGAGGTTGTCTATCCCTTCGTCTTCGTTTGTTTGTATAGCCACATTCTCTTCGCCTTTTTCTGGTACATTCCCTGTTCCATTTTCCTCCTGGCTGCCTTCCAACTTTGAGTCCATTTCAGGTTTTTTCAAATGTTACCCTTGTGCGCACGTTTAACAGTTTCTATAGCGCAAGAAACACAATTAATATAGTAATTCTATTATAATCCACGAGCAAAAATTGAAGTATATTATTACAAGGATGGATGTATACGGATAATGGTGAATAAGTGATCAACATTTAAATTGGAAATCATCAGATCTTTATGAGAGCAAAGCTGATACAAAATAGTAAATTGTTGGACATTTGCACGACAATTAGCTGTAGAAGTTGCTCTATACTTACACATCTGACAGTTTGTGTTACTAATGTCAATTTGACTCTTAAGTTGGTTTTTTTTTTGCTGAATACCATCATCTCGTGATGTCGTCAGAGGCAGTTTATCACGTATTAATAAAGTTCGCCTAATCATCACAACAAATCGCACAGGTTAGTTAAACTGAATATCATTTAACCGTTTCACTTCACGAACAAGGTGAAGACTCAGTAATTCTTAACATATAAACAAATAGTTGAAAAAGTTAAGTGAAAAGTTATGACCAAGGAAGCTCTCATGGAAGCAATGGATTTATGAATTCGCTCAGCTAATCCTATCTGACCAATATTTGTGTGTATACTACGGGAAGCATCAACGATATCTTAAATATGAAATTATTAAAAAAAATACAATTTTAAACGACTTGAAAACAAACAAAGTTACTTACTTGTAACCAATTCCATATTTTAACAACACCGCCATAATACGAAAATCAACGAAGCGTTTTGAAGATGACAGGTGGCATGATCGCGAGCTCAAATGATTAATTTTGTCTGGTCTGAGCTAAACTGTTATACCACACAAGATTGCCGACTTTAAATCAACTGAACACATTCATGTAGGATTTCCGTGACAATTTTGTAATTTTATGTGTTGTGATTAGCGTTCTGAACCAAACGAAACCACTGTTTTTCAGAAAGACGGTAATTCATAGCATATAGACGTTTTATGCCAAAAATCAACCAATCAAAAACCCGTTCAATGCTAGTTAGGAATCGGTTTCCCGGTGATTCCTAACTTTAAATTGTGTAACTAGCACATGCTCGAGGGTAGAGACATCAGCGTCTACCAAAAATAACTCTACACAAAAGGCATGATTAATCAAGTGGCAACCGTCCTAAATTTGATGCCAATACTCGATAGGCAATACAGAATCTGTAAGGTCACAGCTTAAACCTGGTTCACATATACCTGCGATATGTCGGCAGGCTATTGTCGTTAGCAGTTCAACCAAATAATTCACAAAAGAATGTATGCATCAACAGCTGTAAACAATGATAGCTCAGGCATACCGCATGCATATGTGAACCAGATATACTATCACAGTGGCACTGTCATTAAAATTTTTATTTTCTTAAACGAAAATGCTGTTAAAACTATGTATAGTAACTTGTTTTGAAGATTTTTGTTGCCATGCTTAGTTCGTGAGATATTCCATTTTGTTTGTGAACCATGTGACGTCATTGACCAATTATTTTTTATTGAAATCTTTCCATAGACGCGGCGCGTTTGTTAATTTAACCTGCATCATTAAGCATACTGTCTTCTTAAACAAATCTTTCAAAAGCAGCAAAGATACTCAACATTTACTGATAGCTCATTATATATGTAATTGAGTAAATGACATCACATAGTTTCAAACAAAATGAAATATCTCAAGAACAAACCATGGGAACCATTTTTTCCAAAAGAAGTTACTTTAGTCTTTACAGTTTTAGGAGTTCTTTCGTTTGAGACAACAAAAATTTCAATGGCAGTGGCACTTTAAACACGTACGTGAAAGTCATTTCAACAAGTACCAATTCTTGCTACTCTACTTTCTCGTAGGATTCCCATACGAAACATGCATAGTAGAGCAAATTGTACGAAAACTGTTCACGACCTTCATAGATTTTGGTAGCCTGTATTAGTTTTAGTTCTGTATTAGTTTTATATAGCTCACTGGTCCCAACCCTGCAGTAAAACCAATATATTCGCGGGAACATGTACACATTCCCGAAAAATTACTTTATATGTTCACAGATTACTGAAAACGTCGACAATTTGTCGAGATAAATCTCGGTTTAATAAATTAATTATACCTATATATATAATACACTCTAGTATGAAACCAATGCAATCATAAACTCGCATGATCTCTCGTCTGTGCCCGCATGTGTGTGCAAAAATACTAGCAAAATAATATCTTCAATCTCACCAGTTCGTTTTGAAAATGAAATTCTACATAATTTAGACAATATCCAGTATTGACAAATACTTGTGAATATGTCCATGATTGGCGTCTGATCGTTGAGGAATGACTGTCACACTTTGAACATTTTCTTTACACTGTATCCCTATTAAAAAATAAAAAAGCGAAAATTTAACAACTATAAACAATAAATTGCGTCGGCCTGGTAAACCAAATACCTCAGAAAAATCGATCAAAACAGCTGAAAAAACGCTGAAACTGTACCAAAAAATCTAAATATACCAAATACCCTTAAAAAGCATTAATAATGGCACATGTCAGTGAACATGTTCTCTTCACATTTCCTTAAGGTTGTTTCTGTAAATGAAATCTAGCTAGCTCTGATATCAAGGGAAACAGTAAATCCTATACTTACCGGCATTGAATAAAGGAATATTCCAATAACGAGAACCACCAAGGCAAGCAGGATAAAACCAATGATATACCACTTGTAGTTTCGCCAGATTATATAACGAAGTGATTTCCAGGGGGAGGTGAACCAGCGGAATGAAGTTGCGGGGCGACTGTAAAAATGTAACAAGAATTTAATATAATTTGCAATATTTAAGCCTGTCACAGACGAACAAGTTTTCACATGACAAGTTTTATTTGCTTATTTGTATAAGATCTTCAAATCATGTACAGATACGGCTGAGATGGCTCATCTCTCGCCTTCGATCTTCCAGCCTTTCCGTTAAAATAAAACAAAACATAAACGACAATTACTTTGGCTCCTCTAACATTGGATTTGTATTCGGTTCATTTCTTCCAACACCAGCTGGCTTTGCTGTACTTTCCTCTTCTGATAATAATTCTAGTGACATCTCAACCTTACCCTGGAATAGAGGTAGATTTTCTTATTAATAAAGAGAAACGAGAACAGCTACGCCTACCGTAAACCTTCGACTATAAGCCCCGATAGCCTTTGAAGGCCCCTGGATATAAGCCCACCACATATACTATGCTCGCTAATTCCAAATATAAGCCCACCCGAATATAAGCCTCCCCCCCCCCAATATAAGTCCCCCGAATATAAGTCCAGTAGCCCACTACGTTATTCAACATTGACATTGTCTTTTAATATAGCAGAGACAAAGCGCGTTATTATTAAATAATACATGTCTATTTTCCTGCTTATGACTAATTTGTTTATGTCTGACTTGTTTATTACTAACACAAAAAATCATCCATGCATTAGCCCCCCCCCCGTATATAAGCCCCTCCCTTGTATAAGCCCATCAAAAATCGCTTACGAAAGTATATAAGCCCAGGGCTTATAGTCGGAGGTTTACGGTATACGAATAATTCTCTTAATGTTCTCGTAATATATCCTACGTTGTCATAGGTTTGATTTACACAGTACAACTCAAGTTGTAAGCAGGTTGCATACGACAGTTTTAGGCAAAAGTTGTGTGCTGTAAATCGGCCTTAACACTTCTTTCCAGGTCGGCCATCTAGTTCAAAATGGTTAGACTTACCGCCAAAATCCTTTCATCTCCTTCTTCACCTACAACCGGCCACCATCCATACAACCTCTTCTGTTCAAAAAGTGACGATTCGTCATTCTGACTGCTCAGGAACTTGGCATCTTCAAGATCAGGTAGTTGATGAAGACCACACTTGCTTGCTTTCTTTGCAGCTTTTGTAAGACTGTTGAGATTGAGTTCAGTTGCCCCTGATTATAGTCAATATATAGTAGAACACGGTTACGAAAGCAGGTCAGGGAGGGAGTACATCTGTAAAACTTCTTCTAGCACGAAGTAAAGTTTTATCTTAAAAACTAGAGTAGTGATGACCTCAGACTAACCTAAGAAGTCGTCTGGTGAAAACGAATCGTTGTCCCAAACTTGAACGACCAATGTCGGCGGTAATCGTTCCTCGGTAGAGTCCAGGCTCCAGAAATGACTCTGAAAATATGGAAACATTTAGGGAAGGAAATTTATTGAAAGGCAGAAATAAGAATTAATCTACCTTCTTTCGAACCACCATAGTTTTCTCTGCCGCAAGATATTCAAATGGAAATACCATTCTCCAGTTGAAATTTCCTTCACCATCAAGAGATCTGGAAAAGCAGAAAATAATCAGGACGAGCTATGCAAAGACAGCTCTCGTTTTCAAAAAACTATTTAAGAGACAAAATCGGGCTACTGCTTGCTTAACCCAGTTCACAATGTTGGACAACTCATATGCCTAGTTACCCTTTAACTTAAGAAAGCATAGAACAGAACAGATGAAGTTTTAACTGAAGTTTTCTATTCCTGTACTGGTTAAGATTTAGCTTATGCTTTACCGATAATGGACGTCAGTTCGTTGCTTCTCATTGATGCCTGCTATCCAGCTAAAAATATTAAAAAACGTACGTGTGACCTAAATATTCTATAATGATTGGTTCTAGGCAGAATACAACAGAACACTTGCCATTTGACATAGATATCACTCATTTGTTCACCAGTGATGGATGTTTCATCCAAAATAACATCACTTGTGTTCCAAACTATGACGCGAAGTTCATAGCTATTGGGATTACGGGGCGAAATATTGAATGGCGGTCCTGGACTTCCAAGATGTACGGGGAACACGTCCACAAATAATTGCAGTTTTCCCTAAAACATGGTGGAATAAGGATAGAAATAAATTAGATAAAACAACGTACACACACAATGATTACTTTGAAATCTTACAAGTCTGAATTAACTTTATACTTATTAAATTTGATCTAACTGCATGTCGTGTCCACTTCATGCTCGATG